TTTAGCTCCTGTTAAGTATTATATTATAATTTATTATATTAATAATATAAAATTATATAGTATAGTTATATATATTATTACCTAAATTAAAGATCTTTATATCTTTTTATAGTATTTTATATTAAAGTATTATCTGATTTCTGATAAAGTAGACAGGAGCTAATATTTAACTAATACTAAACTAGAAGCCTCGCCTCTTTAACTAGTAATATAATATAAAATTATTATCTGCCCCTATATTTAATAATATATTTATAGTAGCCTATTTTTCTCTTATATATAGTTAAATATTCGCGCGGAAAGGAGGGAATTATAATAAAATATTAGATTTAATTATATTAAGGATCGGAGGCATGCTTTCTTACTAGGAAAAAAAACTACCCTCTTTTTTTATTATTAAAGGTCCTGCTTTATTAAAGATTATATTTATAAATAATCTTTTATCCCTTTAAGAATAATAATTTCAGGAATAATATTTTTTTTTATAAATAAAATAGTACTTATTTTTATTTAGATACTCTTTTTTACCTTTAAAGGCCTGCTGCTTAAAATAATTATTTTTTTTTTCAGAATACTTATATTTCGCGTGTAATATACTACTATTCTAAGAATTAGAGAAGCTGCTTTATAAAATAAAAAAATTATTTTAAGAGGAATTTTCTTCCTAAAAGGAGTTTCCCCCTTAAAAGGAATATTTATTTTTAAAAAATAATCTATTATATAATTATAATATTTAATAAGATTTCTTGTCCTGTTTTACTAGTTATTTATATTATTCTACTAGGATACCTGTTTTAATAAGATTTTTTAGTCTTTTATTAGTTAGTAATTCAGGGGCTTATTTAATATTTTTTTACAGGTTTAACTATAATATTTTAAAAAAATAATTAATAAAAAATTAATTAATATTCTTTTATATAAGCTCTGTAAAAAAAATATATTTACTTAATATAACTTAAACAGATTAATTAGGGCCCTGTTTTAGTTAAATAAAATTATAAGTATAGGTTTATTCCTAGTTTTTTTTTCTTTTTATTTATTTTATTAAAAAAATCTTAAAATTTTTAAATATTACTTCCTAAAGATTCCTAAGATATATTAAATATTATAAGTTTTTAAGAAGTTCTGATAAGCATATTTTTATATATAAAATCTTTATTTTTTTTTCAGAAAAAAAGCAAGATTTACTCCTGAAATAATATTCTAAGTTTTAAATAAAAATTATATATTAATATAAGTCCTTATTTTTAAAAATCTTTAGTTTTTTAAGTTTAAGATCTTCTCTTTTTTTATCTTTTTTTAAAATCTTTATTAATATTACTAACATATCAGGGGTTATTTATACTAACAGAAAGGCTACAGGTTAACTACCAGCCTCCTAATAACTAGAGAATTATTTAAAATAATAGTCTTTAAGTATTTAGGTAAAAAAAAAATTATTATTTAATATAAAGAATTAAATTGCTTCCTCTGAGATAAAAAAAAAGTTACTTAAAAATATTTAATAAATATAATATCCTTATTTATTATAAGATTACCCGCGTGTAAATATAATAATAATAAGGCAAGAGATAAAGTAATTAAAATTATAAAAAATAGCTATAAAAGTTTTATTCTGGGTACTTAATTTTCTTAAATAAATATATTAAGGGGTTTAGGACATCTATAATACGCCTGCGGACTACCTGTTATATACTAAGAGATATAAAAAGTTAAGAGATAGGTATATAATAAATAGAATTAATTACTTGACCTCTTAGGGGTTAAGCGGGTGGTCTCTTTTAATAAGGGGTTTCGCGGGAATTAGTTCCTGAATGCCTCGGCAACCCTGCGGACCTCCGGCGGTCCAGTTGTTCCGTGTTCCGCGCTGAGATAAGCGCCGGTGACAATATTTTACTTTATTTTTATAGACAGGCAGTATATTAAAATAATTATCCCTTAAATTTATAAAAATATAATCTTTATATTTTTTTATAGGGGTTATTATTTTTTATTTATTTTTTATTATTACTAAAGCCTTCTGGCAGGGCTTCTAAGTATGTTTTAATATAATAAAGCCTTTAATATCTAATTTATTAATTATCTTACTTAGATATTTTATATTTTTAATTAAAAAATAAGTAAGTTAATAATACTATATTCTAAAGTTAACACATATTTTTTTTATTATTTAAATATAGTAAGGTTTTAATTAATAATTTATATATTAAATTTTAATTATTTCTTTTATAAGAGAGATTTTATTTTACTAAAATAAGATTTAATTTAAATTATAATTCTTAGCTAATTTTATAATATAAGTATTTTTTTAAATATCTCTGTATTTAATAACTAATTTATCTGATATTCTTATGAAGATAACTTTATTTAAAAAAAAATTAATATTAAGATTTTTCTAGTTTATTTTAATAATTCTTATTAGATTAATTCTTATCTCTAGAAAATAAAAAACACTAGTAAGAACTATTTTCTAGACTTTTATAAAATATTAAAAAAATAACTTAACATCTTTAATAAGTATTAAATAAGTTAAATAATCTATTATTATATAAATCCCATAGCAGGATAGCTATGTGGTCCTTATAATAAAGTTATTGGGATTATTAGTAAAATAATAGGTTAATCCTAAATTAATAATCTAGTTATTTTGGCTTATATAATAGATTTTTTTAATATTAATTTTAATTATTTTTTTTTAAATTACTAAGGCTATCTCTCTTAAAGGTTATATAAATAATATTATTATTAAATAAAATATTAAAGAACTCTATTTTTTTTTTCTGTTATTTTTGCTTTTTTAATTAGTCTTTTATTTATTAAAGGACTTTTTTAGAATATTTTTTTTAATAGTTTTTTTTTATAATCTAATTTTTTATAATAAAAATACTCTAGGGATAATTTTAGATTATTATTATTTTTTTAGTTTTTAAAGTTCTTCTTTTTTTTTTTTTATTTTTCTGGTTCTTATTTTTATTTTTACTAAATTTTTTACCAGTTCTAGCTTTAATAAGATTTATTAATTTTTAGTTAAATTTTATATATATCTTTTCTTAAATCAGGACCTGAGACACCTTTATATAAGTTATAGTATCTTTATTAAAGCATAAATTAAAATAAAAGGTTAAAAAGGTCTGCTATATTTCTCCTAAATTATAGAGAAGAAACTAAGTATAAATTAATTTATTAAGGATAACTCTTTTCTTTAGATTTTTATTAAAATAATCTAGTACTAAAGATATCTTCTTAATATATTTATTTATATCTTTATATTATAAATAAATTATTATTATTATTAATTAAAGTTTTTTAAAAAATTAGATATTATATATAACTTTATATTTTCTAGACAGGGCCTTCACAAGATCTATAGCGGTATAAAAATAAATAAACTTATAACAGATAACTTTAGATAATAAAGTAAAAATAATGCTTATTACTTTAGTATTATTATTCTTTTATTTAAAAAGCCTATTCTAAGCTTTTTAGACTATATTAAATAATACTAATCTTTTTAAGATTAATACCAGGGCCTTAGGGCAAGAGAACTTATTACTAACTATATAAAATATATCTTTAATTTATAATTCTGTGTTAAAATCTTTAATCTAATGCTAATAATTTTTTATTAATATAAGTTAAAATATAATATGCTTTCCGGGCGCTATAACTGCTTTATTAAAATATTTTATTTATTTTAAAAATAGTTAATTACTTTAAGATCTGTTTTAAGAGCCCTAAATAAGGGTTCTGGAGGTTCTAGGGGTCTAAATAAAGGATTTAGTTAATTAAGTCTCCAGGCTTATAACCTGTAAGAATTACAAAATAAGATATTATATTTATCTTAAATAAAATATTTAATTTCTAATAATTAAAATAATAATAAAGGGAAGGTTTAGATACACCAGAGGACCCTATTTTATATCTTATAATCTTACTAGGGGTTCCTATTTAATTCAGGAGGTCTCCGGTAAATTACTGCGGATGACCTCATCTTGGCGGGAACATTCCGGTATGCCTACCTAGGATACCGGGAGTTCCCATAGTAGTCACCACATTTGCTCACTGCAGTGGTGGCCAGGGTAAGAGAAATGAGAATAGTTCGGAGATTCATTGCGTTTTCGTACTGATATGCTCAATATGGACAGCGAAAGTTCCTTTCGATTTCTGGTTTCATAGATTCTGGTCGCAGACAGTGACAGTTATATATACCATCAAGCAGACACCTATGCACACAGATGTCTCAGAGCAACGGGAATGATTGGAAGAGAATACGAGCGCGTATAATTTCGACATGTCAGTCTGCTGGCTCGTATACTTGTAGCAAGCCGATCTCAACCCTCTGTCTCATCCCGCCGAGTATCTTTGTCTTGGTCGACGATACGATTGGCGATTTAGAATGCCGGACGGATCCGTGGTTGTTGCCTCCCCACCAAAATACGAGGTTGAGAGGGATGCAGCAACGGTTGGATGATCTTCTGATCGAGATACAATGAAGACATCCGTATTTCAGGGCCTGAGATCCTGACTTAAGGTAGCTGGCGTGGGTTTCCGATGGGAGTTGGGGTTGTACATGATAGGGCTCCCTTGTGGAAGGACAAACATTATTTCTCGCCTGGCTGATGTAATGCTCTGTTCCTTTTATTTGAATCTCTAATGGTAATTCTGTATCACATACAATGTCATTGATAGAATTCCATAGGCCAGGGACCTTTCCGACGAGAATTGGGTCATTGTGACGAAAGTGCCATTTGATATTTGAACGGAACCTGTCATATTCTTTGGTTCTTCCTCGTAACTTACTATTAAACTCTAGAAACGGATACTAAAGCCGGAATTCTACCGCGTAAAGATTCCTAATTAATCTGCGTCTCGACAGAGTTGCTATTGCACTTTTAGTTCTCAATGTGACATAATGTTAAGGAGTCTTATTTAAAACCCCTCCAGCGTCTCTCGCCTCCACGAGTCAACCCACTTTACCTCTTTTACAGACAAAAGACACAATGCCAATGAGCAGAATAATGTCAAAGAGGTTCTATGCCCCTCTACCGCAACCATTTGACCCCTGTTTGTACTGTGTTGCCTGCGGGGCAGAATTCCCAATGCACGATCCACGTGATATATATGATGAGCGGGAGGACTGGACACGCTTGAGGAAGAAACGAAAGAATAGGGTTGCATATGTTAGTGACCAAGAATTGGAGCAAACAGACTTCAAAAGGCACCCGGAACTGTGGTCATTCTTCTACCGCACTAGTCAGTTTTCTTTCGCCTGTCTGAGCCTTGGTGTACTGACGAGAGGACCCTAGTTCTTGATGACCCCCAAAGCGGGTCTTTGCGTCTCTCAGGAATATCGGATCACAGATCTTGGGGGTGGTATCCCCTTCCAGCGCCCTTGGACATCCACAAAGCTCGAATTGGCGGCATACCCAACCCTGACGGTCGGCATAATGTTGATTTTCACATGGTGAACATGCTGAATGCTGACTGGAACCGCGAGAAAGGCCAGCTAATTGGATATCCAATTCATGTTCCCTGCTGGCTTTTGCTTGACCGGGTTATTGGGCATGAGATCATTCGAGACAATCTTCGCCCTTTTATTCAAGCAGTGGAAGGGTTTTGGAAGGATAATAGTAAGCTTTGGGAGGTATTACTCACTCATTCCCAGGAGGAAGATGAGTGTTATGAAAAGGGACAGCACTGGCTCAAGGACCCCCCGAAGATAAAAAAAAAGCCAAATCAGCGTCAACGGTCATTTCCAATAAAACAAGTCACTCCAAAACCCTGGCACGAGCCTGGAAGTCCGTACAGGATTCCTGCAATTCAAGATTTGATTGACAAGGCGTGTCAGGTTAAAGACGGTCACCGCCACCCAATCATTCATAATCACATGGTATCGATGATGCCTATTGAGATTGCGGTTATGATTATAGACATGATTTACCGAGGTCAAAAACACAGTCAAGCGAGGATCAATGATACATGGAATGCTCTTTATGCCTTTCAATGGACACTGCCTGATACATATTGGCAATCACGGTGCAATCCAGAGTTGGTCTTTGAGATCGACGATCTGGCCCAATCGGGAAAAGCAGTGGATTGGCCCTACTTGTGCCTCGGGTTAGAGGAATTACTATTGGACGAGGACTGGTATTGCAATAGTGGGTTGAACAATCGGGGTCGTACTATGAGCATCATGAGTGGAATTAGAAAGAGGTTTCTAGTTTTGCTTGACGCCTGAACCGGAGGTGGACTAGAAAATTAATTATTTACAATGGGACTTAATCGAGCTCGGTGCTGTGTTTGGGCATGATTTTGAATCTACTCTAGTCTTGTTCGTCAATGAATTGCATTGCATTAAGAACTCTACCCGTAGGAGAACTGTTTTCGATCTTAACACTGTTTGAGAAAGACTACGATATTTCGGTTTGTCAATCGATAATCGTAGCCATTTATACATAGGAAATTTCAAATATTCCATAATCCGAATCCAGTACCTGCACTATAGCAATATAGGGAAGTTGCGATGGGTCGACTGTGTAGTAAAACCACCACTGCCATTGGCAGTCAACTTTGTATGTCAGTCACATAGTAAATTGCATTGTCTAAGACTTCATTCTCAGCAGAGGAGTTTGATCTAAGTCCTTACAAAATACGTTTGAAGTCTATCCAAAGCAAAGCAAGCCATCATGGCACCTCTCGATCCAATGCGGTCTTCAAACACAGTAATAAAATGACTGACGGGATTCGTAATTGCGCTAACAACAAACAGTACATGGACATCGTTTCAATCGCCCATGAGATCGAGGACATCAGCGCCAGTACCAGTGAAGGGCACGTAAATGGGGTGTGGCAAGCGATTCTAGACTGGGTGTTTCCATCTACAGAAGGGTATATCACCAGGGCACAAGCCCAACACACCGCGTGGGGAGGCCGGAGAGGGTTTTCGGACTTCCACACATTTGAGTGGGACGACACCACCAAGCAACGAATCTTTTTTCTTGTAACCCAGTGCAAGCCACAACGGAAAGAAGGCCAGGATTCGGCCTGGCAGGACGGAGCAAACCAGCTTGGTGGTTATCTAAGGATGCAGCATGGCACGAGGCCAACAAACGAACGCCGCGACGTCTATCTTGGCTATAGGTGACTTGTAAATCGCAGCATGAGTTACGAGGAACTGAAGTTGACGAGGCCACCAAGAATGTCAAAACTTCCTGCATCTTCCTGCATCACAGTTAGCTCGGTAATTATCGGAATAGATCGGTTTTGAGATCATTTATCTTCCTTTCGTTCCTCCAGGTTGCTAACCGAGAGGTCCACCGACGCCCTACCCCGTACTACCCCGTATAGCCACGTCACTTCAAATAATACTGTAGCATCAGCTCCATTAGTACACCCCGCTTGGAAGCAAGGAAACGTAATAACATTCTGTTGGAAATGCGACCTGCTTGTTCTGTAAGGAGCGCGAACTCTGCAGGTCCGAAGCGATAGACCCGATTGGGGCCGTTAGGGCTGGCCAGACACGAGGTCGAGCGATGAAGAATGACGTCGACCAGCATCTTCTCGTGAACGTAACTCGAATTGTTTATGTCGGCTCTCCTGGCAACAAACCGCGCAGGCAGCCAATTTCCGACCGGTGGAGTGTCCCTGGCAGTCCGTCAAACTCTGGATCGGCCCACAGCGTGGGGGAGCGCTTTCCGGCTATACCAATCACCATGGGAACTATCGCTCCTTTATCAATTGCTCCCCAGGCCGAGAGATCCTGCGCCCATTCCAGCAATCAGATCGCTTGCCCTCCGCATGTGAAGCCAAGACTGCCAAGGAGGCGTCGACAAGTGAGAGGAGGGCATTGCTGCACGCGTTGGTCTCCATCATGGACGGCAATCGCCGGTAACAACTATAAAACGCGTCTGTCACCCACGTTGATGTTGATCTTTTTCTCTCCTTTTTCTGCACGGGCTCATTCTTCCTCCTCTCTTTTCCATTTGATATCCCTCCTCCCTTTTCTCCCTCTGCAATGCATCTCTCTCTTCTCTTCACGGCCGGTGTCGCCGTGGCCGCTCCGTCCTTCAACCGTCGCCGTCAGGCTAGTCACAATGAATCGATCACCAACATCCAGGTCGGACCTCGTCCGTTCTACCTGATCGACGACATGGACGCAAGCCCCCTGAAGGATGAGCTGCAAGGGTGCTCCGAGAAGCGCATCACGCACGCGCCGACCTTCTCCATTTCGCATCGCGGCGGCCCCCTGCAGATCCCCGAGCATAGCCGCCAGGGGATGTTGGCTGGCGCGCGCATGGGGGCTGGCATCGTCGAGTGCGACGTCGCCTTTACCAAGGACCGCCAGCTCGTGTGTCGCCACTCTCAGTGCGATCTGCACACCACCACCAACATCCTGACCATCCCCGAGCTGGCCGCCAAATGCTCCACCCCCTTCGAGCCGGCCACCGACGACCAGCCCGCCCAGGCCCGCTGCTGCACCTCCGACATCACCCTGTCCGAGTTCAAGTCGCTCTGCGCGAAGATGGACTCCAGTAACGACTCGGCCACCACCCCCGAGGACTACCAGTACGGTGGACCCAACTGGCGCACCGAGCTCTACGACCAGTGCGCCACCCCCGTCGAGCACAACGAGTACATCGACCTGATCGACTCCCTGGGCCTGCAGTTCTCGCCCGAGCTCAAGGAGCCCCAGGTCGACATGCCTTTCCAGGGCAACTACACCCAGGAGATGTATGCCCAGCAGCTGATCGACGACTACAAGCGCAAGGGGATTCATCCGTCGCGCGTGTGGCCGCAGTCCTTCGTCGAGGACGACATCTTCTACTGGATCAAGCACGAGCCCGCCTTCGGTCGCCAGAGTATCTACCTGGACGAGCGGATCGACACCGAGGATGGATACGCCAAGGCTGTCGCGAGTCTCCCGGAATTGGCCAAGAAGGGCGTCAAGATCATGGCGCCGCCGATCTTTGCGCTGCTGAACGCCACCGACGACGGCGAGCTCGTGCCGTCCGAGTACGCGAAGGCCGCCAAGGATGCCGGTCTGGATCTTATCACTTGGTCGCTGGAGCGGACAGGTCCGTTGAAGGCTGCGGCTGAGGAGAAGGAGTATTACGTGCAGTCAATTGCGGATGCCATTAGCAAGGACGGTGACATGTATCGCATTGTCGATGCGTTGGCGCGCAAGGTTGGCGTCAGGGGGATTTTCTCGGACTGGCCGGCCACGGTGACGTACTATGCCAACTGCGTGGGTTTGGCGTAATTCTGAAGACATCTAGATGTAAATATCATGGCGAATAGTGAGTGTATAGATTAGAGGATGAAAAGGGGAGGATGTACGACTAAATGGGGATAATGAAACGAATATACGAGTACGAGTCTGCCAATCTCCGCCTTAACCTTAACAGTCCAGTGTCTAACATCTCTGTCAAAATCCCCGGATAAAGGGTCCGATCTGCATCGTGACCGAGAGAACTAAAGCTTCATCCGGGAAAGCCGAGTGTCCCACGGGGAATCCCCGCATTGTCGGGGCGATGATGGCCCGAACGATCCACTCTTCAATCGCCTCCAGGCCGCTGCATGCCGTTGCTTGTCACCGATGCCAACAACCGTCAAGATCGGCGTGTGGAGTCCTGCATCTCGGGGTAAATCTGTCACGATGCCCGGGGAAGCAACCCCAGACCCGAATATTAGAGTCTTCGGGTCCCCGGGGTAGCAGTTGAGGCTTTTCCTGTCCATTAGACTCACAGCAGAGCCGTCTCGCCACAATGCCGCTCTGGAAACATGACTTTCGAGGCCGGTCCTTGATCATCGCCATCACGCTGGCCTCGTGCCAGGCCTTTCTGCTGCTGGGTTTCGACCAGGGCGTGATGGCTGGCATCATCGGCGCCGAGAACCGCTTCGGTCGCGACTTCAACAACCCTGACGCCGACATGCAGGGGAATATCACGGCGCTGTACGATATCGGCTGCGTGGTGGGATCCATCGTGGCGTATTTCGTGGCCGAACGACTGGGTCGTCGCACGATGCTGATTGCCGGAGGATCCATCATGATCATCGGCACTGCTATCCTGGCCTCCTCGTTCACCGTCGCGCAGTTGATCGCCGGAAGAATCATCACTGGCATCGGCAACGGCATGAACTCGTCCACGGCGCCCGTGTATCAGTCGGAGTTGTCGCCCGCCTCGTATCGCGGTGCCCTGCTCACACTGCAGGGCACGGTGACTATCCTGGGCGTGGTGATTGCCTACTGGTAAGCCCCTATCATCCTATCTACAGAACCTATACCGGAACAATGTATACTAACCCCAGAAGGATGGACTACGGCACTAGCTACACCGAATCCTCCCTACAGTGGCGCTTCCCCCTCGCCTTCCAGGCCGTCTTCGCCCTCTGCCTCGTCCTGCAGGTCATCGGCCTGCCCGAGACGCCTCGCTGGCTGGCCTCGCGCGACCGATTCGAAGAAGCCCGCGAAGTCGTCGCCGCCATCGAAGATAAACCCATCCACGATCCCTCCGTCAGCACCACCATCCTCGACATCCGCACCAACCTGGAGGAAGAACACAAGGGCGGGCCCTTCCGCGTCAAGGAGCTGTTCACATGGGGCGAGAACCAGAATCTGCGCCGTCTGCTCATCATCATCTCCATCGAGCTGGGCCAGCAGTTCAGCGGCTCCAATATGATCAATTACTACGGCCCCGTCATGTTTCAGGAGACCATGGGCATGGATCGGAATCTGGCGATGATTCTCGGCGGCTGCATCCAGTGCACGTATCTTGTTGGGTCGGCTATTCCAGTCTTCCTGATGGATCGCTTCGGTCGACGCACCCTGCTGCTCATCAGTACGGTCGGGCTGTGCTTCTGTTTCGTGATGGTCTCGATTCTGCTGTCGCTGGGCCAGACGAATGCGGCGTATGGAGCCACTGCGTTTATTTTTATTTTCCAGATCTTCTATGGCTCGGGGTGGCTCTGCGTGCCGTGGTATTATCCCAGTGAGATCTGCTCCAACCGCATCCGCAGTCGCATGCAGGCGATTGCATCTGGGTGGAACTGGATGGCGGTGTTTGCGGTGGTCAAGATCACTCCGATTGCATTTGGTGAGTTTCCTTTATCCAGACTATCCTATGAGAAGTCAACAGAAGTGGGAGTGAACAATACTAACGGACACAGCCAACATCGGATGGAAAACCTTCGTCATCTTCGCTGTCCTCAACGCCGCCTTCTTCCCCATGGTGTACTTCTTCTACCCCGAGACTAAGGGCCTGGAGCTCGAGGATCTTCCCCTGCTGTTTGCCAAGGGTGGATTCACCGGTGGTGTCTACTCGTCCAAGGGAGGGCGAACGGTGCTGCCGGGTCAGCATGCGCAGGAGCGGAATGTGGATAAGAAGGTCGAGGAGGAACAGGTCGAGCGAGTAGAGTAGTCTCTTTGGTACGATTTATGGCTTATGTTGGGATATTTAATTGAAAGCGAATATTATGGGAGAATATGTAAGATAGTCCGAGTTCTTGAAGTACGTTCGTAGAAACATGTCATGTCATATCACATTGCCATTTTCAATCTGCCAGTTTCATACACATACAGTACTATCATTTCATATCAGATGATGATCAACATTCTTCCACCGAAGTAGTCGAGAACAGCTAAAGCTCGTCAATCTTGGGCTCCTCTCGATCCGGCCAGAGGATCCTCTCAATCTCGTCGCGTCTCTCGAGGGGCCGGAACTCGACGTCTCCACGGTCGGCTTTGACCTATACTTTCTCAGCCACTTCTTTATTCTTCCATGTCGCATTATCGCATAGGGAGAGGGCGATGGCATACCGAAGCCTCGCTCAGGGTCGCATGCAGCTCATCCCACGACGGGGGTGCTCCGCCGGCTTTCTTGATGATCAGGGTCGGCGACTCGTAGTCGTCGGGAAAAGTGGCCGCCACGTAGACTGCCGTGTTAGTGCGCTTTGGATGGACATGGTGAGGCTACGTACAGTCCTCGCCTTTGGTGCTGATCGGTTCAGGATGGTAGGGGCGTAGACGGGGCTGGAGGACGGTGGCAGGGCGGAGGGAGCGCAGGAGAGTGGTGGAAAGGGGTTTTGATAGAGACGGAATCATGGACATTATGATGTTTGTCTGGATGAGATATCGATTTACAGCGATATGTTGTTAGAACGAGGAGAAGTGCAGTTGATAGTAGGTCAAATATACGCAAATGTATGTTGGTCATGATGATGTCAGTCGCCATCGCCGCTTTGGTTAGAGCGACATCCCCGGATCCATGGGTCGGATGGCTTCAAAGTCTGGTCGAGGGGAATGTTTGGATTAAATGAATTTCACTTTACTTGGACTCGGGGTTTGAATGCGAAACATGAGTTCATTGGATTTCATTGGGGGTTGATGGTGTGATTTCCGACCGGCAGACGCCATCAGAGACTTCAGCAACCTCAATGTCAACTTCACCACTTCATCTACATCCATCTTGCTGTTTCTTCCTTAATTAGAAAGAAATGGAATACCCCATGAACGCTCGCACATCCAAACCGCATTCCCATCCCCATTGCCAGCCCATGGCATACAGTAACCCGGCTATGCCGACGACTGTCAATCCCACGTTGCGCCACGCCGTCTGAATCACTCGAACGACGTTATTCTGGTAGCTCTCTAGCATGTGTGCAGGCGTGTTTCCAGAGGGAAACTCCTCGTCGGGGATATCTTTCTCCAGAAATCTATCTCCAGTAAGTCCCCATCGCAAACTACCCTCACAAACCAAACTCACCGACAAATAGGCTCCCATCCATCGCCAGGCGTCCACTCAAGCAGCTGCTCGCGAGGAACCATTCCTCTGATCACCGCGTTATGCTCTTCATACACCCACTTGCCATGTCTGGCCCACGAGCCCCGGAAAAACTGCTCCTGAGCCTCCGTCACGAACCGTCGCTGCCAGTACAGATCGGCCTGGAACCAGGGCAGAACGTGCCACAGCGTGCCCGACGTGAGCGGCCTGATCACCGACCCGAAGCTGCAGTACCAGTCGTCGACGTTGCGGTGGTTCAGGATCACCTTCGCTTCCGGGTACGCCTTGATGAGCTCCGGCGCGAACAGTGCCCCCGGCTGGTCGGTGATGGCTTCGCAGTTCCCGAAGAGCGCGTCGAAGTCGCTGCGTTCGAGATCCGATGACCCCGTCACGGTGCTGGCTGTGCCCCATTTCCGGCGGCCCAGGAGCGTCCAAGGCCGCCAGAGAGTCGGCGTGCGAGTGAACATCTCGAAGCCGTGGAAGACGTGGTCGTAGCCGAGGATGCGCAGTGCTCGAGAGAGCGATTCGCTGCCGCTGCGTGAGAAGCCGAGGGCCATCACGCGCATGGGTTTGGTGCGAGTCTGTGGCTCGTAAGGCGTGTGGTAGAGCCATGATTCGAGGGTGTTCATGATGGCGGTTGCTCTCGGGTCTTGAATGAGAGGATCTTGAGACGGACGTGAGCTCCTTGCCAGTTCAATTCGATTGTCCTCATCTGTTTGCTCTGATTTTAACAAACCACCGATCGGTGGGGGTAACGCGAGCCTTGCGATTCAGATCGTGCGATTGGTGCCCACTCGCTGAGGTCTAGACTATACACAGTTAAACACGAGCAACAAGTCTCGGCGGGCATGTCATATTGGACAGGGATCGTCGACGCTGTGGACCGTTGTCGGTTCTTGACTTTTCGCTACGAAATCCCCGCCTGATTCCTCTGCTCTAGTTTCCTGTGGAACGAGAAGCTCAGGCTGATTTAACAGAATAAAAATACTAACAGTCGTCATCCTAGCACTTGAGCACCATAGTTACGAACTACTTCATAAGCCGCAATCCTGTCGGAAATATTTGATTCAAGCTCAGGGACGCGGTCCCTGTCTCAATTATAATACAAGCACATCCCCAAATAATCCGTCAGAGATCCGTTTACTGGACGGTGAGGGAAGCAGACCCGCTGCTCTGGTAACCCTCGGTGGCCAGGATCTGGTAGTTGTGCTCGCCCAGCGTGAGGCCGGACTTGGCCCAGGCGTCGAAGTGGTTCTGCACGGTGACGGTGCCGCCGGTGCGCAGGTTGTCGCGGACGGACCAGAACTGGGTGAAGCTGGCGGTGCCCTGGACCGAGGGGGCGTTCTCGCGCTGGGTCTTGTAGATCTTGTACGAGCTGCCGTCGCTGGTGACGGTGCCGATCTGCTCGGCGCCGGTCGACGGGTTGTAGTCGCCGTAGTTCTCGACGATGTAGTACTCGATCAGGGGGTTGATGGTCCAGCCGTACACGGACAGGTAGCTGTTGCCGCTGGGCGTCCAGGTGCCGCTGTAGGTGACGGCGCTGAAGAAAGGTTAGCTGGGAGGATCGTGGATACATGAAGAGATGGAGGAAGCCTACTTGGAGCTGCCGGGGTTCCAGCCCTTTCCGGCGACGAAGTTGCCGCAGTCCTTCCACTCGACGCTGTACGAGCCGCCGTTGCCGTTGGAGTAGGTCACATCGCCGCCGTTGTCGGTCCAGAAAGAATAGTAGTAGCCGTTGTCGTTGCCCGTCTGCGAGGAGGTGAGGCCGCGCTTGGCCATCTCGACGAGGGAGTGGTCACCGGGGGCGGCAAACGCGCCGGAGACGGCGGAGACGGCGAGCAGGAGAGAAGAGAAAGCGACCATGGTGAATTGTGCCCGAGAGAACGGTTCGTTGGGTTGGAACTGGAGGATTGACTGGTTCACGACTGTCCGGGAACCCGTCCTCGCTTTATATCCGGGTCTCTCCCTGCGCTCGACCCGTTATTATTGATTAAAACCCAAAACAAATTCACCACCAGCGGTTTCACGCCTCCGAAGCTCCTCCTGCATACTGCCGACTGCGTGCTCTGGGGTGCATTGCTGAAATTGGCACGGAGGCCGTGTTTCAGGTAGAGATTGACAGCCCACTTTTAGCCGTCAGTCGCGCCGACAGTGGCCAGCCAAGATCGAGGTTAAACGGCCATGTGGAGTGGCTCCTCCACTCTGGCCGGTGGTGAAGATTCCTCGGTTCTGTCTAGTTTCACTTCTCCTGGCTAAAATGCCCTCCGGTATGCTGCCCCTGAGTCGAGACTGCGAATGGTGCCACGGTTAGGCTATGTGACGCCGGATACTGCCGGACTTTTTAGCCTCGACTGGCGTGGGTGATTGGATTATGCTAAATATGGACAGGAGAGGCCCAGAAAGCTTGATGAGAAACGTCTCAGCCAAGGTTTGCCATTATCCGGGATCGACTTTCCTGTCAAGTGTCACCGGCGCGAGATCTGACTTGTAACAGTCGAGGTTCCGTCGCATGCAGCCATGTTTGATTTTGGCCGGAGATTGTCGATCGCGACCGAGCCTGAAGGTCAGAATTCGGGTGGAATCAGAAATCACGGAGATGTTTCTTAGGACGCCATGTTTGCTATGATACTGCGTACTCGTATACTAGCAAGTATGAAAGCCGGATACTCGATATTGCAGAGCCACCGGACTAAAAATAGATCATGTGGCGCTCAAGGGGATAAACGTACGGAGTAGTATCTCCGGAAGACCCAGTGGATTAAATAAATGCCATTCCACCCTGATAGTTGCAAAAGTGTCTTAACAAAACCAACGGAGTGCAGAATACAGCCTCAACGCAGAGAATGAACTGGTCGTGAATGCCAGCGAAGACGTGCATAAACTCGGCTAACGGAGCCACATCGGAGAATGGAAATGGCGGGGTAGAAATACCAATTCAATTAGAGAGACGACATGAATATGCACTCTCAATCACCCACTGAACATCACCCACCATGGCTACAAACCTCAAGGCCGAGATGATGCTTTGCATCGACGACATCAAATCCGCCGCGACGGCCAAATTGCCCTTCATCGTGCGAGGTCCGTTGCTTCTTCCACTTTCCCGACAGACGACGCTGATTCAATCTAGAATTCTACAGCTCCGGATCCACGCAGCAAGTCACCGTGTCCGAGAACTCATCGGCCTATAATAAATACCGTCTCCGGCCTCGCGTCCTCGTCGACGTCTCTGGTCTGGATATCTCCACCACGGTGTTTGGTCAACGCATCGCCTTTCCCCTCGGTCTCTCGCCGACCGGCATCCAAGCCATGGCTCACCCCGATGGCGAACTGGCCACCAGTCGCGCCTGCGCTCGTAGAAACGTCCCCATGGGCGTATCCTCGTTTGCCAATCACTCCGTCGAGGAGATCACGCAGGCAGGTCAGGCCATTGGTCCGGCCATTCATGTCATGCAGGTCTATACGATGCGAGACCGCGCGAAGCAGGAACGCATCATCCGACGCGCAGAAGCGGCGGGCTGCAAGGCGATTTTCTTAACGGCCGATAGTCCGGTGTTGGGGGTGCGCTATACAGAGGTGAAGCATGATTTCCGCACGCCGGCGGGATTGTCGTTTCCGATGATCGAGTGGGATTCGGAGACGATTCAGAACCAGACGCATGATGCGGGATTCGTGGCGTTTAACTCAGATGCGCATTCTTGGGCCAAGGAGATTCCCTGGTTGAGGTCGATTACGAAGATGCAGATCTGGATTAAAGGCGTCTTGACGGCAGAGGATGTTCTTCTGGCGAAACAATTTGGCTGTGATGGTGTCGTCGTGAGCAATCACGGCGGTAGACAGTTGGACGGCACTCCAGCGACCCTCGATGCGTTGCCAGAATGTGTTAAGGCTGCTGGTGGCCAGATCAGGGTGCATATCGACGGTGGCATTCGGACTGGCAGCGACATCTTCAAGGCATTGGCGTTGGGGGCCGAATGCTGTTGGATTGGAAGGCCTACGCTGTGGGGGTTGGCGGTATGTCAATCACTCTGACTGGGAAGACTTCGCTAACGGGATTTAGTATGATGGAGAGAAGGGAGTGTCTCGGGTGTTGGATATTCTCTACGACGAGTTTAAGCGCTGCATGCAGTTGACTGGATGTCGCACTCTGGCCGATGTTTCGACGGCCTCCATCGGCGTGCTGAGATCGGACGGACCGCTGGCTCGTCTTTAGGATATATTCATGCCCCAGGAGCTTGGATAGAAATCGACATTAGACTCATTGCAATCAAGGTATTAGAACGTGAAAGATAACAAAAACTCCATTCACCGACACTATGTAGGTAGATCCTGGTATAAATTGTAACGAAAAACAGGATATCAAACGTTCACCACCTTCACCTGAGTCCTCTCTACATGCTCCACCTCCAGCGCCTTCGCCAGTTCAGCATCCGTCAAGCTGTCGGGGCTGGGATAAAAATCGATCCTGCCTCCCTGTCGGATGACACCGGTGCGGTCCAGACAGTTGCGACCTCGCACATACGGATCCAACCGCCAGTAGTTCAGTCGCAAGTCCTCGGCCACGTCGGCCCTCCGAGCCTTGACTTCACTCTCCTGTTGCTTGTTGTTCGCCTTGGCTGCGTCGATCCACTCGCCGGTGACGCGCAGCAGATCGTCGCCGATGCGCTGACGCTCCGCCGTGAGTACATCGCGCGTTTCCGTGTCGGCCATCTTGGCGTTTTCGCCTTCGACGGGCTCGACGTATTCGTAGTCCCATTGTTCCTTTCCTTTGAGCTCCTTGACGATCTGGTCCGGGGCAATGTATTTCTCCAGGTCGGCGACGGAGTTGGTGAAGTGGATCTTGGAGACAATGACGGGGTCCATCCAGGCCTTGATGATGCGCCAGATTCCTAGTCCATGTCAGATTACTTTTCTGGTTGGAGGTGTGCATGTTTCGTACCTGAGAAGACCCACGGGGCGTTGTGGATGAGCATGGTGCCCAGTGATTCGGGGTAGTTGTTCTGGAAACAGTCGATGAGGAACTTGACGGGGGCATATTCCTAACAAACGATGAGTCAATAGATACTTAGGTTGAGAGACGACGGCGACTAACCATGTTGGAGAGTGAGAATCCCGTCAAATCGAACACGATAGTCTAGACAGATTAGCCAACGCAAGGCACGAAGTGACGATAGCACATACCACGTTCTCCATCGGCGGCACCAACAGCAATCGCGCCGTCTCGATAACATGCAGAATGTACCGGTTGATCACCTCCTCACTCTGCTCCGCAGGCTTATGCAGTCGAGCCTTGACAACGCCAATGGGGCGACCGACCCGGTCGACACCGTGGAAGTATGCCTTACCGCAGCGCATCTGCGCTAGGAACGAGCTGCCGGCCTTCGCAACCTGCGGGTCGGCCTTGTTCTGCGAGTCCTTGAGCGCATCCAGCTCCGAATTGGCAATCACCTTGTCGTCGACGTGCTGGTCCTTGATACGCCACACCAGGGCGTGCAGCATCATCACGAACGCCTTGTTCACGTCCCACTTGCGGGCCCGCAGGAACCGCAGCATCAACGCGTCCGGGTGGTCATGCTTCGCCGTGCTCAGGAGACTCAGACGGAGCTCGTCGATGGAGGTGTTGGCCAGGGCGTCGCGAACCGACTTCAGCTCCGCTCCCTGGATGCCGACATCCTGCAGGGTCTGGGCGAATTCGGTGGTGTAGGCTGAGTTCGGGTTGGCGGAGGCGGCGGTCTCCGTGCGAGCCAGCGAGGTTTGTTCATGCGAGCCCTGAGCCCCAGCGTTGTGCAGCTTCAGCACGATGGACCAGAGCTGGCGCAGACGGGACTCCTGGTCCGATGTCAGGTTTCCCAGGAAGCCCTGGGCGACGGTAGTGGTGGTCATGATGTTGACAGAGAGGTCAGGGAATAGTGTACAGAGGAATCTGATTCAAAAAGCCTTCATCGGTCTGGCAGGGTCGTATTTAACATCAAAAGACAGAGCCAGCCCCTCGTCGATCGTCTTGCATATGAAACCCCTTTTTCGTCTTCTTATTTCCCCGCAAAGACGATCGACAAACCTCGGATCTCGACACATTCATGGGATTTAGGATCAGTGCATTTGGCCCATGGCGATTGGTCGGTTCCAGGCCCATTTATCAGACAGGCCTTGGTCCTTGCGCTGACGGTGGAGACTCGGCGTGCTTTTTCCACCATTTATTGGGTCATCGCAGCCAAAGTTTGGTCCGAGCCCGTTCTCTAACAGGGGGGTTCTCGCTACGCCCAGTAGCAGGTCTGATGAATATTGGGCTTTTTCGACGCGATGGGCGTCCCATCGACATCTTGCATGCATGCCACTGTTCATCAGACACACTTGCTAGGGATGCTCATTTCCCCTTGCCCTCACCGAGATAAATCCGTAGCATGTGCAATGTCTAGGTTTCATGTCATCCCAAGACATGCAGTCCCTCATGTAGGTGCTCTCACTCTATCTAAAGCGGTGCGTCTGTGCCCCTGTGCCCTACTACTCCGTATTCTCCCCAGACTTTCGAGTCAGAATTGGCTACTCAGCCGGCAGTGGTCACTGGACTCGGGGCTGTCGCGTGGAGGGTGGTTCTCGGGGATATAATTAGATTGCCTCGGTCAGGTTTTATCTGCCGACGCTTTTTGAGGCACGATCAGCGGGATCTGCCTGCCCCTCGAGCGTGGGGATGCAGCAATATCAGGCTTTCAGAACCTCAGAAGTCGGAATTCAGGGGTCTCGCCGGCCTGAGGATCCCCATCGCAACGCCTTCCTGATTTGGAAATGGGCTAGCTATCCCGGGTATAGTGTGTGTTTAGATGACATCATCGAGGTATCCCTTTGGCGACGCCGGATGGACTTCCATCCCACTTCTTCTGGTCTTGGAGATAGAAGCCGAGGAAGGTGGTAGAGATTGTGGGAATTATTTGTCTGAACACGAGTGTGGGAAGAAATATCTCGCCCCCCGCATACTACACGGAGTATCTCCATATGGCTAGGACTGACAGTCAGTTCAACTATTTCGGGACATCGCGCTAGAATGGCACTATTCACTGTCAACCTGTCAGGGAGAAGGCTAACACGGCCAATCATATTAGAAGTGCTTGATTTGTCCAAAGGTCGTCATGCACTCGCATCGGATTGATGTAACCAAGCAACCGAGGATGTCACGGCAGTCGAAACCATAGAGTTAGCATGAAGTGATGAATCAAAAGTGTAATTAGATTTCAGTCTAACCGTTCAGAAGTCCAACGTAGATAGAACTTAAAGGTAAGAGCAAGAGGCGACGATCCGACGGAAAATCCTTTCAAATGGAATGACGAATAATCTCGTCCTGGGCGTTAGAACCCGTGTATGGACCCAGCATACCCGATGCCCGCCACATTAATGCTCGAGTTTCAAAGTATGAGGGTATTTCCATCCATTCGAGTTTATCCTCAAGCGACATAGAATCCCAGTTTTCTGGTAGTCTTTCCTCGGCGTCTTGTGGCGGGACAATAATTTTGCATGACCCGTCAGCTAAAATCTCCACAAGGGGATCCTTGGGTTTGTTTTCGGATGCTTTGGGCGGGCATTCTCTATTAGGCTGCTGAGGTGGATTGGTCTTTGGAGCACTGGAGGCTTCCTGCGAAGGTCCGGGCCCAATGGGTCGAAAGATACGAGCGGCTGTCGTCTGGTCCAGCAGCTTTCCATCGCGAAGCTCCTGCACAAAGAGTGTTTCCGGAACCGTCCCTTCTTCACAGTATAGCTCCAGCATGTTTCTTGCCCGCTGAGCCAACTCGTCTCTATCCCGTGTCCAAGACAGCAGCTCTTCCCTTTCGCTTCCGTGCACATGTCTTTTCCCAAACTGGTGATGACAAGCCCCTCGACGGATAAAGTCTCCCCAATTGTTTGAAAGGCGAAAGTTCAGTCTATCGTTGTGTCTTTTCAACTCATCGCCCTCATCAGTGCCCCAAAATGTGGTCACGAATGTCAAGCGTCGAAAGAAGAACTGCCCACAAAGCGCCTCGAGCCAACTGCAAAGCTTTTTCTCAAATAACCCATGTCGAATATCCCAGTTGCTGACAAGGAACCACACTCCAACAATTTCGAGATGGTCTCGAATATCTTCAATCAATTCCATAATCTTCCGGGCTATTTCCCACGCGTTGTCCGGGCCATCGAACCCTGGAGTGTCGATTATGAAGCGCTCCGTTTGGTTGATCACAACGCTAGCGATCTGACATTCGGTGGTTCCTGGCTCAAAATATTCATATTAGGTACCTGAATCTTTGTGCATCATGTCGTTGAAAGCTTGCCTGCGGTAGTATCGTGTCCAACAAGACCTGCTGCGCCTGTAGCAAGCTCTGCGATTGAAGACTTTCCAGCTCCAGTTTTGCCGAGTACGAGCACGCCCTTCGCTCTGGTTGTCGTATGACTCTTGATTCGTGCTAGGCATTCTTCTGTTCTTTTGGCGTTGTGATCCTCTTCAGAGATCATGTTGACAAAGGTTAGTCTCGCCCACTGCGCACTGAATTAGTTGGACGTTATAGATGGGCTTTTTCTTTCTGTTCTCCTGTGATAGAACAAGTAAAATAGTACATCAGACCCTTGATGGCCATGTGAACCTGTCGTCGGTCAAGGGATATATATAGGTAAAAAACGGTGTTTACTATCATGGATCGAGGCGTCATGGAACCGCATCCCGGGCATAGCTTGTTCAGCTGGCGCAGCAAATCAATATCAATTGCACCGAACTGAGTCTGTCAGAATGCGTTAATTGCGAGTTAAAGTTTGGTTAGAGGCCTTTCTAGGCCGAGCTAGATGTTTGTGGTCTTCTCAAGTGTTGGCACGTGAGCATGCGACTTCTCACATGAAGTTGAATTCCTTCGCCCAAACCACTCAGAGAAGGACCCCGAACTACTTGAGTCTTCAAATCATGAAGTGAAAAATATCACTGCTGGATCTATTGGCTTTTCATGCGGCATCAAGCCTGTACTAGGTCTATATGATATGATCTATATCGCCGTCGTGATATAGGCCCTTCGAAAGGCCGCTTCTTTTTTGAGATGCCGAGAGTTCATGGGTAGAGAGGCGCCAATAAAACTTCATGACAAGGATCCGTTCAATTCGTGCCAGAGAACAACAACATGATTTGCTGCGAGATGGCAGTCGGCAGAAACAAGCCAAGCACTGCCGATGGCCAAGAAAGGCGCAGCATTTCTCGTGGGGCGGTGATAAGCAGGATAAAGATGCTCCTCAGTGGTCATACTTGAATTTTCGTTCTTTTCCTCTCTTCCCTCTCTTCTTGCCCTTATCTCCTTTACTGCTTCATTCACAGAGGGAGGGAATTCATTCCATCTCAGTTGAAATGTCTTCCGATCTTGAGAACCCCCCGGCCGTGGCATCCGCTGCCGATCCCCTGAACCTCTCCAGCAAATTCAAGCGCTCGTCAGATATTCCGGCTGCGGCCAACAGCTCACGAAAACGCATTACGGCTTCCATGAAAAGCAAATCGAAAGTCGCCGACTTTTACACACAGCAAAACGAGCACATCGAGCGACTCCTCAAGCCCGTACACGACCATGTCCGAGAGTCCCGGGACAACGAAGCCTCCAATCAACTGCAATATCAAATCGCGGTGTATGGTTCCTTCGTGTGCAACATCTTTCTGTCTGGCCTACAGCTTTACGGCGCCATTTCCTCCGGATCGCTGTCGCTCTTCACCACCATGGCGGACTCCATCTTCGACCCCATGTCTAATATCACTCTAATCCTATGCAACCGCGAGGCAAAGAAGGGATATACGCATCGATTTCCAGTAGGCAAGTCGCGAGTCGAGACGGCCGGCAATATCTTCTTCTCTTTCATCATGATGGCTGTCTCCTTAATCTTGATTGCCTTTTCATGTCAGCAGCTGGCGCAGGGCGGAGAGGCGGATTTTCACCTGCCATCGGTGATTGCCGTGACCGTCGCTTTTGCAGTCAAATTGGGCCTATTTCTCTACTGCTGGGCCTTGCGGAATACCTATTCCCAGGTTCGCATTCTTTGGGAGGATCACCGCAACGACCTCTTCATCAATGGGTTCGGTATTCTGACCTCGGTCGGTGGTTCCAAACTCAAATGGTGGATTGATCCCATGGGCGCCGTTATTCTCTCATGCTTGATTCTGGGCCTCTGGCTGCATACCTCGATCGGCGAGTTTAAGCTGCTGATCGGAGTGTCTGCAGACGCTGGCATGCTGAACCAAATCACGTACATCGCCATGACCCATAGCGACTCGGTTGAGGCGGTTGATACCGTACGCGCATATCATTCGGGGCCGCAGTTGATTGTAGAGGTTGATATTGTCATGAATGCCAATCTGCCACTGCATGTCTGCCATGACGTGGCGGAGGATCTGCAGGAGAAGCTGGAGAGTCTCCCAAATGTTGAGCGGGCGTTCGTGCACATTGATTATGAGGTGACGCATCGACCAGAACATATGAAAAAGTTTATTTAGTGTAGAGAAGATATTACTAGACCAGGGAACATATAGATTCATGAAGCATTATCAAAGATTATTGGAGCCATAGTCCAAGGGACTTAAACCCAATCTCGCTTTAGCAGTAAGGGTTGGGCCTGAAAGTAGCATAGAGTGCTTCTGTCTCACTAATGGCTGAAAGCAGATAGAAAATTCTCTCAGATCTGAAGAGAAAAGTCCTCTTGTCCCTAGGCAGTTAGGTCCGGTTACTTCTGCAGGGCCGACTCAGGGCTAGAAGCAATATCCCCTAGGCTAGGAACGCAGAAATGTCCTGACTCCATCAAGCTAGTTCATGCCTTCAAGTGCCTCTCCGCAATCAATTGAGAGGGATCGTTTAGCCTGTAGACCGAAGACCCGACGGGGTTCAGCCACCGCGAGATCCCTGCGGACTGTCGCAAATCAGTTGCCGCCAATGCCCGGCTACAATTTCCCCGTTCGAGTCTTCAGCGCACCCCTTACTTTGGGCTGTAATTAATAAGAGCAGATATTACTCGAATGAGGGGTTTGCAGTCCCTTCTGGCGGGCTTGGCTTCGCTCTCTTCTCTGGAGAATGTCCGGAATCACACCGTGGCCGGTCTTCCGCGGGTCTTCACGTCCATCGTGATCATGCTGCCGTATTGTGGCGTTTTGCGACCCTCCATTCCATTTCTATAAGGGTGTTCCTTTGCCACGACATGTTGCGACGTGGTACCCCCGACCGTGCGTGCCATATGGGACCCCTTACGCTGTCCCCATCTTATTGCAAAAAGCGATAGCCCCGATGGATGGCATGGCCCACTTCCGCAGCAGGCGCAAAAGGCGAAATACGGTGATTAGAATTCTTCTCTTCGCCTTCGGCTGTGCGCTCTGGTATCATGCCGTCGTCGGTTGGTCCGGTGCGTTTCTGGCTGAGGATACTGCCCAGACTGACGGTCTGCCCTCGAGAAATGATACCTTGGCTGGGAAGCATGAGCATGGCTGGATGGCTGTCAATTTGACGGGTCGCCCATCAGCATCGGCCGAGGACAATCGCGATATCCCCAGGGTAGACGCTGTTCTTACAGAGGAACGAAATTCTCAGGTGTCGTTGCAGCGTCCGTCAAGGTCGAATGCCAGTCAAACGAGGCAAAGGAATAAACCTGATTCCGAATCAGTCGACTTTCAGGCTACCCTCCGTCGCGTTCTTGAATTACTGCCCGATGAGTTGCGTATTCGAGACTTGCTAAGGCCTCTTCAGGGCTTTGGCGAAGAACGAATCCTGGAACTCGGTCTGCGAACACGCTCATTCAAGTCGCTTCTAGAGCCATGGAAAGCCCTTCATCTGATATCCCGAGACGAGCAGCATTATGTGCGCGATAATGTCATCCAATATCTGCGAAAACACCCGGAGATCATCGACAGTCTCGACCTTCCTCTGTCCCAGGTTATCCGGTCCTACGAGGCATATCGCTCTTTAATCACCGGCCTCTCGTCTCTATTATTTCCCTGGACGGCCCCCTACTACTCCGACCATATGACTCTGCACGCACAGCTCTATGGCGGCAGTCGTGGAATCGTCTTCACGGCAGGGGACCATCACGCTCCATTCCTGATGACTTCCATCCCAGCCCTCCGACAGCTCGGATGCAACCTCCCGATCGAAATCATGTATCTCGGGGATTCGGATCTCAGCGAAGACACTCGCGCACTGCTTGAATCTCTCCCGAATGTCGTCGCCAGAGATCTCCATCAGATGGTGAACGACGCCGGTTGGACATTGACCGGGTGGGCGGGAAAGCCATTTGCCATTCTTCTTTCGAGTTTCCGCGAGGCGATTTTCATCGATGCGGACTCGCTGTTTTTCCAGAATCCTGAGGTCTTGTTCCGTGATCCCTCGTATGTAGACACTGGTGCTCTGTTTTTCAAGGATCGCTTGATGATGCCGGAGTCCAAGAAGCATTGGTTGCAGCGGATCCTGCCTCGGCCAATCTCGAAGCATGTTACTCAGAGTCGATTCTGGACCGGAGAGAGCGGCCACATGCAGGAGTCGGGGGTTGTGGTCGTTGATAAGTGGAAGCATTTTGTGTCGCTTTTGCTGGTGACCAGGTTGAATGGGCCGGATCGAGATTCTAGCCCTGTTTATGGTCGAGGTGTTTACGACATGGTTTATGGTATGTCTGATCTTGGTCCAATCTCTCTTATGCCCTGCTAACACTGGTGAACAGGCGACAAGGAAACCTTTTGGCTGGGCTGGGAACTCGCCGGCGACACAGAATATGAATTCCACGACGGGCATGCCGGCATCATGGGAAGCATCGAACCACCTTCACCATCTGCGACAGTCAATTCCACCGACGACAGTCCCCCGTCCAACTACACCATCTGCGGTCCTCAGCTTCTACACTTCGATCGCCGCGGCAAACCTCTCTGGTTCAATGGCTGGCTGGCGTCTAATAAGTTTGCGGACTGGGAACACCAGCAACCTAGTAACTTCTCTGCATATCTGCATGAACCGCGTACGATGCGCGACCCTGGGGCCTGGCAGTTGCATGGGGATAACATTTGCTGTTTGACGTCGGAGCATGTGTTTGAATTTAGTAGGGGCGAGGCCGATGCGCTGGAGATGATGGTTGACTTTGGTAGAAGGGCCGGGGCGCTGGGGAGACTGGATGGGATGAACAGTTCGATATGAGCTTTTTTCGTACAATTTCCTATACCCATATGATTGATGATATTCCATTTTCATGGCTGTAGATTCGATCTACTTTCCCTCTCTCGCGGCGATAAAAGCCTGGAACAATTCCTCCATGTCCTCAGCTCCCTGCAGATGCTGCGTCTCGCCAATTATGAAATGAGGCACCCCGACAATCCCAGACTCCTTGATTTGCTTCGTCTCTTCTTCTGTCTCTTTCATGCCCTCGTCACTTGCCAGCCATCCCTTTACTCTCTCCTCCGGAATCCCAGCTTGCACGGCCGCTTCCACCAGGACTTCCGGTCGACTGATATCAGCCTCCTTTTCGAATTGATACTGAAACAACTTTTCGGATAATTGACACTGCAGCTCACTGCTCTCTTTGCGAGCTAGATAGAGCAGTTGGTGTGCCCTGCGTGTACTTCCGATCCATCCGCCAAATTTAAAGTCGATTCCGGCGCTGGTGCCGACTCGCTTCAGGCGCATTTGGGCGCCGTGAACCATCTCGGGGCTCATACGACGGAGCATACGATCTGAGAACATTGGTCAGATCTATTATGTCAAGTGCGTCAGTTACGATAGGAATACCTTGCACTAATTCACTCCCCCGGGGAACCTGGTCGATGAAGTAGGGCTTCCAAGTTATGTCGAATACATCTTTCGACCCGCCAGGATATGTCTTTTGGTACAGTTGAATGGCTCTCTGGAGATTTCGATAGCCAATGAAACACTTCATTTGTCAGTGTTGGTCGGTTGGTAAAGGAGCGAGGATGTGCATACCCAGGGACAGATCGCGTCGGAGATAATGTCGATTTTGATGACAGCCATGGCAGCGCGAGTTCTTTTTCGGATTATCTGCTGAAAGTATTCTCTGACATGAGGCATGGTGATGTGATTAAATAGTATCTGGCGAAGGGGATAAGATCAACACGGCAGCCTGAGGCTGTGGATTCCTGACGCGTTGCATTGCTTCTATTGAGTTCGAAATCATAGATTTTGCTACAATTAAGAGACCACGCTAGACTCAGCTGCTGCTGACGTTTCATTTGTAATCCGTTCTTTTCTTTTTGCGCCTCTTTTGGTTACCGCGAGGCTGCAGAATTCCTCCGGATTACGACGCACCTCCGGGAATACTCCAGGCTGCACAGATAGAAGCTATAATTCTTTAGATTATGTCGACTTTATCAGTTAATCAGATGTCCAGCTCCAAAAATATAATCAAATCCTGAAATGCGTCAATCCATTCGTATTAAGCGCCAGGTAGCCCCTGCCAAGCAGATTGGGGGCGAAATGTGTCACCTGCGATGATTCTCTCGTCGTCCTCACAAGTTGGAGGCCCTTCCAGAAATTATATTGAACTTGAGGATCGCAGCAATTTTGAATGCTGATTGATGATAATTAATCCCTATTTAGCTCGGCAACGATGTCCTCCAATGCCCCAGTAGCGGTAGACCCTTGGACCGAAGCCTTCAACATTCTTGATCCAGAAGATCAGAAGCGCCTGAATCAACCCGATACGAGCCTCCTGGATGTCCTTGAATCCGCAAGTCTCTGCCATTTCCAACATCGCTTTTTCGGAACTGACGGCCTCAGATAAAAATTGACACCGACTCTCGCAAAGAGATCTGCCGCGAGAAGGGGTGGAAGGTCGGCGAGAATAAAAACGGCGAGAAAGTCACCTTGCGCCATGTGTTGGAGAAAGTCTCCGTCTGGGTAAAGGAGACCATCAAGGTTGTTGATGTCGTGGTTTCGATGGATAAGAGTGGCCAGGCGGCTTTGCCGTGGGCTGCTGTGAAGTTTTTGATCTCGGTGATTTTACTTCCCTTTTCCTATTTATGATGCAAGGTTTATAGTTGAAGATGATGTGCTAAATCGTACGGCCTAGATCGGAACAAATGACATCGCTTTGTTCACTAACATCGCAGAAGCGGTGGAGACTATTGCCCGGCTTATCGCGCGATATACAGTCTTTGAAAAGCTGTATCTCCATGAAGACTGCGAGTCCATGCTCAAGCTTCGCGAGTCACTTCGAGAGCTGTATGCTGCGATTCTACGTTATCTCTCCAAAGCAAAGGACTATTTCACTGGGAACTGTTTGAGTATGTGTTTCTCTGACCTATCGACATACGCTGACCCACAACGCAGAGCGATTCGGCCGAGGACTGTTGGATATGCTGCGTAAGGAATACGATGAGTTGTGGGCCAAGATTAATGAGACGGAAGTGGAAAGATGGGCAAAACTAGTCGATGCCGAGTGTAAGCTTTGCCGTTCCTTTTGCGACTCGAATCTGACTAGTGATGTGCAAAGTAAATCGGAAAACTGCCAAACAGGCGGGCGAGCAGCACGAGCAGTTGAAAACTATTCTGCATAACATGGAACAGCCTATAATGCATGTTTCGCACCAGCTTGCTGCTATCCAGGATAAGCTCGACAGTTCGTGTCCCTTCTGACACTTGGAACAAGGCTGATATTCCTAGGCGACGAGCGCATGGAAGTGTTTCACTGGATCTCCAGGATCGAGTATAAGAAGCATCACGAAGAACTTTCGAAAGGTGTTTTGCCTGGCTCCGGGGCATGGTTGCTTCGTAGTCCCGAGTATATTCAATGGGGGCAATCGAGTGTGTCTTCGATTCTTTGGCTGCATGGCATACGTAAGTGACCGTTCTCATGCAGGGAGATGTTGCTGACTCGTACAGCCGGTTCTGGAAAGACGAAGCTAGTGTAAGTACTGGTGCTTAGATAAAGTGATTTTTTGACTAATTTTCGCAGTTCGGCGGTCATAAACAATATCCAGCAGCATTCTACCTCACCCGTCGCTTACTTCTACTGTAATAGAAGTAATGCAGAGGGTGAACGGTCCATACCCCGGGAGATAATTCGGGCTATTCTAAGGCAGCTGGCGAGCAGCGATCCCGATGTTCCCATCAAGGAACCGGTGGTTAGGGAATATGAATCCCGGAAGGAGCAGGCTCAGAAGGATGGATCAAGTCTGAGGGAGCTGACGATCGAAGACTGCACCAAGCTTATTCGAGAAATCACCAGATCCAACCCCGCCACTATCATCATCGACGCTTTAGATGAGTGTGATCAGTTCACTTGTCATGAACTTCTGGACGCTCTCCATGATATAGTAGCCGGGTCTGAAGAAGTGGTCAAGATTTTTGTCTCTAGCCGTGATGACGTTGATGTCATAGTGAGTCCCACCGTCAGCAGTGAGGACTACTGCCACAATCTGACTTGTCCCAGGGCCAAAGTCTAGAGAACTGCGCACATATTCCAATCAGCCCCAGCCAGAACGGCGGCGACATTCGCCGGTTTATCGATTCAGAGCTGGATCGGTTGATTAAAAAACGGCTTCTGCTTGGAGGCCGAATTTCAAGAGATCTCCGAAAGAAGATAGCCAAGGTCCTGAATAAAGGAGCACAAGGAATGTTCCGTTGGGTGGCATTGTCGCTAGAGCTTTTGCAACGCCAGAAGTTTGAGCCAGACTTTAGAAACGTCCTCGGCCGTCTCCCACCGGCGTTGTCTGGGTTATATGATGAGATTTACAAAACCATTGAGAGTTCCGGGGTCCACGGGCGGAGAACTGCCGTGATGGCTTTGCAGTGGCTCCTCTGTGCCCAACGGTTGCTGTCCGTTAGTGAGCTGTTAGCCGCAATATCAATTGGTTTCCAGGAAGCATCGGATGAGTCCTCCAGCTCGATGCCATACTTGAGTCAAGATGATGACTCGTCATCGGAATCCGACTCGGGCGATGAAGCTTATTCGGCGACAGGATCTGATTTCGAGATAGAAAACCACGACTCGCTCAGCGCCGATCCAGCGAACGAGCAGTATTCGGTGACGGTGACTGACATTCTCCAACTGTGTCAGAATCTGGTGATCGTTGATTCGCAACTAGGCGTGTTTCGATTCGCACACCTATCTGTCCGTGAATACCTACAAACGCGGCCTGGGTACACCGATGCCGAACTGCATTCTCTGGCCATGAGAAGGTGCATGGACGTGTATCTGACTGGAGTTAATCTAAACTCGGCGCATCAGCAGGCCCTCAAATCCTATGGCATGTTCTTTTGGCCGCTGCACTACAAAGCTCTCGAGGACCTGGCGTCTGCGGGCAAATGTACACCGGACGAGCTGGAGCTGTTTCTGCCTTTCTTCTTACAGGGAATGGAGGCAGCTTCTCCGTACGTGACATGGGCCACAGATATGATCTCCCGATTTACGATTGGCCAGCGAATCAATACTCATCTGCGACTAGATAGAGACAACTCTCTGGGTCTCCGACTCGAATCTGCGGCGTCTAAACCACCGAATCCGCTCAGGGCTGTCTGTGCTTTTGGTTTCAACCATTTGGCCAAGCAATTCGATACTCTCTCGGACGTTGAACTAAACGGCAGCGACCTTCAGTTGGCTCAGATTGCTGCCTCGGAGGGCCAGGATGAAATGCTGCACTGGCTGTTCCAGAGAAACGTGGATGTGAACACGCAGGACAGTACCGAAACGCCGCTCTGTCAGGCGGCGTCTCGGGGGCACCTTACTACGGTCAAGTTACTTGTAGAGCAAGGTGCCGATCTGGAACGGCATGAGCGGAGGCGCATGACGCCACTCACATGTGCAGTGAACAGCGGTCATCGTGAAATAGTCAAATATCTCCTCCAGGCAGGGGTCAACATAGAGGCTAAGGACAGGAATGACTGGACGCCACTTATCTGGGCTGTCTACCGGGGAAACAAGCCAATCGTCGACGTGCTTCTTAAACACGGGGCTGACTTGGAAGCCAGGGCGGACACTGGTTTTACGGCTTTTGTCCAGGCAGTGTTATACGAAGACGTGGAAATGATCAACTATCTTCTCGAACAGGGTGCCAGCATTGAGGCGGAAGACAAATATGGCCGAACCCCTCTATTCCAAGCATTAATGCGAGGCAAGCAAGCTATGGTGGAACTGCTTCTCAAGAAAGGGGCCAATACGGAAACACGACACGAAGAAGGTTGGACACCACTGACGTGGGCAGCCTTTCAGCCAAATGAGCCGATGGCCACTCTGCTTTTGCAAGCAGGGGCCGACATCGAGGCCAGGGAAGAAAACGGCTGGACACCGTTGTTCCGCGCAATTTGCCAGGGCAACGAGGGAATGGTTGAATTCCTGGTCAAGCACGGTGCCAACATCGATGCCAAAGACCAGGACGGCGAGACACCACGTTCATGGGCGAAAGTCATGTCAGAGTACGAGCTGGAGGAGTTGCTTGGCTGAGCGACGCTGTCAGGCAGACCGGACGAACGTCCTGACTCGGAGCGCACGGCACAGAGAAATTGATTTCGCTGGCCATTGCCTTCGATTCTTGGAATCAGAAAAGCGGCGGAGGGTCCCTTCGTCCGGATCTTTCTAGAAAAAGGCAATTCTCCGGCCCACAGTGAATAGTAATCATGATTAATGCAAATTATGCTCGGAATGATGTCAAATCCGTCGAATTGGCCACCGGGGAGAGTCCACCAGAGAAGAAAATGGGAGAATTGTGGATAGAAACCCACTTTTCGCATTAATAATAGGACTGTGAAGAGGATCGGCGCAGGGATGTTTGCCGCGGTCCACAAAGTCCCTGCATTTTCTAGCCAGACGTTGGGATTTAAGAGTAGAATCGACGGTCAAGCATATCAGGGACAGAGACATAGACCCGAAATCACCTACGCAAACCATATCCACGATGCCTTCCGACAGCGTTGACGTTTCGCCTTTGGGACAGCCTTTGCACTTGCCCTTCAGCAAGCGCACGGCGCCCAACCGTTTCTACAAGGCCGCCATGACGGAGCGCTTGTCCTCATGGTCTCCCACGGACCTGGCGGCTCGCGGCGTCCCGAGTCCGGAGCTGATCAATCTCTACAAGTGCTGGGGGGAGAGCGGATACGGCATGATCTCGACGGGCAACATCATGATCGCGTACGACCACCTCGAGGCGGCCGGCAACCCCGTCATCGATCTCGAGAACCCCTACCACGGCGAACGATTCGAGGCCTTCCAGCAACTGGCCACCGAGGCCAAGCGACACGGCAGTCTGGTGGTGGCCCAGGTCAGCCATCCCGGCCGCCAGGTGATCGAGCGAATCCAGCCCAACCCCGTGTCCGCCAGCGACGTCAAGCTGGAGCAAACGATGGGCATGACCTTCGGCCAGCCGCACGCCGCCACGATCGACGAGATCCAGGACATCGTGCGCCGCTGGACCCACGCTGCCGTGTACCTGCACAAGGCCGGCTACGACGGCATGCAGCTGCACGGCGCCCACGGGTATCTCCTGGCGCAATTCCTGTCCAAGACCACCAACCGTCGCACCGACCAATACGGCGGCAGCCTGGAGAACCGCGCCCGCCTGATCGCGGAGATTGCGCAGTCCGTCCGTCGCGAGCTCCCGTCGTCCACGGGGTTCATTCTCGGTATCAAGATGAACTCGGTCGAGTTCCAGGCCGACGGATTCACGGCGGAGGAGGCACGCGACGTGTGTAAGATCCTGGAGGAGAACGAATTCGACTTTGTCGAGCTGTCGGGCGGCACGTACGAGGCGTCGGCGTTCGGACCTCGCCGCGAATCGACGAAGCGGCGCGAGTCGTTCTTCCTCGACTTTGCCTCGCTCATCACGCCGGCCCTGCAGCAGACCAAGAGCTACCTCACGGGTGGTCTCCGCACAGCCGCCGGAATGGTCGAAGCATTGGAGGCGGTGGACGGCGTGGGCATCGGGCGACCGGCGACGCAAGAGCTGGACTTGCCGCGGGCGATCCTGGCGGGCACGAAGACGCGGGCGACGGAGCAGAAGTACGACCAGTACAACTTCGGACTGACGAGTGCGGTGGCGGGCACGCAGATGAAGCAGGCGGGTAAGGGCCAGGAGCCGATCGACATGAGCGACGAGACGAATGTGGCGGGATTCATGCAGCAGCTGAAGGAGTGGATGCAGCGGATGACGCAGGACGCGATGAAGGAGATGAATCTGTATGGCTTCATGGAGCTGCGCTGAGTCAGGGCTGAGTCAGGGCTGAGTCATGTGTTATGTAATCCGGTTCTGAGATCTGCCTCAGGTGTACATATTAAGCGAGCCATCCGGACTAGCGCGGCACGTGCCCCTGCGGTCTCCCATAAAAGGCGCCTCTGGCGGTCCGCCGTTTCCTTCTTTCTCTTTCTTCTCCAGCTCTCTTTGCCTTTTGGCTTAGATCAAGTGTAGTATCTGTTCTTTTCAGTTTAATCTCTGAAAGTGTTCTAAGGAACACAACATTGATTATTCTCATTTTTGGATCTCGTGGCTGGACCTCTGTGCTTGCGCATGTCTGGCCACACAGTGTCATCGGGCTCACACTACCCCCGATCGACGCGAACCTTTTCATCAATGCGGTCGGCTTGCCGGCGGGTTGGAGAAGAGTTTATGATCTTATTACATTTTCAGTCTACCTCTATGCTTTATACATTCATTCCCCTCTGTTCACTGGTTCAAGTGCACCTCCACGATCGGTCCCTCGTACACCCTCCTCGCCCGCAGAAAGTAGTACGCCAGACTCAGGAGGATCACGCCCACCGTGCCCACCACGCTGAAGTTCATGTTCTGCACCGTCACCTGGTTCTCCGGAGGCCAGAAACTGAAGAACACCGCGATGGTCATGTAGATGAGAGCGAACGTGTTCACCAAGACTCCCCAGATACCAGGCAAATGGAATGGACCCCAGACCAGTCGCGCGCCCGCTGTGTTGACCATCGTCTCGTCTCCGGGCTTCGACTTGCTGATGCCGCCCGTGACGCGTCGGTAGAGAAGCAGTCCGGCGACCACCATGTACGACAAATACAGACCCGAGATGGACATCGAGACCAGGTCGTTGAACGCGACGTCGGAGCCGATGTTGATGAGGGCCAGGAGGCAGGAGATCACCGTCGTGAGGGCGACCGAGTACGTCGGCACGGACGTACGCGCCGTCACCTGCAGTGGATCAGGTCAGTCTTCTTTGTTTATGACGGTGCAGTAGAATGCGTGTCGTCTTACCTTGCTCCAGATGCGCCACCCCGGAATCCCTCGATCGCGCGCGAACGACCAGAACTGCCGCGACGTCGACGCCAGCATGCCGACCGACGTGCTGATACCCATGGACGTGATGATGGCGCCCATCGTGGCAGTGCCAGCCACCGACCCCGTTGCCTGCAAGAAAATCCCCATAAACGGGAATCCCGTCGGGGACTCCAGCGCCGTCTCAATATCGCCGAGGCAGAAAAGCAGGGCGATGAGCATGCTGAAGCCGAGCGTGCCGTTGATGGCCACGCTGAGCATGATGGACCGAGGCACTAACACGGGCGCGTTGGCGATTTCTTCGGACATCTGTACGGCACCGTTAGTAGACGCAACGAGGCGAGGCCTTCGACTTTGAAGGAAAGAGATGGGTATCATACGTGCACTGCGGCATCTCCTCCGGCAAAGGCAAAGACGCAGCCCACCAGGCCGATGAAGAAGGACAACCCCTGCGTCGGCCATCCGCCCAGGTTCATAAACTCCGTGAACACCTCGCGGGCCGTGCCGTGGTCCGCCATGTACGTCAGGGGGATCAGGATGGCGAAGAATCCCAGGATGTGCAAAACTAAAATCAGCCCCTCGAACCGGGGGAGCACGTTTCCTCCGAAGCTGTTGATGCCGACCGAGAACACCGACACGGCCCAGAACAGCAGCGTTCCGTGCCAGGCTTGCGGTTCGTAGCTTGGGTTCGTCAGGACGATCAGGCCCTGGATCAGCGTGCCGCACAGAAAACACGACGTCGCGTAGGTCGCCTGCCATCCGATCACCGTGAGCCAGCCTACATATTGTCAGCGAAAGTTCCGAGCCAGCGAAAGAGGTACACGCACCTGTGAGGTAGCTGAAGAGTCGCATGGCCGACGGAGGCGCCAGCATGGAGCACCAGTGATACTGTCCGCCCGACGTGGGAGCCCTGGAGACGTTAGCAATTGGTCTGCAGGTCGCGAAACGCGCGCTCTTACATGGATGCCAGTTCCGATAGCACCACGAATGTCGCCGCCACGCCAGCCCAAACAAAGATAAACCCGTATACCGCCCCCGCTGGGCCGCCACTGGAACCAGGTTAGAATGCAAAGCAATGACCCCGATGGAAGGTGAGCGAAAGGGGTCGTACTTCTGGAATGCCTGCAGGAAAAGACTGTTCAGGCCGGTCAGCAAGGAGTCTCCCAAAATAACGTGCCGAGCACCTACACTGTAATGCCCTCCCAGGTGATCAATATCGTACAACTGAAGCCCAGCATGGACATCAACCCAAAATTCCGCTGCGCCAGAGTCAGTCTCGTTCGGGTCATTCAGTTGGAATCAGACACTACTTACCTTCAGGACCGGACGTTTTCCCATGCGTGCCAGCTGGATGTCGTCCATCTCCTTGCTTGAGGGGTTTCCCTCGATTTCGCGCAGACTGGCGGGCGCCATATGCTTCACCTCGTGCGACGACATGACGAAGAAACCGAGCAGTAGGCCAACAGCACCCGAATGTGAGTGTTTCAAGAACGGATGGCTGCACGACGATGCGCCAGATAAATAGAAACGAAAATTCGCAAAGAGAGGCTAAAGACAAACAGGAAGGAGCGAGAACGCAACAGAGCGAGCGAAAAAAATTAATTACCACCACCGGAAAGGGGACTACTGATCCCTGACAACCTGAGACTCTTCTAGACCAGGATAAAGGATTCCCGTGGGCGCTCACACATGGAAATGGAAATGCACTTCCTTGGCCGTGCCATCGGTTCATACCGGTTTAATATCGAATGTTTAATTAGCCCACGACACCAGCGGCCAGCCTGGCTCCTTAGTCCACGGGGAGTCCTCCATTGGTGAGGGCATGGCATGCAGCCACTCCGACGATGCGACATTGGCCACGGTTGAATCGACTAATTGGTGACCCGTTGGAGGAGAATCCCAGTCGCAGCTGCGTCCTTCGACCGTGGCAATCCAATGGGCCGCGGTTTACGAGCCCGGAATGTAACAAACTTGGACGGCGAGTCGGACAAGCAGGGGGTCAGAACTTAATCCGCCGACGACTTCAAAGAAATCCCTGGCGTCGCAGGTCGCACCAGACAGTTTCCTTACAGACCGACGAACCGGATCATTAAGCAGCTCGGAGCGCGTCCCACCCGCACGACCAAACAATGGGCCCACCGGCCAGGGTTGCCAATGATCGCCCATTATTGACGTTGCACCGCTAAGGAAGCTAATCATGCATCTGGCTCGAGGCCAAGCCGCTGGACCCTTGGGCCTGGCGATGGCTCCGGAGGCCTTTCCCTTCGCAGCGTCACTGCCGCCCCCAAACCCTAATATACTCTCGGGTTTTGCTTTGCATTGGAACAAGGAGTTGACATGCAGCGTTCAAAAGTACCGTCCTAATTAACTTCCATGCATGAAAACAGCTATTGCGAATCGCCCCCTGAACTGCGCGGCGCATCCGTCACCGTCCACGTTCGAACCTCCCGAATGATCCGCGACTGACTGGTCTGACTCTCCGCATCCCAGTCGCCTGCGCCGCCCGCCGTCGTCACCGTCGCTTGATGATGGCTGTCCTTCGCCGGCAGCGGCACCAGCTCGTGGACCTCGCTGCGACGCCGACTCCGGCTGTGCAGCGTCGCCGCGCGCGAGGCCGATTGCGATCCGTAGCCCTTCTGCGAGGTGCCGTATCGCGTCATCCCGTCGATACGCATCCCCGTCGATCGCAAGCTGTCCATGAACGGCTTGAATTGAGGCGAGCAGGCCGTGACGATGCTGAAACATTGCGCCAGCTGCGTCGAGATGGCTACGGGCCACGTATCCGAAGTAATGTTGGTAGAATTCGCCGTCTGCCGCGCGTAGATGATTTGGCACAGGATGGCGACAATTACGCTGCATCCATTAGCAGAGCTCCCACCTGTGAGTGTTTGGTTTGGGTTCACGAACAAGATGCGCAGCGCGAACACGCTGCCCAACGTCATCTTCTTCTTCACGTTCGTCTGAATGCGAGCGACCACCAGGATGGCTTGCACGATGATCCCCATGTCAGTCAAGATGTTGGACACTCCAAGATAGTCCCACCAGGCATCCTGCAGCTGCCGTTAGCTCGGGTCGGTTGTTTTGGGTCCACGGTGGCATACGATTCGAAAACATTGTCCCTCCATATAGTCCCATGTTCGCGGCGGCTTGCACTGAAAGGCGGCCGTGATGATGCCAACCAGTGCCCACAGAGAGGTCAAGACTTGTAGATAGACCGCAAAGCGTCGGTCGGATGTGGCAGGCGTCAAATCGCGAACAAAGCGAATCAGAGCCAATTTCGAGAAGCACATGCTGATGATGAATAGGATGTTGGCGGCGTATTGCGCCTGGTAACAGAGCCGTCGCTTGTCAGTAAAGGCTATCTCAACCAGGTTCAGTAAATCGGGAAACGGTCGTCGACCCACCTTCATGATATTCTGCATGCTGGAGTCAGACACAGTGTCGTAGGGTTCGCCATACCCATTTGCCGTGGCCATGGAGACCGCGATCGATTGTCCTGCGCATGATATCTGGCCCCATTAGCCCGGATTCTCCGACGTCCGGCCCCTAGGATAGAGATTGTATACCAGCGAAACCACGCTCCAGTAATCATCGGTGGTCAATTTGCGAAAGATCCACCACTTGGTGCCCAGTCGAGTCAACAAGCTGAGAACGGCCGTCACCAGCAAATACCAGGTCAGCACGTTCACCGCGGGCGTCCAGCTGTCCGGCGAGAATCTACCCATGATGGCACAGATCGAGGTCGATGGCCATGAAGAGTACTTCCGGGGAGGGATTCCGGTATTATGACCCCCCGAGAGCAGTCTGGCATGTCATCTCCGTTGGGAAACAGCCGGCTAGATTCGAACCCCCCTGTTCTGGAGGAGGAGCGCCTATTTTCCGCGCCATGGTAAGGAACCTCGGCCAGATTGGGCCAAAAGAAATGAATTGAGACGAAAGGGCCAGAGCGCGCGAGCTCCCGGCGAGCGATGGAGCCACTCCGTCAAAGGCTACCAGCCTACCAGGACTCCTTGACCGTGGCAAGAACGACAGGATCCGGCGATAATCCTTTGGCCGGCGGGACCTCGTATTGGGCCGTGCCGCAGGGGTGTCAAACTTTGATCATGATCATTATTATTAAATGCAGGCCGAGACTAGTCGGGATGATGGTGACACTTGTGCGACGTCGGTAGATTAAGCCGCCAGTCCAGAGGCTGGTCCTCTTGGCTCCGACCGATGGTTCACAATGGTGAAAGAAATTGCCATCGACGTTTCGCATTCCCCCTCAAACTCCGGACTCTGAATGCTGGTCGTGGAAGGTCAGGAATCCCCGGAATATCCGGAGTTATTCTAGTCCGTCTCGAGATCACGGGACTGTCGGCGCTCGATTGTTGATGTTTTGCTCCAGATGAAAGATAAATTATGTTTGTTCCATACTGATTGGATTTATGTATTATTATCATTATTATTATTGCTGTTTTTGTTTTGTTTTTTTGATCCAATCCGGGTGGAATACAAAGTGCTGTGATACGGAGTATATACTCGGTTATCACCACCACACCGGTGATAGGATATATATTTCGACAAACACAGCGGATTACACCCCCTGACAGTCAGAACAGCACTGATTTCGTCGCTGAAGAGATGAGAGTACATCCAAAAGACCATTAGTCATGAAAGCCAAGGAATGATGTTTTCAGGATAGGAGGACCGTGGTTCTGCGACCGGGGAGGGAGAGGGACCCGAAGTCGACACCTGAGGCATCACAGACACCCCAGGCTGCAGCAGTGTCAAGCTCAGGCAGCCACTGTGCGATCAATCAACTCTTGTCCTCTGGTCCTCTTGTCCTCTTCGTCTCCATGCGTCCCCTAGCCACTGACCACCAGCCACGAAGTCTCTCGACGCAAGCCACAATCCCGGACGCTCGTATCAGCCACCGGACTTTCGCCCCTGATTTATCCCCTCATCGACGTTGGGACAAAATGCGACCGTGCGATTGTCTCGCTTCGCTAGAGACGATGCAGCCTGAGCCATTCGGCAAGCGCCGGCGAATGGCGCCGGGTCTGACCTTATCGGGACACCGGGTGAAGATGATGATTCGCTGGGATTGGGACGGTGACACAGTGAGACGGTGAGACAGGAAGTGGCTAATGCGCCGATGACGAGTCCACCATGTTTCGTTCAGGGCACATGTCGCGCACGCCCGGGGCTTTCCGATGCGCGTCTTTAACCCCGTTGGGAGAATGAGTGGCATCGCGATCGGCAGGGTCTCCATGCACGATGGAAGATGGAAGGCTGAAGACTCGAACTGTTGCCTTTGAATACGAGCTCCTGAGTCACCATCGTCTCGGCCCCCGCGTGACCCGGCCATCCTCAAATAAAGGTCCATGGCGCGCAACGTTCCCCCGAGGCTGAACAGGCTCGATTGTCTGTCGCCGTCATTCATCTGATAAGATTATGAATTCATCTGCTCGGCCGGAAGGGGACGAGAGTCCCGATCAAGCCGGGAAGAAGGACGGAGATGACCCCGTGGAGGGGCCTTCGCTTGCGAACTACGGGGTATGTCATATAGCAACATGGCCTGACTACGTCGATTCCCCTGACGCAGACAGAGAATCCTGTCCTATGGAGCTCGGCATGGCGGAATCTTCGCCATGATAGCCGGCCTGATCTGTGCCATGGGCTCGGGAGTCGTAAGTCGTCATATCCCCAGGTCGGATCTCAAACACTGATCCTCCAGGCACTCCCATTGATGAATATCGTCTTTGGGCAACTCGTCGGCGACTTCAACGATTATTTCATTCCCGGAAAGGAAATGAGCGAGGACACTTTCAAGTCTACGGTCAACAAAAACAGTCTCTACATCTTGTACCTGTTCATCGGGAAGTTTGTCTTGACTTACATCGCCATGGTAGTTTGGTCCACCCGACTACGATGGAGTTTGCTCATGAGTGCATCTAGTTTTGCTTCCGGTTGATCAGTCTCCAGGCTTCGGCTACCCTGCGCTTGGAATACACCACCTCTCTCTTTTCGCAGCCCCTGAGCGCCCTGGATGAGATCTCCTCCGGCACCGTTACACACGCCATCACGTCGCTGTCCAACCAGATTCAGCAGAGTATCTCGGACAAACTTGCCACACTGTTCCAAGCGATAGCCCTTCTTATCGCAGCCTACGCTATTGCCTTTCGCTATTCATGGGCTCTGACCCTCGTGGTCAGCTCGGCGATTCTGTTTGTCGTCATCGGGTTCAGTATCACCGTGCCGTTTATCATCAAGGCACAGGCTCATGTGGATCAGGCGGATGCAAAGCATGCCTCCATTGCCGCCGACGTGCTGAGCTCGATTCGGACCGTACTATCTCTGAGTGCCGAGAGACCGCTTTCTGCAAAATATTCCTCCTGGATCGCCGAGGCACGGAAACGGGGAAAACGCCTGACTTTGGTCTCCGGTATTCACCTGGGATTGTTAATGCTGGCGTTGTATTCTAGCTACGCTCTCGCCTTCTGGTTTGGCCTGAAGTTGTTCCGAGAAGGCCATATTGATAACATCAATACGGTGATCACGTAGGCCGCGATGACTGCCTGTGCTGTGAGAATCGGAGCTAATACGTGCCAGTGTTTTCTTTTCGGTTCTGATCGTGGTGTCAATCATCGGAAATATCGCAAGCCCGATCATGGTTATTGGGAAAGCCACGAGTGCCTCCGGTCCGTTCTTTGACATGATCGACGCCCAGCCGCCATCCACTGCGGGACGGCGAGACCCGGAAGTCTCCAGCCACGCAGATATCGTCTTTCGCGACGTGACCTTCGCCTATCCAACACGTCCCGGAGTCCAGGTTCTGAAGGACTTTTCTGCACGCTTTGAACGTGGCAAGACTACGGCGCTGGTGGGCCCGTCGGGTTCCGGAAAAAGCACGGTGGTTGGTTTGATCGAGAGATGGTACCAGGTTCAGAAGGAGACCGCTACCGAGAAAGACGGCAGTTGCGGCGAGATTGAGGTTGATGGCCACAATTTGAATGATCTGGATCTCCGGTGGTGGAGAAGCGAGATCGGACTGGTCCAGCAGGAACCGTTCCTTTTCAACGACACGGTCTTGAACAACGTCGCGTTGGGATTAATCGGTTCCCGCTGGGAGAACGCCGAGGAAGGCGTGAAGAAAGATCTGATTACTCAAGCCTGTATTGAAGTCTTCGCGGATGAATTCATTCAGCGACTGCCTTTGGTAAATGGACCGACTTTGGAATCAATTATGAACAGACTGACTAACATCGCCAGGGATATGAAACGCTAGTCGGCGAGGGGGGTATCACCCTGAGTGGTGGCCAACGTCAGCGTCTCGCCATCGCTCGCAGTATCGTCAGCCAACCTCCTATCCTGATCCTCGATGAAGCGACCAGCTCTATTGATGTTCGCGGGGAAAAGATCGTGCAGGCAGCCCTGGACCGGGTCTCGAAAGATCGCACCACGATCATGATAGCCCATCGCTTGTCGACCGTGAGACGGGCGGATCGAATTATTGTTATGAAAGATGGGACAAAGATGGAGGAAGGGACCCACCAGGACCTACTTGCCCATGATGGCGTTTATAGCGGCTTGGTTCACGCGCAGCAGCTGGGTACACTGTCGCTCGACTCAGACGAGCAAGAAGAATTGCCTACAACGCTGACATCCAACCTCAAAACAACCGGCTTGGTCGGCCTGACCGAGAAGGAAACTGCAGAGAATCAACATCCCGAGAAAAAGCAGAAGATGAAAGGACTCAGGAGCTTCCTGAAAGTTGGGTCGGAGCAGCGCGCCTCTTGGCCGCTATTTGTTTTGATTTTGATTGCGGCAATGGCAGCAGGATGTATGCCGATTTCTCCCACCCTAACTACCTTTTCGCTGACTGTTTTCAGCTGGTTTTGCGCTGCAAAGTTGGCTTTTTGCACGCCTCATTGAAGTCTTTCAATTCACGGGACAGAAACTAGTCGATGCTGCGAACTTTTGGGCCTTGATGTTTTTCATCCTGGCCCTGGCCATGTCGGGATTTTACTTTATCCTCGGAGTAGGAGCAAACTCCACCTCAGTGGTAGGTTCCTCTGAATATTGACTTACAACAGAGCTAATTGCACTAGAACATTGCGTCTGTATACCGCACAGAGTATTTTGTCAATATGCTTGCCAAACCTGTTTCATGGTATGACAGCGATGAAAACGCGTCGGGCTCTTTAATATCCCGCCTTTCCACAGACCCTAAACAACTACAGGAGCTGTTTGGCGTCAATGGCGTCTTCCCGCTGGTATCGATCTTCAATGTCATAGGGTGCATAGCTGTCTCCTTCACCTTTGGGCCCAAACTGGCGGCTGTGGCCTTTTTTGCCGCCCTGCCTTTTCTATTCATGGCCGCGTACTCGCGAATTCGCTATGAAATGAAGTTTGAAGAACTGAATGCTGCTGTCTATGAGGATAGCTCTCGTTTCGCGACTGAGGCCGTCCGTGCTTTCCGGACAGTTAGCGCACTGACTATGGAAGAATCTATCATCAAGCGGTATTCCGACATGCTCAATGTACAGCGACGGAAGGCGATGCGAAAAGCGACCTACTCCACCCTGATCTTCGCGTTTTCCGAGAGCGTAGAGCTGGCCGTTATGGCGCTGACATTTTGGTACGGTGGCCAATTACTCGCGTCTCGGGAGTACGATATGGTGTCCTTCTTTGTTGTTTATATCGCCATCATTCAAGGTGGCCAAACCGCCGGTCAATTCTTCAGTTTTGGGCCCAACATGGCGCAGGCATCGGCCTCGGCGAACCGCATTCTGGGCTCCCGGGCGCCGGTTCCCAGCGAGGCCGAACTCTCCAAGGAACCTTTGTCATTAACGAAGGAGAACTCTCGCGCCGATATCCAATTCAAAAACGTGTCATTTCGATACCCGTCGCGAGATACGCCAACGTTCATGGATCTCAACTTGAGCATCGAATCAGGCCAGTTTGTGGCCTTTGTCGGGCCCTCCGGGTGCGGGAAGTCCACGATGATTTCTTTGCTCGAACGGTTTTACGACGCAACCCGCGGGAAGGTTGAATTCGGGGGGCGAGACGTTTGCGAGATCGAACTTTCCTCCTACCGAATGTCCCTTTCCTTGGTCAGCCAAGAGCCGAAACTCTTTGACGGCACAATCCGTGACAACCTCATTCTCGGCCTCGATCGCCCCGAGGGAACGATTGAGTCGGATATGATTCAAGCCTGTCAAGACGCCGAAATCCATGATTTCATTATCTCTCTTCCGGACGGATATTCAACGGAACTGGGCGTCAACGCCCAAACGGCCCTCAGCGGCGGGCAAAAGCAACGACTTTGTATTGCTCGCGCCCTGATGCGCAAGCCCTTGCTCCTTCTGCTCGACGAAGCTACCTCCAGTCTGGATTCGCAGTCCGAGCGATTAGTGCAGAATGCGATGGAGCGGTTGGCGGGCAAACGCAGCATGACGATCATTGCCGTGGCTCATCGGCTGGCAACGATCCAGAATGCGGATGTGATATTTGTCTTTGGCGAGGAAGAGACTGGCAAGGGGTCGCGCATTGTTGAGAGAGGAACTCATGCGGACCTTCTGCGTCAGAAAGGCGCATATTGGCAGATGGTAAGAACTAATCTTTTCCATCTTTTACTCCGATGAAGAATAACGTTACTAATTGATGTGTTTAGTGCCAAGCACAAGCGTTGGATCAGTAGGGTTTTCAAGACCCATACGCCGTTATGAATTCACGACCTATGTACACTATCTTATGCCCAGCTCCTTTTCAGTCATTGTATATTAGATAGAAACAGATCTTCTCCTCTCCAACCAGTCGGGTGCAACAAAGCAAGCCCCAGTAAATATGATGTGCATGGATGGCAGCCAGTCAAGGCAAGTTCCCGCTTAACGCAGCCAGAACAAATGGTATTTGGATCACAATTTGGCCGTTAATCATTCCCAGTCTTTGAAATCGTTTCAACTCCCACCCAAGAGAACTCCTTAGGAAAACAAAGGAAAAAGATGAAAAAAGGAAAGAAACTATTAAAAAAAGAAAAGAGAAAGAGGAAATAAGAGAAAATGGAGAAAAACAAGAAGAACAAGAGAGAAAGAAGAAAGAAAGAGCAGCCTCCTACTCACCAGGTTAAAGTCTCCTCCAGCAGCTTCGAATCACTGCCCATGTACTTCACCTGCACCATTCTGCCATCGCCAAAGCTACTGGAGATGGTTGTGATGCGCGCACGAATGGGCAAATCCGCTGGTTCATACGGCGCTCCCTCGGGAATCCCGGCCATAGTTTCTTCAATTCTGGCGACTTTGGAGGCCAACTCGGCAAACAAAACCGAGTCCCAGAGACCTTCACGGCGTCGGCAGCGCATCATCAAGTCTCTGGCGCGGTATCGGGTCTTTGAGTCACGACAGGCTGTGGCGACGATCCAAAGCGGCGGGAGTATGCCTTGCGCCACGGAGAATGTGCATGGCGAGGGCATATTGTGGGTAAGGAGTATGTGCTGGTGGGAGCTGAGTGTCGGCTGCGCCTGCATTGGGAGCGACGAAAGGCTGGCAGCTGCTGTTGGCGACGGGCTTCTCTTGCGCATCTCTGGCGTCGCCGAGATGTTCACGACTTCCTCGGCCAGCGACACCACCGTTGCCAGATCCGAAGTGAATCGATCCCAGCCGGTCTCTACAAGCGGCAGTTCCATCTTCAACACTACGTGCACCAGCGTCTTCCACATCTTCAGACTCACAGCCAGTCGTCGGCTGGTGGCATCCATGGCTTCCAGCGGGTGGTGCTCGAAGTATCTTTCCAGCGCAGCGGACCATTCCATGATTTCGCTTTGCGTTTCCTCGTAATCGGCGATGACTGACTCGGGAATCTCGGTTGCCTCGCCATCCTTGACTATATCTGCGTGGCCTGCTGGTCCGGACTTCGTCATCAATCGCAGCAGACGGTTGTAGAACAAGCGGAAGTTATCGCTCAGATCATCCAGGGTGCAGTCTCGTGAAGAGTCCACGGGAGGGAGATTGGACGGCTTGAGCGCAGCGGGATGCAGTTGGTCTATGGAGGTGAGTTCGTCGTCGAGCTCAAGCATTTGGCTTTCCAGGTAGGAAAACATCGATCGGATGACGTCCGCCGGAAGAAGGGTTTTCTTTTGCACGGCCTGACATTGGAGTTCTTGCTGCTTCATGATGCGCAGTCCCGACGCAACGTGTCGCAGGGCCACCTTGAAATGACCCTGTAGACTCTCAAAGCAGTAGAACAGCACGCACATGGTCAGGATCACGTCGACCGACCCGTTCGCCAGCCCCCCGGACATCTGTGCTAGCCCTTGTCGAATGGCGGTGTTGTACTGACGCAGGGCTAGCTGAGTTCCTTGCATGCGGGTGTCGGGGTACCGGGTCTGCTCGAACAGAAACGCACGATGCAACGAGCCCAGGGCCATGGCTGCCAATCGAATACTGGAATCATGGTAGGCCGATCGAAGCAGAAACGCCCCTGCTTTGGAACCGAAGCACAAGGTGGTCTGCAGGTGGAAGAATTCCAAGGACTGGTACTCATCCGCACGGAGAGGTCGGTCCCAGGAGGGGAAAACGCTCATCTGGACCGGGCGATCCACTATCGGGGTATGGTGTATGATGCGGATCTCATTACTACAGGCCACTGGCAGCTGGCCAGTGCTGGAAGACTGCGGTGGCGCCGAAGGAGCGTAGCCGTCGCATGTACGACCAGTCGAGCGGCATCTACGGCAGCTGGGTTTCTCTTCGTCGCATTTTACACGTCGAATCCTGCGGACGCTCGGTTAATCCTGGGCCCCAATCAAGAGCCAGCAGAAGGAACGGTAAAAAAAGAAAAGAAATCGGTGGAGACTGACTTGCAAGTAATGCACCCGGTCCGAGACCTGATTCGCACGATCGGGGTGGTTTGGGCCATGTCTCTCGTCTCTCTTCCTCGAGCCCCGTGTCCGAATTCAGAAGTATACTGTCATGGAGGGAAGCGGGAAACTCAGTTCACGGGGGAAATGGCGTGAGATAGAGGATGTGACCACTTGGCCGCCTAGCGCTCGATGCCTCTATACTGGACTCGGTTGGCGTCTGCGAGCCGGCCATTCATGACGCCGTCCGCGCTCTCCACCTTGGGGGCCAAGAACATCTCAACTTTAGTTTATTCAAGCAATTTGCTGCTGGGAGGGGCGCCTGCGAAACGCGCATTGGCTCACTCGTCTGCGCTATTGCGGATGGCTCGGGATGCCCTCGCGCGGTGTCCGTCCGTTCTCAGGGTCCTTCGTGGATCCTTTGGGCAATCCTTGCTCGTATTTGCTCGGCTCCTGACTAGATCTAACTACGTCTGGCCTGGGAAAAGACGATGCCTGCCGGTAGGGCTTGGGTCAGCCTCTGTGAAGGATCAATTGTGGAATTTCGAATTTGATGCTGCGAGGCTTAGCAAGGTGCCAGACTAAGGAATGGCTATCTGGAGTGGATGAGCTTTTGTTATTCTTCAGGATCAGAATCGTCATCAAAGCCACCAAGGCCGACACGTTTTTCTTTTTTTATCCCCGTTAAGCGTCTGCCTGGGACAGAGGGCCAGAACCCTGTAGGCTCGTACTCAGGGATCATGTATAAAACCCTCACATCCAAGCCTGTTAACCATGACAATGTGAATGAAAGTCATTCTCAATAAAAGAATGTTTATATGTTAATTTATTGCCTTTTACACACCTCCTATCTTATCTTGTTTTTCATCTTATTCTTTTAGGCACAGCTCTAAAAGCGTCATCATGAGTACTACCACGGTATCGCCGACGACAGCCAGCCCCTTGAGCACTGCTATCCCCACTTGCACAACACCCAAGCCTGGGAAAAACGGCTATCTACCTCCAGAGGCGTGCGATGTGATACTCTACTATGTGCCGTCCTTTGGTGCTGCTGTCTTCTTTTGCGTTCTATACGGGTTGTTGATGATTGCGCACATAGTGCAAGGCTTCATGTATAAGAAGGTACGATTGTCACGTAAAGTGCAAGACCTCCGCGCTCATCAATCTTGTAGAGATATACGTGGGTTATCGTGATGGGAGCACTCTGGGAATTACTCGCCTTCGTTTTCCGCTCGCTTCAAACGCGCCAACAGAATAACGAAAGTTGGGCTACGGCACACACCGTTCTGTTCCTGCTGGCTCCTCTGTGTACGCCTGTCTCATCCCGCTTACTCCGCGAGGAACCATGGCTAATTTCTTGCAATATAGGGATCAATGCATTCCTCTACATGACTATCGGTCGCCTGATCTACTTCTTGATCCCCGATAAGCGCCTCGGAGGTATCACCGCGAAGCGATATGGACAGTTATTTGTCTGGTTAGATATTGTGGCATTTATTGTTCAGGCCGTCGGCGCCATAATGACGACCGACACGCAGGCTAGCAATGCTGAGACTATGCACGGCGTGCATATCTACATGGGTGGAATCGGGTTGCAGGAGCTGTTCATTCTTATCTTCAGCGGCCTGGCTATCCATCTGCATCGTCGCATGATAGTCATGGAGCGCATTGGACAGCTGGATGACGAGAAGTTACATCGTGGACGGATGCCGTGGCGGTGGTTGTTTTATGCGATGTACACCGCGCTTGGGATGATCACTGTGAGTGTTTCCATGAAAAGGAATTGATGATAGAATCGATTATGAAGTTGCCGTACTGAACTTCTTCCCTCCAGATTCGAATTATCTTCCGTCTCGCTCAATACGCCGATGGCACAAACCCCAACAACCCCGTCCTGACACACGAGTGGTACGAGTACGTCTGGGATGCTGCCCCGTTGTTCATTGCCATCGTGCTGATGAACATCTTCCACCCCGGGTGCGTGCTGCAGGGACCGGACTCGGAGTTCCCCAAGTTAAGCCGGAAGGAGAAGAAGCAAATTAAGCGAGAGAAGAAGGAGGCAAAGAAGACGCTGAAGGAGTCCAGGAAGAAGGCGAAGCTAGGAAATGGAATTGAGTTTGAGCAGCTAAGGAGACAAGAAGAGGGAGGAATGGGCTATTCTGATGGGAGTTATGACGCCGTGAACTCGGATTCGCGATGATCATTGAAAACGCAAAAGCTAGAATGCGATATACAACGGGGCTGGCCTTCTGATGTTATTACGGCGTCATATAATACTTCTAAATAAGGGACTTCGTCTTCATAGCGATTATGTTAACTACTGTTCTGCGCATGTACCACCATGGACACTAGCTGAAGAAAAGTATAGTAGTCAAAAATTGCTTGGATTGAGAACTGGACTGAAGGCAAAATTAAAACACTGGTAAAAGGGAGTCACAAATATTTGTCCATCGCGTTTCAGTTCTTGAGACGGTCATTTCGCAGGCCGCCCTCATTGATATCTTGCACAGCAGCTCGAATAGAAGCCCAATTATTGAACGGAACAAATGGCATTTTGCGTTCGGCGCAGTATCGCGCTAGATCTAGTGTTGTTAGTGATTCTGGGTCCACCAAAGCAGTGTGAATCCAAACAACTCACCGAGTCCTTGCTTTGCAAAGAGAATATGAGATCCAGAAGCAGCCGACAAGTCCGACACTCCGTCTCCAGCAAACATGAGGATCGGCCGGATCCCCTCCGGAAGGGAGGCGTATGGCGTGATGGCCCGGGATTTATCGTGACCATACTGACTGTCTCATACTCAGCATGCCTGACTGGGGTAAGATTGATCGGGGGGAACCAATGGAGTACCTTTCATCACGATATTTTATTTGCCAGCCGCCGGCCTCGTCGATCAGCTTGCCCTCGCGTGCTTCCACGTCGTTGGCAATGACAAAAATGTTGCCAGATTCGTCGCCCAAAGCATTCTGCAGCAGGGCCTTGATAATCGGGGTCATGCCCGAGGACAGCACCACGATGGGAACGTTGTTATCGCTGGCCCAATGGTAGAATTCGACGAAATAGGGGTCGAACTTTATGTTCCTTTGCAGTATGCGAACGCATTCATCGAAGGGAAGCGGGACGCTGTCCAGCATGACTTTGAAGGCATCTCTGATTGTAGATCGTTTTTGATTAGAGAGCATGCCTTATTGAGCAACAGCCAGATAAACACATACCTGAAAGCGAGCTTGCCCTTTAGAACGTCGAGCTCGAGGGCTCGCCGTTTTTCAATGCCGAATCCAAGATTGTCGACCTTCGCAATGGAGAGTTAGCAAAATCCGACCACGGCGTTGTGATAGAGAAGATACCAGATGGTCATTGCCTAGATAATTTTAGCAAAGGCTCAAGAGAGTCATGAGGAGTGGAGGGCTCATACTATCTTCTAATGTTATTGTGCCATCAAAATCAGTGAAGAAGATGATGTTGGGGTCGCCTGCGATGTAGGGCAACTCGACGCACTGAGAGCCCATCTTGCCGTGAAATCACAATGGCCGTAAGAGTGGGTGAAAGAAAATCAAAAGGTTCTTTCTCCGGTGTCACTCCAAAAGGAATGAAGTCTTGAGAGAAATATTCGCTAAAATTTCCATGACTACGGCGTGGTCGAGGATATTCAGGATGTTCAGGTGAAGTGAAGGGATGCTCTGTCCGGAAACAGCACCCGCCGGTTGCATGGATGACACGGCGCAAGGCCCGGCTCGACAGCAGTCAAATGACAGGAATGGGGAGTCCCAGATCCCTGTCCGATGGTCTCATTCCTCGGGAATGGTGTGTAACGTTACGGAAGCAAGGGATGGACACCACGAATGCAGATCCCTGGCTTGCACGGGTTGGCTTGGACTCAAGGTATGGGTGGCTACAGCTGAACCAAGACAAATAAAAGACATATTTTTTGGTTGCGTTAGGGAAAAATGCCTCGCTGAGACAGGTTAGATTGAGATCTCAAGAGAGCTTCTTGCTAGAGAGCTCTAGGAACGAGGCAGTGGAGAAATAAATCACTGAAACAACCAGAGCGTGGACGGAAGCGGCCCACGCAATTTCGCCATCATTCGCGTGCTCAGGATGTGTTAATGGATGAAAATGGGAAGCTTTGCGCAGACCCCCAAACCACCTCACTGTATAGAATTTACTTTGTCCTGTCATTTAATACAGTCTAGCATGAAGATTTAATATGACAGGCAGGTGTCAAGCTTTTGCTCGCAAGGCGCACAGACTTTGGGGCCCACCAGAGAATGATATGATGCCTTCGAAAGGAAAGGTAATTGGTTACCAGAGAGATCTTTAACAGCTGCAATAGGAAAACTGTTACTCACGACGCATCCGGAGAAGGTAACCGGAGCATCTTTAGTCAACCACCGGCGAAGATGATCAGCCACAATGCGCGGTTATTCCACGGTAGACCCACCGTTACACCGACCTCCCGTCAACCGTAGACCTGCTTTCCAAGTCCGGCTGTCCCATCGGAGGTGGGTAAGCTGGAGGGGTAAGCTGGAGGGTCTATACCTGTCGTTGCCTGCCGTAGCTTGTCGATACCGCAATCGGTATGAGTATATCCAGGATGCTAGTCCATCGCAATCGACGATGGATGGTGTCTCGGATTACGCGGATGATGACTCCTGGAAGTGACTCTTGACCCAGAGTTTTGTTTTCGTCTGTGATGTCTATGCAGCTACGTTACCGTTACATGGTTGAGGAACCTAATCAATATCCATTACACACAATGACATGAAGACAAAATCATATAAAGTGCAGCAGGGAAAGGGGCGTCCCTGTCCGCGTCCTTTGAACATCTCACACCTACAAACACCCCGACCTTCCTTCTCATCACATCCACTATGGGTTCCGTAGAAGAGCCAGCCTACCTCTACAAGGATGTTTCCCAAAGTCCCGCAGGGTCAATGGTCACCTCGGCCCGGGGCATGTACCTTACACTCGAGAATGGCCAGGAATTACTGGACGCTACCTGCGGAGCTGCCGTGTCCGCCATTGGCCATGGTCATGAGCGTGTCAAGAAAGCCATCATCTCGCAGCTGAACCAGGTCGAGTACTGCCACCCGGGCTATTTCCCCAATTCTCCCGCGGTGCAGCTGGCAGAGTATCTGGTCCAGTCGACCGAGGGTCGCATGTCTCGTGCCTGCATCCTTGGATCTGGTGGGTGCCCATGTCTCCTTTCCCCTTTGCGTCAACGAGAGCTTGTCTTGTGTGATATATGACTAACGTCATGATGTACGAAGGATCCGAGGCCGTCGAGTCGGCCATGAAGCTGGCTCAGCAGTACTGGACGGAACTCACGCCGAACTCCCCTCGCACGCGTTTCATCGCCAGAAAGGGATCCTGGCACGGGTGTACTCTGGGTGCTTTGTCCTTGGGCGACTTCAAGCCCCGGAAAGCTCCGTTCGGCAACATCCTGCACAGTAATGTGTCGCACGTCTCCGCATGTGACCCCTACCATGGCCTCCGCGAAGGAGAAACCATCCCTGCGTACGTGGATCGTTTGAAGCAGGAGCTGGAAGACGAATTCCAGCGCGTCGGCCCTGCGAAAGTCGCTGCTTTCTTCCTAGAGCCAGTTGTGGGAACGGTGCGTATCTTCACAACCCGGGAAGGTAGCATATTTATGTCATGAGAAACGTTTTGGCTGATAAATACTACTACCTCTTTAGGCTCTTGGATGCGTGGCTGCTCTTCCCGGATACCTTCAAGCCATGAGAGAAGTGTGCGACCGTCATGGCGCCCTCCTGATCTTCGACGAAGTGATGTGCGGCATGGGCCGTACCGGCACCCTGCACGCCTGGCAACAGGACGGGGTTGCTCCGGATATCGAGATCGTCGGCAAGGGTCTTGGAGCTGGTTATGGTCCCATTTCGGCCGTCCTGATCAACGATCGAGTCATCAACGGCTTCAAAGCCGGTAGCGGCTATTTCCTGCACGGGCAGACCTACATGTCCCACCCCTTGGGCTGCGCTGCTGCGCTAGAAGTCCAGCGCATTGTCAAGGAGGACAGTCTTGTGGAGAACGCCCAGAAAATGGGAGACTACCTTGGCGGACAGCTGAAGCTTCACCTCGGTAACCACCCGTATGTCGGAGACGTCCGAGGACGTGGTCTCTTCTGGGCGGTTGAATTCGTGGGCGATAAGCAGACCAAGGCCTTTTTGGATCCTAAGCTCGCCCTCAGCAAGCGTCTCCAGGTCAAAGGCATGCAGAAGGGCTACGACATCTGCATGTTCGTGGCCAATGGAGCGGCCGATGGGTGGAATGGTGACCATTTCTTGCTGTCTCCTCCGTACAATGTGACCAAAGAGGATGTAGATGAGATCGTTCGCCGAGTCGTCAAGGTCATCGACAGTGTCTTTGAGGATCTAGCCCTCTAAGACAACACTGAGATAGTCTAATTATGGACCCAAGGAGTTATGGATAGGAAGCAGCGGGTATTTTGTCAGGGAAGAAAAAGTATAGTAATAATCTTAATCGAAAGGCTATTCTGTTTCTCAAGCCCTATCCCTTATTGCTGCGGTTGTTTGTAGCCGTTCTAAGCATACACCGGTGCAGTGCACCCCATCAGGTGTAAATTATTTTTGAGCACTGACGGACCGGGGAAATGGCGTTCTGTATGGACCGAGAAACGAGTGCCGTGAGTGATGAGCAGGTTACTGCACAGCCTCCGTTCGAAACAAAGAGTCGAATGGCCGATGCTACGCTGACGCTTGGAGTCCCAAGGAAGGTTCCTCTCGCTCATCTCGACCTTCCGGATGCGGAATTAGGGCTCGATTCACCGCAATGGCGGCCTGAAAACGTGAAACCGTTTGACATCAAGCTGAATTCATTTATGTCTGGACTGAACGAACACGTCGAGGTCGGTTTGGACCCGAGTCTTTTTTTTTTTTTCCACCCTAGTTTACGGAGTATGCAAGACCCGCTTCGTGGGATCCACATCGCTGTTTAGCGTTATTTAGGTCTTTTTTAGCAGCTTGACCATCCCTGCAACATCATCCTTGCGGCACCATCCTTGCGGCGGGCAGACCCTTCTCAAAAAGGACTTTTGTGAGAAAAATGGTGCGGACGACGCGTGAAGACGATCCCACTGCGCCGCTATTGCAGGGGGGAGAGCATGGCTATGAGGCTACCGGTCCGACTGCCTCTCCAGCCCAGGGAAATTCTGTCCCCATCGGTACTTCGAGTCCGGACCGACTGCCGGAGAAATGGAATCAGCCTAAGATCAAGGCTTGGAGAGTGCTCGCAACGTTCTACAGCTTTATCGTGGTCGGGGCAAATGATGGCGCTTATGGTGTAAGTTATACAACTGTTCTAGGAGTCCCTGCTAGCTAACAATCCGTTGGGAAACAATAGGCATTGATTCACTACGTATGTCCTTCATTTCCACATAAACAAGAAGCGAAAAAAGACTAACATGGCATTGCACATTGATAGTTGGGGAGCTACTATAATGCCGACTACGCGGTCGTCTCGGTGGTCTTTCTGTCCCAGTTTCTTGGATATGCTACCGCAGCGTTGACAAACAACTCCATTCACAAACGCTTTGGCCAGCGGGGGATTGCATGGGTCGGACCCGGAACGCACATCCTCGCTTACCTGGGCGCTACACAGCATCCTCCATATCCTGTGTTGATTGCTCTCTTCATGCTGGCGGGTCTCGGCAGTGGCCTGGTGGACGCCTCGTGGAACGCATGGATAGGCGCCATGCCGAATAGCAGTCAACTGATGGGCGTTCTGCATGCGTTCTATGGCTTGGGAGCTGCATTGGCCCCGCTCATTGCAACGTGGTTGATGACCCAGAGAGGCTGGCAGTGGTACGAATTCTATTACTTGATGGCTCCTGCCGCGGCCATGGAGCTCGCCACTTCTGTTGCAGCATTCTGGTCAGCGACCGGATCAGCCCATGAGCTAGAGGCTCTGGATGATCCTAGTGACGAGGGCGCAGTGGGCGAGGATGGTACGATCGCCGGAGCTCGTAAGAGCCCCACGATTGAGGCCTTGGGTCTGGGATCTACCTGGATCGTCAGCTTTTTCCTCTTCGTGTACGTTGGCGTGGAGGTCTCCATGGGAGGCTGGATCTTCACCTTCTTAGTCGACCTGCGCCATACTACGCCCTTCTCCGCCGGTATCGTCACATTCACATACTGGGGAGGACTCACGGTGGGACGCGTCTGGCTTGCCTTCCTTACGTCGTGCTTCAAGACGCAGCGCATGGCGGTGCTGGTCTATCTGGTGGCATCTGTCGTCCTCCACTTGATCTTCTGCTTCGTGGACGATTTCCTCATGTCCGCTATTTCAGTCAGCCTTCTGGGATTCTTCCTTGGACCACTTTACCCCGAGGCAGTCATTGCCCAGGCTAAGATCCTTCCCAGGTATCTTCACCTTGCGGCGGTTGGATTTGCTTGTGCTCTGGGAAGTGCAGGTGGCTGTGTGTTTCCTTTCGTCACCGGATTCATTGCGAGAACCTACGGCATCCACGTCCTCCAGCCGGCAGTCCTGGTCATGCTGGTTCTGTGTCTGGGACTCTGGATTGCTCTTCCCTCTGGGCCGAGGATGTCCTAACAAAAGAAAATGCCTACTCCAGCTGCTGCCCGGGGGTTGCAATCCTAGTCAAACACAGCAAGGGATGTATGCTAAAGGAGTACCTTTGTTTACATCTCATATCTCATACCAAATCCAACATTTCTACTCTCGTTCTTCACCGGATTGGGAAAATAATTACGATTATTCTTAGTATTGGCGTAATAAGTATTCCTTTTTTTTTTTTTTTTTTTTTTTTTTTTTTCAGAAAATAGCATAGCGGATCAAGAATGGAGCATTGTCAGAGGAATGATCACCCCTTGACCGACCGCCAAATATCTTCACACCATCTTAAGCTTTATCCCTGCATTCCAGATCCACGGCCCGAACCACCGGGGCGGAACCCTCCTGGTGATTGTCACCCTGAACTACCCTGGAATTAAAATGCTTTCGGTCGGAATCTGTGGTGGGATAAACTATTTGCTATTGCGTTTTATGTAGGATGATGTGCCAAAATCAGCCTTCGTAACCCAAGACAAATTAAATTAATGATAGAGACTACCGTAGATATTCAGCAACTAGTATGGCTCAGGTTTGCCTCTCGCATCTGATAGCACCAAAACCCTTTTCTGCGGGACAATTGCCTAACCTCGCCCTCATTTCTTGGTAAAGTCCTTGAGGGCCTTGATGGACGGAGTGAAGAAGTATTCGCCGCCTCTTGGAACCACGCAGGACTTGATGTTAATGCGGCAGTTTTTACTGTCACCATCGCAGAGGCTGATATCAAAAGTGTCTGGTGGGTTGGGCTGGCCGCAGATGGCATCATAACCAGGACCAGGATCTCCGGTCTCCTGGTCCTTGTCGTCCGGGAAAGTCTCCATGTTGCACCATCCTAAAATAAAGTCAATGCTCCGGCCAGGGCGGAATGAGAGGGGACACGATGTCTTACTTTCTTGCTGCATGCGGAATCCGTTGGCGATGTTGCTCTGATAGCACATGAAAAGAAGTCCACGGTCATCAGATGTCTTGTTGTCCTTCCATTCCTTGTGCGTCACTTCCTGGCCGTACGGAATACCACGACGGATGATTACGAATTTTCCAGGGCGACTCAGATCGGCACGAGGGTTGCACTTGCGCGCGTGAGCCGCAAAGGGACACTTATCCTGTTTATCAAGTGGCTTGTAATCGTAATTGTTGGCTCTAGCGAGGTTTGGGTCATCTTCCCACGGAGTCATACAAACGGGGGCACCTAAAAGAGATGTCCGTGAGAATACTGCTTTCCCCATAAACTTGATGTCAAGAGCACTTACCACTCTTCCATCTGCCCATCAAGCGTGCTTCAAGCTGGCCGCTGTTCAGGTTATGCTTGGGTGCAGTATCGTCCACCCATCTGAGTAAGCGAAGTCAATCATTAGTTTTCTCTCCTGCAAGACTTCATGTCAGAGGGGACCTCATACTTTTGGAACTCCGGAACATATTGTTGCAGCTTGCGAAAAACGAAGAAGCTACCGTCTGTAGCCCATTCCGGCTGCTTGGTAGCATATCCTGGCTGGTTATTGATGATTACGCTGTTCACCAACAGGAATATGAATCAGAACCGGTGGCACAAGAATTCAGATTGAAAAGGCATACCCAGGAGGGACGAGCGCGGGTTCACCCTCTTTAACATCGTCGTCCAACCCTTCGAGCTGGGGCTGGGAAACGCTGTCTAGGAACCCAAAGCTGGATTGAAGTTAGCGATATGGGTTTTAGGGGGATTTCTAAATCACTTACTGTTCTTTGCCCTTGTTCTCACCCTCTCTGGCGCTGCCTCTAACCGTGAACAAGCCCTCGACACTGGAATTCCAAGGTAGGATTCCAACGAAGTGATGAACTACATGATGAAGCTTTGCTTCAACGGAAAATCGAGATTCCCCTGTCACCAGAATCACACCATCTATGGGCTTTTTGGGGCTCTTGAACTTGTCTTCCCAGTCATCTGGGTTATCTCGGCCCTCTCCACCGGGGCCTCCAGCTCTGACATCTGCCAGCATACCGTTTTCGAAGTTTCCGGCTTTAAGATCATGCTTTCCCAGCTATAGGCACGAAAGGTCAGCCTTTCTGTTCCGAAAACTTATGGGGAAACTATGTTTGATGGGATTGCCGCACTTTACCAATACCACTGCTGGTAAAGGAGATGTTCACGCAGCCTAGGCTTAGAAGGTGAGGGGCTTTATTGCCCTTGGCTATCTCAATCTTGTGCTGTCTGATCATCCCCTTGTTCTGAACAGCCTCCTCGGCCGTAGTGATATCGGGAATCAGTGCAGCCAAGTGACCACGAAACTTCGATTCATCTTTGATCGTGAAGAAGTAAAGCTCTTGGTGCCTTTTGGGAAGACCAGGCCTAGATTACATTAGAATCTAGCTCCTGAGATTTGCAACATACTTTGGTCAAGCACCATACCAGATATCACCCTGGATGTTCGTGAGGTCGATTTTGGGCTTGTCAGATCCATTGGACTCCATTGTGGCTTTCCTTTTAATGGTCTTAGAATTAAGGAGAAATAAAGGTACTTCGGTTTATGCCGTATGAACTGAATTGCGATTCACAAAGATGATTCAAGACCACAACAGCTGTTTAAGTATACGTCAAGTAATATCATCCTTCCGGCTCCTCTCAGATTAGGTGGGAATATAGACGTCAGACCATCTAGAATCGAAGATGTCACGGTAAAGAAACCCGACTGCAACGTTGGAGTACAAGGTTCTGTCATTGATCTGAGACCACAGCCGATTGAAACTCTAACAACTAATGGTTACCAAAGAGCTTATCATGACTGGTCTGTCCCAAGGCCGGACTTTATGGCATATTCGAGTAATACGACACAAAGGGGAGACGTTGACGATTGAACGTACATCTTTCAAGTCTAATTCAATAACCTCATGACCATCTAGATTGATCCAGATAGCTGCTTTATGGGATGCTTGCATATGAATTGAACACATTGTGTCAATATCAGATTACCAAGCAAAAAGGGCTTCCACAGTCACGGAAACATCGGTTGCAATTAGATACGCTTACCTAGGTCAGAAGCAACTTAGGAAGCTAAGCGTAATGACCTAATATGGTACCAACTAAACAGCCTCATCAGCCTGTCATAACGCTCATTAACCTACAGCAGCTATAAGGGACCAATAGGAACAGCTCAATTTCAGAGCCACAGCTCTCCCCGTTGGAGTGGTGACATTATCGGGGCCCTACTTCAAAGAAGTGTATTGGTTCGGAGTGAAACCGTTTCGTTAGACGAGGGCTTCAACTCAAGTTACATCCAGACACAGCAGTCTGCGCGTCATAAAGCTGGATATTAAATCCTTGCTGGACATCTAATTACTGCTTGTATATTGTAATTTTCCGCAAGCATCGTGACCCTCCCCCTGTGTGAAGCTTTCGGCCTATGGCAATCAAAGATTAAAATGAGCTATCAAATTCTTCGCATGCCTATCCTCCCTAAAGCCGCAAGGACTAATTGCATGAATGTAATGCGCTTTATTAGGAGAGTACAAGGGGCAAGGTTGAAAAACGAGCATTTCTCAGCATCGATGCCGTAAGTGGCCGGGAACGGAACCATGCAACTTGCCAGTTTGATTCAGATATTTTGAACCGCGGAGAGTCAAGAGCTCATAGCTCTCAAAGTTATTTCCATCCTTCTTTTTCATTCCACTGGTTTACGCTTGCTCCCGGAATGTCTGATTGAATTCCGGAATTTGCGGGTTGCCAAAAAAAAAAGATAGAGAGAAACGAAAAAGGCAAAGAAAGAAAATGTTGAGGTGCTAAGATGATTGGAAGTGCTTGTTACAAAAAGGCTATGGACTAAGCATTCTGGAAAAGCAACAGCATGTGAGTGATGTGGCACTTCCTACTCGAATACTTTGCACGGTGCAGGTGAACAGAATGTCGCTTTGAAGGCTTTGCGATATTACGATCACGAGCTTGGCAAATGGTGGCGGCGAGGAACTTTATGTCTCATTCTAATTCCTAATATTCAAAGTCACAGATATTTACGATTTTGAATAGAGAGTGGAGGGGACTTTGTAGATGTCACACATCAAATTTCTCACACCACAAGGACTGGAGTTAATTTCCGGTCTTGTCTGCCGCTGTGTTTACCATTTTCGGCGCGCTGGCATACCAGAACGATGTTTCAATTACTGACAGAGCGGCCTCAAAAGGCTGATAAAACCAAGCCTCGCTTCTTTCAACGGTACGGTGTCGAATACAGCATATTTGCTGTGGGTGGAGGGGGGGATGGTTTTCGAGTTGTCGGGGCGAGGGCTCATCCGATTCCCGATTGGGAAGAATGAAGCCGCACGGAATGCTTCACAACATACCATGTAGCGATCGCGCTTGCCAGCCACTCTTGCCATCCTATGACAGGAGACTTGTCTAATAAGTGGCTACGGCCATAACTGATTAAGCACAGGGGACGGAATTGCGTGGTGAGTATGATTTGCTGAATACATACTGGTGGGAGTACGCGCGAGCTTTCACGGTCCCCGAAGCTCTCAGTATAGTTTGAATGGGGCCAGACCTTCCTTCATGCTGTATAGAGTGTATGGTAAGGTCTTGTGATGCGAAGAGTACATTTTATTTATCGTGATTATGATTTGCTGAGCGCAATGGAGCCCCTGTGTCCAACATACCACGTCTCGATATACGAACAATAAGGTGGGAAGCTCCTTGCGGGGATAGCCCGCGCCAGGTATTTTGCTACCCCCAAAATACAACCCTAATAAGCTGCTCAATCGAGGGCGATTGGCATGGCCTGCAATGCAAAAAATAGTGAGAGAAGAGCTATTTAGCTGCCCTCGTTCCCCCTCCTTCGACCTTCGAATACTGAGAGACATTGTTCATGCTTCGTGCTGTGTCGGACTGTCAAGATGAGCGTTAAATGGATCTCAACCCTTCTGCTTCTGGGCCTGGCAGAGGCCCGCGACTACAGCATTGAGGGATCCGTCATTGCTGCAGTGGGCAGGGCAGAAGGGCCCCCAAGCATGGAGTCTGTGTCCCCGCATGACGCCGGCGGCGAGGATACAGGGCTGTTCCAGGCACCGCCGTGGAACAGCCAGCGGCTCCCTCGGGATGACTGGACTGTGAAATGCGACTCTGAGCACGATGGAAACGAGTGCACCAAGGCCATTGATGGCGACAACGGCACCTACTGGGCCAGCGACTACAACCGAACCGCCAACGCGCCGCCACCCCACAGTATAACCATTGACCTGAAAGCCACCCAAAACGTCAGCGCAGTGGAAGTTTGGCCTCCTCAAGATGGAGGGCAGAATGGGTGGATTGCGGAGCACGAAGTCTACGTCAGCACGGACGGCGAAAACTGGGGATATCCCGTTGCTTACGGCGCTTGGTGGCCGGATGCCACCGTGAAGCTGGCCGTCTTCGAGCCTCGGGCCGTGCAATATGTTCGCTTTGTTGCTCTCTCCGAGGCAAATGGTAACCCGTGGATTTATATCGCCGACTTGGCGATCTGGGCCGCGAGTGACATTCCCGCGGCACCGGAAGGCCAAACCCTCGGCCAGTCCGGCGTCTGGGGACCGACAATTGATTTCCCACTTGTCCCCGTGTCGGCAGCGGTCGAGCCGAGCACCGGAAAGGTTCTTGTCTGGTCTTCCTACCGAAAAGATCAATACGGAGGCACTGGCGGAGGCAAAACCCAGACCTCTACCTGGGACCCGGTCAGCGGCGAGGTTACCCAGCGCGAGGTCACCGAAACAAAGCATGACATGTTCTGTCCGGGTATCTCCATGGATGTGGACGGTCGAATCATCGTGACTGGAGGGAATGACGCCACCAAGACCAGTATCTACGATCCCTCTTCTGAATCGTGGATCCGGGCAGCGCCCATGACCATGGCCCGTGGCTACCAATCGTCTACCCTCCTGTCCGACGGCAACATGTTCGTGATTGGAGGATCCTGGAGTGGTGGTGAGGACGACAATAAGAATGGAGAGATTTACAATGTCAGCGGCAACTCGTGGAAGGATCTTCCCAATGCCGAGGCCACTCCCATGTTGACCAACGACCGGTTGGGTGCGTATCACGCGGACAATCACGGCTGGCTCTTTGGCTGGAAGAATCGCTCTATCTACCAGGCAGGCCCGAGTCGCGCCATGCACTGGTACTTCGTGGAGGACGACGGCGACGTGACGGAGGCTGGAGACCGAGGCACTGACTATGATCAAATGTCCGGCAGTGCAGTCATGTTCGACGCTGTGAACGGCAAGATTCTGACCGCGGGAGGATCGCATGACTACGAGGATTCGGATGGCTCCAGGAATGCATCCATCATTACAATCGGAGACCCCAACACCCCCGGCCAGGTGGTCAAGGCCGGTAACGACATGCACCACGACCGCGTGTTCCACACCTCTGTCGTGCTGCCCGACGGCAGCGTCTTCCTCACTGGCGGCCAGATCCACAGCCTTCCGTTCGTCGAGAAAGACCCGGTCCTGACCCCGGAACAATACGTCCCTTCGAGCGATGAGTTTGTGGAGCAGTTCCCAAACAATATTGTGCGTGTGTACCACAGCTGGTCTCTTCTCCTTCCCGATGGCACCGTGTTGAACGGCGGTGGCGGTCTTTGCGCCGATTGCGACGCCAACCATTACGACGCCCAGATATTTACGCCGGCATATCTGTTTGACGCTGACGGAAGCCGAGCGACACGCCCGAAGATCACGGACGTGTCTCCCTCGCGCGTGAAACACGGCGAACCCATCACCATCACGGCCGACTCGGCCATCTCCGGCGCCTCGCTGGTCCGTTACGGCTCCACGACTCACACGGTCAACACCGACCAGCGCCGTATTGAACTCGAGCTGGAGAGCTCAGGTGACCAGACCTACACGGCGGAGATTCCTAATGATCCTGGCATTGCGCTCCCGGGATACTATATGCTCTTCATTTTCAACGAAAACGGCGTGCCCAGTGTGTCGAAGAACGTTCAGGTAATCCTGTAGTGGGGGCATTTGGTAAAGGCGGGAAAGTGCAGGGTGAATTGGTGAACTGGGTAGTTAATTGACACTAGAAATTAAAGGAGCCTGCCTGTCGTGTTCTGCATGTATCGTCTGCAGTTGGAGACGGCATCAACTATCAGCGTGACTTAGCACGAAAAGGATTATATATAGCTACGTTAGCCCGAGCAACGAAGTGAGAGGCATTAGTGCAATGGTGTCATCGGGATATCTCCTTGACGGATGATTGCAAATCACTGCAGGTCCACATTCATGGGCCAGTGCATCCACTGCGTACTTGAACAATCGGTGACGATTCACTTTGAGGATGAAAAGGTGAAAAGATGGAAAGCAGCGTGTGGTGATGCCTGCATTGTAAGGCAGCCGTGTCAACAGAAGGATCATGTGACATCACGTGCACCTACCCGATCGGGCTAGACCAGCTGGTCGTCTCCATAAAACCAGCGAAACACCGCCCAACTCCCAACAGCCAAATCGAACAATTCGCACGATCAGCCCGGGCAATGGCTCGCGTTGGTGGACATGGGAGCCACCAAGATGCCTGTCTCAACGACGTGCGAAAACTGTGCCCGATCCAAGGTGCGGTGTCGCCAAAATGCGGACTCTCCGGGCTCCTGTGATCGGTAAGTACTTCTGACGCAGCCAATACCAGCCCTTGTCCAGTGCTGACTGACCGGAGAGTAGATGCCGGCGCCTGGGAAAAGAATGCACGTATCGACAGGCTGGCCGCCGCTTTGACGGGTTTCGAAAGGACAAGTGAGCTACGAATGCCATTCATCACTTTAAACACCCATTCTGACTGATCCCCGAGACAAATCGAGGCACTCGAGGCAAAGGTGAATGAGCTTATGGCTTCCCAGCAGTCGGTGATAGTGCCTCCAGACACAGCCCAAATTACGCCCTCGAGATCGGCGGACGAACTCACTCCTCGAGGGGATGTCATTGAGCAACAAATCCTGAGCATGGAAACTGCCGATTATTTGCTGGGAGTCTTCAAAGGACGGATGGTGATGCACTTCCCCTTCGTAGTAGTCCCGCCTCATACGGCAGCCCATCACCTTCGCCAAGAGAAACCGTTTCTTTTTTTGGCGATTCTTGCATCCTCGTCATGCGAGAACTTGCCGTTGCAGCGGCGGTTGGGGAAGGAGATCAAGGAGCAAATCGCCGCCCGCATGGTCATCAACGGCGAAGTCTCTTTTGACTTGTTACAGGGTTTGCTCGTGTATCTAGCATGGTGATTTGCCGTTTCGTTCCAACGGCTCAAGTCCGCTGTACTAACCCTTCCCGACAGGTCTCACTTCCATAGTAAACCGCATCGTTATACGCAATTTCTGCAGTTGGCCATTGGCTTGCTAATTGAACTGCGTCTGGACCGCCCCCCACAAACCACGACTACCAAGACAGCACTACAGTGGAAATCAGATGGTTCCTCCAATGATCGAGTTTACACGCGAAAGTCATGGGGCCGTGACGAACAGCGAGCTGTTACAGGCTGCTACTACCTATCGTCGACGTGAGTAGGCTCGGTTCGGACCTCTGGCCTGACAACAGCAATCGTGACTCGAAATATAGGATTGCCATGTTGGTACAGAAACCTTCCAGCTTCCCAAATATCTCTGTTTACCTCGAAGAGTGCTGTCGATCTCTGCGCGAGGCAAATGAATACTCGAACGACGGATACATCGGCCACATGACCCGGCTGCAGCTATTAACGGAGAGAATTGACCGTCTAGTGGTGTCTCATGAATTGAGCCCCTACGACCCGAGCCCGGCGGCCGATCTTTACGTTGATAGTCTGCAAGCAGATTTGGAATCGTTTAGACGGCAGCTCCCGTTCAATTTGCATGATTGTCGTACGTATAAACACCAAAAGGATACATAGGTACCAAGCTAATAGTCGTCTTTGGCCCTCCAAAAGCCCCCTTGGCCATGCAGTTCCACGCAGCTGAGCTTTGCCTATACCAAATCGGCATCGGAAGCACCTCTGAGCATCTCCCCGGGTCAACGCATACTGGCCCCTCAACGAGCCGGCAGAAGGAACTGTCATTCGCGGGATTACATGCGTCTGAGTCGCTGTTCAGAATGTACCTCTCATTCCCCTTTGACTATGGACTCGGACTCAACAACAGCCAATGGATTCAAATGGGGTTCTCATTATTGGTCGCATGTAGGATGGTTCTTGCGAACGCAAAGGTAGACCCTCAAGCAAGCGGCTCCCCAAGGATGCACTGGTTGGAAATTATATCACAACTGCGCGATAGAGTCGCGTCCTTATCCACGGCACGCGTAGACCAAGACAGCGAGCGTGATGCCTTCTACGGCTTTTCTCACCGAGTGTCTCGAGTCATGTCCTGGCTTGGAAGCGATGCTAACGAAGGTGTCCATCGCCCCCGGCCCTCACAGAGTGGCGATCTTAATCCCGGGGCGGAAATGCCAGAACATGCGAATTTCCATTCATTGGTCGAACCCCCGTCGTTCCAGTTGGGATTTGACATGAACAGCGACCTTGATTTGACACAAGACGCATTTTTCGCCGCGGCATTAGGCGAAATGATGGGTAATTGGTTGTAATTCGCCTTGCTCCATGTCCTCTGGGACCCATCATCTCCCTTTTGCTCTTTCAGCTAGCATAGCGGAACCGTCATCCTTCGCGAAAACTAAAACGAACCAACAGATCCATCTCTGCGTGGCAGTGCTTAAATATTTGCCAAATGGACTCAGCATCTCCGACCCGACACTCCACAGCCGCTTGGGGGTCGACTTTAGCCTCAGGCCCCACATATTTCGACATCTCCGACCCGACGTGCATACTATATCTCGAAGAACCTTGCATCACAATAAGGTACCTTAAGCAACATTGGGCTTCGATCCGCCGTCAACATGCCTTCCTCTTCTCTCAGTCTCAAGTTAATCTCCTCGCTTCTCCTCCTGTCACCCTCGGCGCTCTCGTTCACACCATGCCCACTCCTCGGACCCGCCTTTCCTCCGTTTCAATTGGATCCGAGCTCTAAAGAGCTGAGCAAGGCCTTCAAAGAGCTTAAGCATGAATTGGATGATCAAATCATCTCGGGCAATGGCTCGCATGGTGTCACCTACCCCAAAACAACGACCTTCAGCTTGTCTCTGTTCTCCACGAACGAGGGACCCGCCTCCGACGGTCCGTTTATGTTCGACTACCACTACACCGCTCCTGCGCAGAAGCAGTCCAAGGATTTCCGCGCCGCCGATGCCAACAGTGTTTACCGCATCGGAGGGCTGAGTCAAATCTTTACCATATGGACCCTTCTAGCCTCGGCCGACGACGGTGTCTTGGCTGATCCTGTGGCCAAATATCTTCCGGAGCTTGGAACTGCGAAAAAGGATGCAGATGGCCTTGTTGAATGGGACTTGGTTACTGTTGGACAGCTGGCAAGCCATATGGCAGGAATCGCCAGAGATTGTGCGTCGCCCCCAGGACCTTCCCACCCGACGAATGACCGACTAACGTGGAAACTATGTAGCCTGCGTGAGCGACTCGAATGCTGAGGTCCATTCTGTCCATGGTTTACAGAAGTCTCCTGATTCGTTTCCTCTTTGCACGTCGCTTTCCGAAGAAGGTATGGCGATCCTACTCCATTCAAATGTTGATATAATTCTAATCATGGACACAGATGCACTTGCTCGACTGGCCCAACAGAAGCCGGCGGCTTTCCCCGATTCAACCCCCCTGTACTCCAACATGGGATTTGAGGTGCTTGGTTATGTCATTCAGAACATCACTGGACAGTCCTTTGAAGAGGCTCTCCAGGAGACGATTCTTAGTCCTCTGGGTCTGAACGAGACCAGTCTCAACCGGCCTTCGAATTCCTCGATGGGCATCATCCCGGCAAATGAGACGGCAAGTGGATGGAAGAACGAGTACGGAGGAGCGGCACCGTATGTTCCCTTGCATTCCTGCCCCCCGTTTATGCGAAGCTAAATCTTCTCAACAGGGCAATCTCGATGTTCTCCAGCATTACGGATCTTTCTCTCGCCGGAAAAGCGATCCTGAACTCGACCCTGCTGTCTCACATCGAAACCAAGCGCTGGCTTAACCCAGTAACCCACACCTCCAACCCGGCCAACTCGATCGGATATCCCTGGATTATCTACAGCGGCGGAGAATACCCGAATACTTCCATGGTCGACACCTACACTTACTACAGTGATATCGGTCTATATAGCTCCTACCTGGGTCTTGTCCCCGACTACAACGTCGGGTTTGCCATCCTTGCGGCCGACAGCATTGCTAGCCCGGACTTGAACGCGCACGCCGACATCATCGGCGACATCATCCTGGGAGCCTTGATCTCGACGGCGACGAATCAGGCTGGGGAGAATTTCGGCGGCGGCTACCGTGCTTCCGACAACAGCTCGTTGATCGCTGTCTCAGCCGACAAACTCCCCGGACTGTTCATCGAGGACTTTGTTAGCAACGGTGCCAACTTCCGAAAAACCCTTGCTTCATTGACTGGAGTTCAAGACTCTGACGACTTGAGCATTCGTCTCTACCCGACCGGGTTGATCTCCCAGACCAAGTCTGGCTCCAAGCAAACCTTCCGTGCCGTTCTCCAGGACAAGACGGAGTTGGCAGACAACGGCACTCCCACCTGTGTGTCCTTCCTGGACGTGGGCAAGCTGAAGTACAACGATGCTTCTCTGGACGAATTTATTTTCGACGTCAACAAGGATGGCGCAGCAGTCGGTGTCGAGATTCCGGCACTGGGCGTGACTCTGAAGAGGAGCCAGGACTAGAGAACGGATCACGACTAACCCGAGAATGCATGGTTGGGTACCCGTTCGATGATTAGATGTATAATAGTGTCTCAGTACGCGACGATAAACGGTTAGAGGTTTGGCTTTTCGGTTTTGGTTTATGGTTTTGATGGTTTGAATAGTTTAGACATATTGGCAATTGACACGGTTTACAAATTGCACTGCTTCGGAACAGCCCACCTGGGACGACTTCTGATAATCAACATGATCATGACTACAATATAGTAAGGAACAAGGCTCGGTGATCGGCTCTGCGGGTTACCCGAACAGGCAATTCCGCGGCCACGATGGCGCCACGCCAAAGGATCGGCGATGCTCGTCTCTTCCCTCGTCTCTTGGCTGATTCTCTCGCCGTTAACTAGTCTAGTCTTACTACTCCGTGTTTTCTCGCTGCTCACCGTCCGCTCGCCGTTTCTCTTCAACTTCACTCAAACCCCTCGACGGACACCCGACCCGGTGAGGCCACCTACCAAACCCTGCTGCCCCGTTCTGCTCGATTAAATGCTTCTTTACGAATTTGCCACTGATTCGTTCCGTGCGGTCTTCAAAATCAAAACCTGAACCCTTAGAATTTGTGTTTTTCGTTATATTTTACTTGGTTGCTTAACCCCCTATTCCGCCCGCCGCACCAATCCACCTGCCACGCAACATGCCCTTCTCCTTCAACCCTCACAACTACAGCAAACTGCAAAGAATCGACAGCGACGACGACAACTTCAAATTAGAATCGTTCGAGGAGCGAAACCAGGACCCCTCGGCACATCCTCCGCCCAGTAGAGAGCCCAAGCGAAAGAACACGCGATGGATGATCTCCACCGTCCTGCTCTCCGTGGCCATCCTGGCGGCCATCAGTCTCCTATCTCTTAAATTTGCCCGTCCGCGCCATCGTACGTCTGACTCAGCTACTTCATCTGCGACAGAGCCCCAAAGCACCATAGCGCCCCGGCCGTGCGGGACGTCGCCGCCCGAGGCCAGCGCCGCCGGATGTATATACGACCTGATGATGAACTCGTGGCTTCCTCGGACCTGCTTCGACGAGGAGCTCACGAACGAGTTTCGCAGTCTTCGAGAGTGGCGGTTCTACGCGGATGCAAATGGCACGAAGTCACTGACCGAGGAGGAGCTGGCGTGGCGCACGGAGGTGGTCTACACAACGACGGACTATCATTATACGCGCTGCGTGTATAGTTTGCGGAGGGACCAGCGTGCCGGGGAGCGCGAGAGAGATCTCGAGGTTCCTGTCGCGGTGGAGGGCATGGCACCTTGCTCGGATCTGTTTTTGAGTACGACTAAGCAGTTGAATGAGACGAGCAGCGTCATCATCCTGGAGGGCACGTTGACAGCACTCTCCATGGGCTACCCTTTATGTGCTCGGCCCACGAAGATGTGAGCCTCGGACATGGACCGAGATCTACCTCGCTTCAATGTGGGTCTAGCTTCGTTCATTGCCGCGATTGGCGTGCGATGTATATATATTCCGTAGTATTCACATAAGGCTACTGCTTTTCTCTACTTACGGCCAGCTTCATTTTCAAGACCCTCAGGACCCCAACTTGAGATTCACCCTAAAAGGTCTGCATTATAAATATTCATTCGTCTGCTCCTACGATGCCTGAAGTCACTTCATCGCTGCAAAACCTCCTCATGAGCAAGGATTGGGTGGGCTTTGATTTGGACGATACTTTACATGAGTTTCGGATTGCCTCTAATGCTGCCTCGTCGGGCATTTTCGACCGTGTTCATCGTGACTATGGTGTACCTCTGGAGGATCTCAGGTTATCATACCGTCAGATTCTGACAGATATGACCGCTGGTGCATTCGCTGACGGCAAGCTCTCTAGCGATTACCGTCGAGAGAGGTTCGCCGCTTTACTGCATAGTCAGGACATTGTAGCTCCTTCGGGATATCTAGAGTGTCTATTAGCCGTGTACAAAAGAACCCTTGCCTCGTCGCTCTGTCTGAAGGCGGGTGCTCTTGACCTGCTCGAGAGATTGAAGACCCTTGAAAAGAAAATAATTATTATCACGGAAGGACCCTGGGATGCCCAGGATTGGACGATCGAACAATTGGGCTTGAAGGACTATGTCGATGTTCTTGTCACGTCAAATGAGCTGAAGACTTCCAAGACGGACGGCCTGTTCGGACAAGTTCTGCGCAAATATGACATTCCAGCTTCTCAAATGATTTACATCGGGGACAACGAGCTTCGTGATATCCTACCAGCGGAAGCAGAAGGAATCATGGCGATTCATGTTTCCGAAAACTCAAGAGTTTGTGTTGATCCGGAACAGGGATCGATCAAGATTGATGCCCTGACGAGGCTGATGTGTCTGTTTAACGACTGTTAAAGCCGTGTGCCGTGGAGTTTCGATTGTGAGATAACCTGGGGTCTTGCACCGATTGCACCTCCCGACCATCCCGGAGGACTGGGCCGCGCGAGTCGAACTAGTATCACAGCAAACAATGGTTTTGTGGTAAAGCTGACGTGGCGTCGTTCTTTGCGTGGGGGAGAATCGACCGTTGGCTGCTTACTTCGTATAGAAAATGTGAATGCATTCTATCCAGGCCTGGGACTTGCGGGGTACAAGCCTTTGCTTAGCCCCAAGACCGGTGACGTATGTCCTGTACCTGTACCTAATATATTCCTTTCGTATCTAGTTCATTTCCCTCTGTTCTTCTGCTGCATCCCGTGTCGTCCGATCACAAGGAAAAGCCACCCCGGCTAAGATAGAGCGACTGGCGCCACCTGAACCGAGCCTTCCAAAGCTCCACAGAAGGGGGCCAAAGTCTTCATTCTCAATTATGGCCTGTGCGCTAGTGTGGACCAGATTCTTGCATCGAACAGCAAGTCTCGTAACAGCAGCTTTCACACATGGTTTTATTGCCGGCCATAAGGTACGTAGAGTAATGGGATCAGTGTATAAATCTCGCTGGTTGAATTCGTAGCGCATGGATATTAAATTAAAGTAAATCATGTTCAATCCAGCCCAAGTGCTTCGAAGCCGGCAGTATATACATCGTATTTATATCAGGGTCTCCCGTTATTAAAGTAATCTCTCTCGTCGACCTCTCTCGTCGTCTCCAACCTCCAATCGCCCTCGGAGCTCGAGAATTGTCCGCTTCCTTCGCGCACTCGCGTTCCTTCGGAGCTGACGCTGGTCTCCGAGACGTCCGATACGTGGCTCGGTCGGTGTGCGTGGCGCGTCGTGCCGCCATCCTCGTGAATCATGTTGGCGATGGAGAAAGACCGCACGCTGGAGAGACTGGAGACATGCCGATGATGTGCCGGTCGCACCGGCGCATCATCCGCCTCCTGGATGTCTCTGCTCGCCGTCTGGGGCGAGAGAGGCGAGACAAACCCGGTCGAACCGCTGCCGCCGCTGGGAGTCGGGCTGGGAAGAGGGTTGTTGTTATAAGAGGTTGGTAGCTCCACAGGAGGCGTGGTGCTATTGTCTGCAGTGGATTCTTATCAGAAACCCTATTTTTCTTTAAGTATGAAGGTAGAAATGAGAACATACCGTGCATCTCGAAAATCGGATCGCTTCCTGCTTCGATCGTCCGGGGCGAAGTCGCCGCCGCCGTCACGGATTGTTCCACGGTCGAGTCGTTGGCCTGATAAGTGCGGTAGCTGACCGACGCGGTCGTCGTGTCATTGGTTTTGGCTCCTTCCTCCATCCCCTGCGAGCCCGTGTACATCCAGCGCATGATGTGCGATCGCTTGCCCGACTCCTCGCTCGTCTGTTGCGACCCCTTGGCCCGGCGACGCCGGCGGAAACACCAGAACGCGATGGCGCCTGCGATCAGCAAGAGGCCGAGGACCACGCCGATGATGGCCCCAGCCCAGCCGGGGAAACCGTTCTTCTTGTCCGGCACGACGGAGACGGTCGGACGGGGAGTGCTGTTGTCGGTGCGGTTGTAGGGATACCACGAAGTGATGGTCTTGGTGTACTTGGACAAGAAGACACCCTCGAGTGAGGAATTAGTCCAGGACTTGGGCGATGTCGTTTTGGCACTGCCTTTAGAGCTGTGAATCCCTAACGTCAGCACAGCAGCAGGCACGATGGAGACAAAGCAACCTACTCTCCGCCAATTCGGCCGGTCACCAGGTCTGGCACCTTGTACTCGCCCCAATCCTGGGGGTCATACTTGTCCTGGAATCGACCGGTATTGAGGTTGAATACTTGCACGATGCCGCCATCAAGACAGTCCGTGACCGTCTTGTATTTACCACCGAGCACAAGCATCTTATCGGGGTACGGCTTGACGCATTTGTGGCCGTGGCGGCCATGCTGCTTCTGGCCGGAAAACAGTTTGATCCACTCGAAGGAGGGAAGCGACAGGACGTACACGTCGTCAGATGGGTCGCTGTCCGTTTCGAGGCCGTCATAGCCCCCGTAGATGTAGATGTTATGGGACGAACCATCGGATGCACTCGCGTAGACCGAGCAAAACTGCGCCAGGGCCGGCGGGATGTCTCCGGTGGTGTTCTGAACATACCTAACCACCCACGGCATTAGAAGGGGATATAGTTGACGAGTTGCCATCTGACTCACCATTTCTCGTCTGCGATGTCATATACCGACACCGTCTCCATGAACCCGGGACTCGCGCGCTGACTCGCGTTCATCTGGGCGTTGCTGAGTCCGTCGGTGCGATAGATCGACTCCGGGTTTAGGACGCCTCCGATGGCCACCAGCACCCCGGAGTCCGACACTGGCAGCCAGACCAGCTCTGCGTTGGCGCGCGCCGGCACGTAGTCCGGCAGAGAGGTGTTCGACCAGACGTTGCCACGCATCTCCGACATATCGACCTTGATCATGCGCTGGGACGATCGGTTGGCCGACTGATCGTCGGCAATGGAACCCCAGTTTGCGCCGTGCATCCCGCTGAAGTAGAAGCCCAGATTCTCGCTGGGGGCCGAAGCGCCGGCGCCGTGCGTGACATAGCGAGTGACGTCGTTGTCGAGCTGGTCTTCGTAGAATCCCGCCTCCCACGAGCTTCGATAGGGACCGTACTGGTATTTCTCATATCCCAGCACTCGATCGCCTGCCGGAGGATCTTGACTTTCCGTCGACCGGAGGAGACCCCTGTGCACGGTGAGAAGAAGTTACAAAAGCAGCAGAGCCTGTTGCGCTTACCCGTAAAGATAGAGCTGATCGTCATTGGCAAACATCACCCCGTCGCGATAGTTGGGAGCCAGATTGTTGGCGGCCGCGCCAGCCTTGGGGATAGACCCGAACAGCGCGGTGAGGTTGTCGGAGGAAGTGTCGAAGGTCGAGGAAAGATTGAGGTAGTACAGCTTGCCTTCCTGGTTGTCTTGAGGACGGTCAGTTGCGCAAATCTCTCCACTTTGTCGCGATTGCGCGAGATGAAGCAAGCTTACCATCGCTCGTGAATTGCGGCGCCCCTGACGTATATCCTCTGGAGACAGTCAGTTACCCAAAGCCCACACGAAAAGAAAAGATTGGAAGCTCTAGGACGACGTACTCCTCGCGCCATAGATATCCTCCGTCGAGGTACACCTTGTCACGGATCGTGTTGGCTGCAATGCGATTAGAAAGCTCCCACGCGCGACACGGAAAATTCAAAAATTCTGGAGCCAGCAGTCGCACCTCGCAGTTGGGCCCAGTTGCAGATCGAGACGTTGACTTGGTTTCTCCAGTCCTGCGCCGACGTCAGGCTGGCCAGCACCGTCCATAGGGCTGCGGCGGGCCAAAAAGGCGGCATGGTCAAGGTCAAGCAGGGAGGGACGTATGGATTAGAAGTGCCGAGTGCTCATGGCTGTCTCACGGGGATCATTGATTAGCCAGCATGACCCGGGGAAAAAGACAGAAAGAAAGAAAGAGAAAAAAGAAGAGCGACAGAGAAATCCGTTCGCCGGACAAGAAGGCGTTGCCAACGGAGCACAAAGAGAGACCGACTGGCTACGGTTACGCTGAGAGGGGCACTGCGGCTCAGCCGGATGTTTTTTAATTTGTTTTCGTTTGAACAGGATTTATTTTAATTTTCCCGACCGGTGCTGAGTTTTCTGGCTCTTCCCATCTGACTATTATCTGGTTTATTTTGCTTTGACGTTCGGGTCTGCGCGGCTCCCTCGTTCGCTCGATAACGAGTCCAACAGAGCGCGCGATCAATAGTGGAGAGCGAAGGAGGGTGGCTAGAGAAGACTAGACCCGACTAGACTAGAGGACCCCGTTCTTAGTGACGAGCGATATGGATTCATTCGGGAGCAAATGCGCCTACGAGGGTTAGCGATGGCTAGTGCCAACACATTCTGGCCCTAACCACCTCCGATGAATTGCGTCGGTCGCAACGCAAGGTGGCAGTCGGGTTGGTCTCAATCGGACGACGGGAATGAGTCCGGCTCTAGGATTAATCTGGATATTCCAATGATGTGATTCATTGCTGGTCTCCCTGGCCCCGGTGGGCGACGATGTGTCGCCATGTTTCTCCTCCTCTGCCGGGGGATGCGGGGGATGCCTCACTTCTGCCATTCGCAGCTCCAAGTCCAGCGATGCCTGCAAGAATTAGCAGGCTTTCTCCTCCCGGACGATTTCGAACTGGCAGGTCCCGTGCCCCGGCGTGCAGGGGGATACGAGAGGAGAGGCCAATGGCTGCGAGTCCGGCCACAAAGAACCTGCATGGAGGATACACCGCTGCTTGCCGATCGGGTGACGTGCACTGTCCCTTGCGGCCAGTCCTCCAGAGTAATCCGCAATAATCAGAATAATATCTCCCATAGTCCGTGGGATCGGATGGCATTCCTGTCTGGATCCACTGGTGGTGGCTGTCTTCCCCCTGTCTAGCCAGGTTCCTGCTTCAGTGTGATGATCGGGAGGAGCTTCGTCACCATGGCTAAGAATTGGCTAGGCGAGATGCGGAGGTGTCCTTGGTTGAAAAGAAAAGAGAAATAAATTCAATAAAAATAAATAGGGTCAACAAATTAAATCAAAAATGAGACGTCTGTAACCCTGAACGTGGGTGGTCGACCGACAAGGCTGCCCTAGAGGCTGCTAGAGCCCAACATCTGGCAGCTCCAATCCTCGTCAGCAAATAACATCCCCCAAACCACGAGAAAAACAGATGAATCCACCATCAGCCGGCCAATGCAACCACACGGGTGCGGCTCAACACGAACCAGCCGGACAATTGTCGATTCTCTCCACTTCTGGACGCTGAGGGATGCACGCCAGGATTGGCGTGCTAGCCTGGACCCGTTCGCTGATGGCCCGCGCGTGCCATTCGGGACTATTTAGTATTTATTTAGTGTTGACTGGAAGCTATATGACTGCCCAGTCCGAAGGTGCGTTTTATTTTTATCCTTCTTTGTTGTTGGATGCCGCCACCCTCGCCTGCCGTGCCGGTCTGGTCTGCTAAAGTCAGGGCAGATTCCGTCTTTCTTTGTCTGTCGCCTTCGAATCTGCTTCTCCCGCCTTTCGAACGGCCGTAGTCAAGCAGTTAGGGTTTGTGAGACGGAATTTGGACGACCGGATATCTCTCGCGGCGGACAGGAGAGTTGATCAGCAGCACCCTCTCCTCTTGCTTCCCTGCAGTCCCATCGGCCCCTAGGCTATAGCGCAAGGATCCCGCCATGAAGACCTCGCGTGCCCTCGCCTCGCTACTGGCGAGCTCGATGCTGTCACCGGCATTGGCCGCCGTCTCGCCGTCGGCGCTCTTTGGCGGCGGACGTCGACCGGTGACGGTGACGGAAACCAGCATCCGGACGGTCACCGTGTCGGAGACCTGCCAGGTGAGATCGAAAAGCTTCAATTGCGCCAGAGCATCGCTAACGGCCGCTTACAGGCCCCGACGACCGTGCTGCCGCCCAGCCAGCCGGCGGAAACGAGTGTCGTCGTGCCCCCCAGCACGCCGCAGGAGCCAATGCCGCCCACGACGGCCAGCAATCCGGGATATTCCACCGTGCCAGATGTCCCCAGTGCGCCGCCGAGGACGACGACGGCCGACAATGGCTATTCCACTCCTCCCGAGCCTCCCAGCACGCCGAGTACGACCGCTGTTGAGGTTCCGCCGGCCGTCACGACCAGCGCTGTAGTGCCGGGGGAGCCCGAGGACTGCGACTGCACGACGATCACCACGCCCTATACCACGCGCACCTACACGACCCTTCTCCCGGGGTCGACATCTGAGTCGACGGTGCCCGAGACAACTAGTCAGCCACCGCCGACCACGAGTCGCGTCACCCAGCCGCCCAGCTCGACCATCACCACGCCTCCGACCACGACCAGCACCATCGACTGCTACTGCGATGGCTGTGGTGGCTGCGGCGAAGATACGGTGACGATGACGGTGACCACGACCTTCACGTCGGTCACCACGTCGGTAGTCACGTCGACGGGCTATGTCACTTCGTTCGTTACGAGAACGGTGTCGCAGACGGTGACCTCGGCGGAGACGGTCTTGGTCCCCACCACCACGACGCTGACCTCCACTATCACGAATACGATCACCTCCTCGTATATCTCTACGCAGACCGTCACCACCACCAAGGGCTACACCGAGACCAACACCGTCTCAAACACGGTGACCCAGCCTGGAGAGACGATCACTCAGCCCGGTGAGACGGTCACCAGGACCCGATCCTCCAATGGCACCGTGACGGTCACGGACCGAGAGACAGTGACGGACACGGACACTGTCACCGAGACCGAGACAGTCCCCGGCGAGACAGTGACGGTCAGTCGAGGCAAGCCCGGGCGGACGGTGACGGTGACAGTCACCGTTGGGGATGAAGGCGAGACCATCACCGAGACAGTCACTCGCACACAGACCCAGGACACCACCCAGACGGTCACTCTGCCGGAGCGAACGATTACCCTGCCGGGAGAGACGATTACCGGGCCCGGAGGAACCGTTACTCTTCCTGGGGAAACGATTACCCTGCCTGGGGAAACAGTGACTCGGCCAGGAGAGACAGTCACTCAACCGGGAGAGACTGTGACACAACCGGGGGAGACTATCACTCAGCCCGGGCGAACCATTACCCTGCCAGGTGAGACAGTTACTGGCCCTGGAGGAACAGTCACGCTGCCCGGGGAAACCATCACTCTGCCGGGAGAGACCATCACCAAGCCAGGAGAAACCATTACGCAGCCCGGAGAGACCGTAACTGGGCCTGGTCAGACAATTACCAGACCAGGAGAGACAGTCACCTCCGTTTCTACATTGCCTGGAAGTACGGTGACTCTGCCTGCGTCCACCGTGACCACCACCGTCGTCGTGCCTCCGACCACCATCACCGAGTCTGGGTCTGTAACGACGCTGCCCGGATCAACGGTGACCTCGACCTTCACACAGCCTGGACGTGTGGTTACTCTGCCGCCGTCTGTGATTACTCTGCCCGGATCTACTGTCGTCAACACCAACACCGTCCCCGGCCCAACTTCGGTAGACACCGTTTCAGTGACGGTGATTATCAGCACAACCATTTTTGATACAGTCACTTTGCCTGGTAGGCCATATTCCCTTGAATTCTATTGGCAGGACTAACCTTCCGTAGGATCCAGCACGACTGTCACCGTCACCGACATTCCCGCCACCGGCACGGTGACTGCCACTGGTATGTCCCCCCTGCGTCTGCGAGACACTCTCCCCCTTACTGGACCGACTCTGACGCGAATAGGCACCACCACCTTGTCCATCTGTCCCAGCCTCACCATCAACCCGACTTACACCCCTGCCGCACCGCTACCGCGCGACTACACCTGGGGTTGTCCGCCGGGCTACCTCTGCAAGCCCAAGCATGTCGGCGCCGATGCGGGATGCAACCTGGAGGCCGGACTGCCGGCTGATACTTACGTGTGCAGTCCGGATCAGTGTATCGAAAGCCCGCCGTTCATTCACAAGCAGTTCTGGGGCGAACCGGGCGAGTCCGACGAGGTGGCGCCGACGTACAACGTCTCGAAGGGCTACTTCAACCTGAACCCTCACCTCTTCCGCCTGGACTACTCCATCTTCAAGTCCCCGGAGAATGCCTCGGCCCTGGAGCACTACTACAAGCGCTCTTTCGGATCGCGATTTCACGCTAAGCTGCTGTCGCGACAGTCGATCAGCGACGTGCCTCCGCAGTGCTTCGACGAGTGTAATGACGCCGCGCTGGAGGTGGAGTCGACAGGCAAATCGGAGAAGCTGTGCCAGTCCAACTCGGTGTTCCAGCGTTCGTTGGGCAGCTGCAGGAAGTGCAGCAATCGCCAAGACGACGACGGGTTCGAACAGGTCGTTTTGCCCAACTTCCAGCAGTTCCTGAACTACTGCGAGGATCAGTCCTCCGGCACGTCCACCGCGGCCGGCATCACAGAAAGCGCAACCAAAACTGCCTCCGAATCCACCACGTCGGCCCCGGAAACGACGACAGACTCTGGTTCGCGATCGACCGCCTCGTCGGCGTCCCGGTCTGCATCGGCCACCGTGACTCGGGAGACGACCACGCGAGCGTCGCAGACGACGACGCAGGGATCCCAGACGACTGGCACCGACAGCACCCGCAGCGGCGCCAGGACGACCACCCACGACTCTGACCAAACCGAATCCCAGACCACCGCTACGGCCACCGGCGCGACACCCTCGTCGTCCAGAACGCTGCCCACCGACAGCACGTTCTCCGCGACAGACTCGACCAGGGTGACGGCTCCCAGCACCGGAACCACCGGCGGCAGTAGCGGTACGACCCGAACCGCCAGCTCCGCCTTCACCTTCACGAATAGCGCCGCCACCGGGTCGCAGGCGTCGACGGTGACCGGGGGCAGCCAGACGATCAGCGCGACGCGTGGCGATGGCACGACAGATGCCCCCGGAAGCACCGCCGGAGGTCCGTCCTCAGGAACGGATGCCACGGACGCGACCGAATCTGCCGGAGCAACGTCGACCGACAGCGAGGAGGCACCTCTTGCCACCGGCGCTGCGATATCCCTGAGGGTGTCGTCACCCTGGAGTGCATTGGCTCCGATGGCTGCATTGTTTGTCCTGCTGGTCTAGAGCGCGGGATGCTTGGGTTGCATTTCGGATATTTCCTAGTTCTGCTGGCTTTTGCATTGAAAGGTTGTATTGTTAATCATACGACGTCCCCTCCTTTAATGTTTATATCGACGGGGAGGAAACGAGTTACGAGTGATGCGTAGCGTATCTACGAGTCTAATTTTATATAATGTCAGTTCCCTCGGCCTACTGTGATAGAATACTATAGAATTGCCGTCCTCTTACTTGTTCTTTCTCTTTTTCCTCTATTATTTTTCTTTTTTTCTTCCACTGCCCTCATTCCCTCTCGGCGAATCGCAAAGGCTGCCCGAAAGAGAAGACTGCAGGATCCGGCGTGCGTCCATGACTCGCACATCCCACCTTCGTCAGAGCGTCGCAATAGGCCAGGATCGCCAATCACACTGGATACGAGGGGCATCCCGGCCTGAACACGCGCCGGGAACGATTGGTGGAAAGTCCGGATTGCGTGCATTGAGCTGCAGATGGAGCATCTTGGCCGCGCCGGATTTCCCGTGCCTCGAGGGAACCAGAGGACCCCCGGTCTATGCGCACTTTTAGCCTGTTACGCGGCAGGTAAAGGTCTAGGGTCTGCAGGTCATCTCGATTGGTAATCATTCATCGCGTAGCTAACCAACTACTGCCAGCTGTGGTTCCTTGCACGCTGAATCAGCGCTATCATCATGGCATGCACATAATTCTGTATCTTCCGGGCATCTATCTAGTTCGCATTGAAGCCATATTTGGCCTTCAGTGCGTCCGACGACACCTTCGCGTCGAAGATGTAGTTCACGCTCTCCTGCTGCACCGTGGCCTCGGCCCATTTCTTGAACCGGGGCGTCCGCTCCAGCAACGCCGGCAGCTTCGCACTCAGCAGGCCGATCTCCGGGTCCGAGAAGGACAGATACCGCAGCAGGAACGAGCCCGTCAACACCTCCGCCAGCGTCACTTTGTCGCTGCCGCCAAAGAACGGACCCGCGCCCGTCCATTCGGCGAAGAGCGGCTCCAGATCCTTCTCCGCGGCGGCCACGAGCGCTTCGCCGGCGGCCTCTCGCTCCTCCTTGTTGGCGGCGCGCACGGCGGCGTTGAAATGCGGCTGCACCTTGCCGAAGAAGGTGTCGACGAAGAAGGCGATGCGCGCGCGTTGCAGGGCGCCATCGACGCTGCCGGAGGGGGCCACGAGGTGCGACGGATGGGCGTCGGCCAGAAACTGCGACACGATGGCGGACTCGGTGATGACGGTGCCATTATAGGTGAGCGAAGGGACGAGACCGCGCTGCAGAGACGTCTTCGTTCAGTCGGGCGGTTCTCGGAGTAGTTACGCCTGGAGAGGTGCGAGGGAAGAACCTACCGGATTCACCTCGAGATACCAGGGCTCGCGGGGTTTGGTCAGGTCAATGATGACCTCTTCAAACTCCAGCCCCAGTTCCTTCAGCGCGATGTGCGCACGGTGTGCCCAGGGGCATCGATGGTTGGTATAGAGAGTGATCTTGGGGGCAGCCATGGCGTGGTTCTTCAGTTGACGGGTGAGTTGACTGGAGTGATGCAAAGGAAGTCCCCAGTTATAAAGACAAGCAGATGATGTGCAGCAGAGCAGCGATGACGAGCTCTGGAGGAATTAGAAATCGTCGTTTTGAATTATTAATCGGCCGCTGCCCCGCATGGCAGATGAAGGCATCGTGGCGTCCCTTGAGATTTGGTTCTTGGGAGTCTGTCTCTTCGGGTTTCCAGTGTCCTCGTTGTTTATTGATTTTTTTTTTCTGCGTATTTTCCCCTTATGTTCCCTTCCGTGGCTCCTCTTGCTGTACGACTGCCCACTGGAGCGGATATAGAAAACTCCCTCGGTTGGATCCATCGGAATCAAAGCCGCTCTCGCCGCCCCATGCGATGGATGACGATGACATCAGAAGCCAGATACCTGGTGCAGCCACTGCATGCCAGGTCATCGTGCAGCAATGATCGGTAGAAGCGCGGACTTGAAATCCTCCCACGTTGGCCATCTTCTCGGTCAGATTCTCGTATACTCAACCCACCGGGGACTCCTGCGATATCAGCCATGGAGAAGTACCGATTCCCCACCAGTCCTCGGGCAAATCCCCAGGCCATCATTGCTGGCCCTCAGTACCGATTCACCGTCCTGACCGACCGCCTGGTCCGATACGAGTGGGCGGAAGATGGCCAGTTCGAGGACCGCGCCTCGACGTTCGCCGTCTGTCGCGACCTGCCGCTGCCCGAATTCCGCGTCGTCGACCACGAATCCGGCCTGGAGATCATCACGCCGCATGTCCAGCTCAGCTACGACAGGCAGAGATTCGGGCCCGCCGGCCTCGTGGCCCATCTGACAGCCCGAACCACCAAGTACGGCACTGCATGGCGGTTTGGCACGCCGTCGCCTCTCAACCTGGGCGGCACCGCGCGGACGCTGGACCTCTGCGACGGACGATGCGACGTGGGCGACGGCGTGCTGTCCAAGGCCGGTTTGGCCGTCATCGACGACTCGCACTCCATGCTCTTCGACGGTCACGGCTTCGTGGCGGCGCGACCGGCGGGCGACCGCGTCGACGGTTATCTCTTTGCCTACGGACGAGACTACAGAGCGGCCATCCGCGCCTTCCACGCCGTGTCTGGAAACCAGCCGGTGGTCCCGCGATATGCCCTGGGAAACTGGTGGAGTCGGTATTATCCCTATCGACAGGACGAGCTCCTGCAGCTGATGGACCGGTTTCGCGACCGTGACATCCCTCTGTCCGTAGCCGTGCTGGACATGGAGTGGCATCTGGTCTCCGACAAACAGGTGCCGCATGCAGGCTGGACAGGATACACCTGGAATCGGGACCTCTTCCCCAATCCGACGGGGTTCGGCCAGGAAATCCGTCGAAGGAATCTGAAGATGACGTTGTGCGATCATCCACACAGCGGCATCCACTCGCACGAGGACTCGTACCACGAGATGGCGCGCTTCCTGGGCCATGACACCGGCAACAACGATCCGATTCTCTTCGATCCAACCCGTCCGAAATTCATGGAAGCCTACCTGGCCGTCCTACATCGCAACCTGGAGCCGGAATGTGACTTCTGGTGGATTGACTGGCAGCAAGGCCCCTATTCCCGCATCCCCGGCATTGATCCTCTGTGGATGCTGAACCACTTCCACTATCTGGACCACGGGCGAGACGGAAAGAGACCTCTCATTCTCTCTCGCTACGCAGGCCCCGGTAGCCATCGGTACCCCATAGGCTTCTCCGGCGACACGTTCGTGACCTGGGCGTCGCTCGAGTTTCAACCCGAATTCACGGCGATGGCGTCGAATATCGGGTATGGCTGGTGGAGTCACGACATCGGTGGCCACATCCATGGCGGTCGCGACGATGAGCTCGTGACGCGATGGCTGCAACTAGGGGTTTTCTCGCCGATTCTGCGCCTGCATTCCACTTCCTCCCGGTGGATGTCCAAGGAGCCGTGGCTATACCGTCCGGAATGCGCGTCCACCATGTCCGACTTCCTGCGGCTTCGCCATCGACTGGTGCCCTTCTTGTACACACAGAATGTCCGGGGATCGACGGCACACGAACCGCTGGTGCAGCCCGTCTACTGGGAGCATCCCTACGTCGAGGAGGCATACTCCGTCCCGAACGAGTATTTCTTCGCCTCCACCCTCGTAGTCGTCCCCATAGTCCAGCCCCGAGATAAACGAACTAATCTTGCCTCGGCCAGGTCGTGGCTGCCGCCTCATCGCCGCCTCGTGGATATTTTCACCGGAACCGTGTACGATGGAGACCGTAGTCTGACATTGCATCGGCGCCTCGAGGAATATCCCGTTCTGGCACCCGAAGGATCGATCATTCCTCTTGATGCCGAGACGTCTCCTCCAAACGGCTGCTTAAGCCCCGATGGATTTGAGCTTGTCATTGTGATCGGTCAAGACGGACACGCAGAAGTTGTGGAAGATGATCCAACGGGGGAACCAAACCAGAAGGTTGCAGAGATTCGTTTCGAGCAAGCCTCGGGAACTTTGACGGCGAACGTCTGCAGTCGCGCTTGGAAATTCCGATTTCTCGCAGTCAGCTCCGTAGACGATGTTCAGATTTTGATTGACGGCGCTGATCGGACGACTGACGCCGCTATCACCATCGCGCAGCATCCCGAGGCGCCGGGGCTGCTGGTTGAATGCCCATCCATTTCGCAAGGGAAGCACGAGATCATCATTCATCTCGGTCACAACCCCCAGCTTGGCGTAATTGACCACAAACCGCGCCTCGAGCGCTTGATCATGGACTACCAGATCCAATTTGCCATGAAGGATCGGCTGTGGGAGTGTGTGGCCAGTTCGGATCATCAGCCGCTGAACGTGACGACGGGGAAACTCATAGCCCTTGGCTATGACGAGGCCATTGTCGGGCCTATTGCAGAGTTGCTGCTGGCCGATAGTCGCTCGCAGCGTTGACGGACAGCTTTTTCACAGTGACATTCCAGGCTGGCCTGCATTGCAGGGGTACCCTTTCGACCGCGGGTGTTGGTTTGGCGCCGAATTCGTGTCTGAGGACGAGCTGCGGCAGAAGCGTAGTAATTCTTCCAGGCCATTTCCAGATAGACTTATTGCCGTATAGCGAGGAGATCCATGTCGTGGCAGTCACCTCTTGCCCTACGAAGGACGGATAGCTGCATTCGATCAATTGACACCAGTAAACATGAACACGCTGCCGGAGTGGCTGCCTTTCCTTTGACTCTGGTGTGACGTCTGTCGATTCCCGCGAGGACAGGCACAGATGCCCTGGATAGGCCCATGGTTCGTTGGTCAGATCATGACGGAAAAGGTCTTCGGCCATCAGGAATCGACGTGCAATCATCGTCATGCAACCTTGTCGATGAAGAATTCTTCGCTGTTCTCCACCAACTCCTCTTCCACTTGCCACTCGCATCTTTCTTTATGCTACCCAGCAATCAAATGAGCTCCCCAGGACAATCGCAGGTTCAGCTGCAACCGCCCAAAGGCCCCGGTGCTGTCGAAAAAGATCCACAGGGCCTGGCAACTAGCGACGATGGACCGGATCCAGGCGAGCACCTTGAAGGCGCTCGAATGTACAGCGTCACGGCGGCCCTGTTGACAGCCATCTTCCTGGGCACTCTAGACGCGTCGATCCTTGCGACCGTTCGTTGGCTCCTCGTCACCCAAGCTCTGGTGGCCTTCACTGACTCCTGATCGATCCCTCTAGGCCATTCCCCAGATCACCGCGCGATTTCACTCCACTCTCGATATAGGCTGGTATGCCTCGATCTATATGATGGCCACGTGAGTTTCAACCGGTCGCATAGTGGAAACGCGGACTAATTCGCATCAGATGTGCCATACTCCCCATGGCGGGAATGTTCTACTCCTATTTCTCGGCCAAGGTTCTGTACACACTGCATCCGGGTTGACGCACACGACTAACCATGCGACAGTACACCTTCATGGGCTTTCTATTCGTATTCGAACTCGGATCCTTGCTTTCCGCCGCCGCCGTTTCCTCGAAAATGTTGATCGTTGGACGGGCCATCGCCGGGCTGGGAAGCGCCGGCATCTACAACGGAGGACTGACGATTATGGGAGAAAGGGATGAAGCCATCGACCCGGGCCTGTGAGTCGCGCCACCCACAAAGCAAGATGCACGCTAACACCCAGTCGATAGGGCAAATTGGACTCGGGACCTCGGTGGCGACCATGGGATCGGTGTTTGGCCCTCTGATCGGCGGTGCTTTGACATCGCGGGTCTCGTGGCGTTGGTGTAGGTACCCCAGTCCGACCATGACGAGTGAACCGGTCTCACATCATCATTTCGCCAGGCTTTTATATCAATCTTCCCCCGGGGGGTCTGGTCAACGAACGATAATTCCGTCATCGATGATGGCGATTGTAATGTTTTTGGCACACCGTCTGGAGATAAATAATACGTAGAACGTTCGTCGGAGCGGTTCTCGTTGCCCACATTTAGAGGATACCCACCTGGATTTGGTATCAAGTTGAAGAATAGATTGAGCACCCGAAGGTAGGCCGTTAGTATCAGAAGAGCCATGACATCTGGTAATTGGTGGCTGTCACAAAATCTGCTTGCCTGTCCGGGTATCCCATCGAATACGGATATCTCACAGTAGAAGTTTAGGACGTCCATCAGTTGCTGCGTAGAGTGTTCGAAGGCCATTCGTGATTGCCCTTTGCGCTGCGGAGAAGATCCGGATCTGCGTTGGTGAAGCTGTTTGTCCACGATGGCTCAAGTATAACAGTTGAAGGTGAAACTGCACCCGAACTGTCTTCTGGTGAAGATCTTGATTATAATTTAATTAGCACCAGCGACTAAAAGACCACATTCCATCAGTGACTCACAAGGAAGATTTGAGACCTGATTTTCAAACAAGGATCGCTCTTTTGACATAGATAGTTGATCTTCAAACTTCATACATGAAAAAGGCTTTGACGGCCACACGGGAAAGACTATATCTATTCTGAATGCTTCATCGAATCCCGGGGTTCCGCTGGTAGACCTCAGTCGATTCAGAACTCATCTACCCATTCACTTGTTGTGCCCAGCCGTCCATTCGTATCCCCACCTTCCAGACCAGTTCTACCTAGGGTGCACCTGCTTTTCGATGCCGTCGCGGTCTACTAGTGCGGAGGGGCTGACTGAACATGCATCGACTTCCAGCCGTGTGACGGCGTCGACAGGTGCTCGCATTGTCTGAGTATTGCACGCAGCGCAGCTTCTGGCGATGACAACGTTCACAAGCTTGTCGTCTATGCGATTTCCGATGGATGGACATTTCGGAATAAGGAGAAAACTTGAATGAGGCGATGTTCGGAGGATGACATTCAGTTCGACAGGTGTTTTCTTCACTTCTCAACAGCAGGTTTCATTCCATGTATGTTCTGCTATGGACTGCAGTTTGCGCCGGGTAAACAGATCCTTCGTCAATAAATCTTTTTTTTAATACGGTCATGTCATAGAGGCGCATTGCAGCTGCTGGTTCTCATTTGACGCCTTCTAGAGCTTGACAAGGCTTGCCTTTGACCCCAAGCTGCTTCATCTCCTGTCAGAATGGGCCCTTTGTCTCGAATATATTATCCGATCGTCAGGCTTAACTTATCCACCGAAACTCGGGGTGAGCATGCAGGTCTTCATTCACTGCGACCCTTAATCCATAGACCTGTTGTACAGTCACTAAGGAAAGGATCATTAAACCCGAATCCTAGACCCCACCCAGGAATAGGTATTCGTTGTGTAAGAATATGGCACCATAATCTCACCGAGTGTACGTTTCGGAACGTGGCGGCATTGCACTCTTCAAAGATTATTCAAATAGAATAAGCCAGAGAAGTACACGTAAGACCAAAGAGCGGTTAGAGCCGCTAACATCTTGCATAGACATGGTCTCATACAAGGCCATGGAGACGATTCGCCCCCAACACAATGAAATCCCTGTTGGTTAGATAGCGGGATGTTTCAGGTACGCAGAAACAAAGACTTAGCATCTGTCTGCAATTCTTCGCCAAGTCTAACGGTTGTAGGGATGGACCATGCATTCGTCGCGAGTTTCTTTGTGAAGGCAACAGTACTGGTTCGTATCAAGAGCAATCTGGCCCGAGTAGAACTGCTTACTTGCTGCGTTGTAACCCCCACACGGCCACACGGACCCCCGGTCATAGATCCAGATTTCTTGGACCTCGGGACAGGTCCACGGAGGATTTCACCGCGTGGCCTGAGAAAGTTTCTTTTCTCGTCTGTATGAAGCAAGGGCCCCTGTAGGTGTTAATGTGTTGATTGGATCATCGTCACGTCGGACGCCTGAAGGAGTAAGCTCTATTTGGCGACGGCCGACTTGGCCCGGGGTGTTGGCCTGTCATATAATGAGGGGCTGCATGCCTAGAACTACAATGAACCAGAAGCTGGGCTTGGTTCGGTGCTTTCACTACGCTAGTAGACAGCAACACAAATCGTGCTAGCCAGAGAGGTATTAACATAAGCGACGGAGGGGTTGAGACTTTCTAGATCGAGTCTGTCGCTTATCATAGCCGATTAGAGAGTTGTGCCCTGGACGATTAATCAATGCTGTTGATTGCGTAGCCTTGCTAGCCATCAGGGTACCGAGAGGCTAGACAAAAGCCCGTAATTCTGACGGAGATGAGGCGTCCAAAGGCTCAGCCTAGCCGGTTGCGAGGCAGAGCAGAGGAAACCCCGTCTTCGCGGAATTGAGTTGATTGGCGACGATTTCTAATAGGACACTCCCTTGCTGCCCTGCTTTAATAGCACTGCATCAAGGGCTTCCCGTAGACAGGCGAATTTAAAATATGGCAGGTGCTATTAGATCTGAGTGGCGCTGCAAGGAAAGTTCGAATTAGGCGATCCTCGGGGCCACGGTCAAGGGTCGAAAAGGCAGGCAGACACTCCGGGTTGCCTAGCTAGATCGATTCTGGGGACGGGAAACCAAATGTTCGGTGACTTTCACATTCGGGGTAATGCATTCTCAGCTTTTACGGCGTCTCGTGGAGGAGCAAGGATCCGTAGGATCGCAAACATAAAGTCCCGGAGGCGCTCGTTGAGTGGCCTTCCACCCCGCCGGTTATACACTCAACCAGTATCAGAATGTACTCCAGTCAGTCAGAGCCTATTGCGATAGTTGGAAGCGGATGCCGTTTCCCTGGGGGCTCGTTGTCGCCCTCGAAGTTGTGGCAGCTTCTCAGAGAGCCTCGAGATGTCAGCAGAGAAATCCCCGACGATCGATTCAGCACCCAGGGTTACTACCACCCAGATGGATCCCATCATGGTACAACCCATACTACCCGGTCATATCTGCTGGATGATGTTCGACAGTTCGACCCGCAGTTTTTCAATATACAGCCTGCCGAAGCGGAAGCGATCGATCCGCAGCAGAGACTGTTGCTAGAAACCGTGTATGAGAGCATCGAGTCAGCTGGAATGACACTAGAAGGGCTCCAGGGCACTCAGGCAGCCGTCTTTGTGGGACTGATGGGATGCGACTACTCCGACATCGTTCTGGGTGATCTGGAGTGCGCGCCGACCTACACCGGGACTGGAACTGCCAGGAGCATCCATTCGAATCGAATCTCGTATTTTTTTGACTGGCACGGACCGTCTATGACAGTTGATACGGCTTGTTCCTCCAGTATGATGGCCGTTCATTTAGCGGCACAGGCCCTTCGCAGTGGAGATGCGCCGGTGGCTGTTGCAGCAGGTGCCAGCTTGAACATCGGCCCAAGTAAGTCAGTCCTCTGTCGAGATGGGCGTCCCGACGCTGACAAAAAGAAACAAGATAATTACGTGCTTCTGAGCAATCTCGGCATGATTTCCCCGGATAGTCGATCCAAGATGTGGGACGCCGAAGCTAACGGCTATGCCCGTGGTGAGGGCGTCGGGGTGGTAATTCTCAAGACCCTTAGTCAAGCGTTGAAAGACGGCGACCACGTTGAATCTCTCATCCGAGAGGTCTGTGTCAACCAGGACGGTCGTACGCAGGGAATTACGATGCCAAACGAGCTGGCTCAGGCGGCCTTGATTCGTCAAACCTACCAACGTGCAGGACTAGACCCGACCAATGCAACAGATCGCCCGCAATACTTCGAGGCCCATGGCACCGGCACTCCTGCAGGCGACCCTAGAGAGGCAGAGGCAATCTCGAGAACATTCTTCCCCGAGGGCTGTGGCGCCTCGCAAGATGAAATCATCTATGTCGGCTCGATCAAAACCATCATCGGCCACACCGAAGGGGCGGCGGGAATCGCTAGCATCCTGAAGGCTTCGCTAGCCCTTCAAAATGGGTATATTCCTCCGAACCTTCTTTTCAACCGCCTAAGCTCTAGTGTTGCTCGGTTTACCGAGCATTTGCAAGTCCCTACATCTCTGATCCCCTGGCCCCAAGTGGCCGACGGGGGTGTGAGGAGAGCGAGTGTGAACAGTTTTGGTGAGCCATTCAGTCCTTCCCATGAACAGAGGTGTGGGATACAGACACTGACGTCTATGCAGGATTCGGGGGATCAAATGGCCATGCCATCCTAGAAAGCTTCCAACCGGAATCAAGAACCACGTCTCATCCAGGGAAGGGCAAGGTGGTATTGACCCCATTCATCTTTTCCGCTGCGTCGGAGCGCAGCCTAGTCGCTGTTCTCAAAGCATATGCGCAGCATTTAGGCGCATTGGACGACGTTGACCTGCGCTCGCTTGCCTATACCCTCCATTCCCGTCGCTCCGTATTGCCCTTTCGCGTTGCAATATGGGCCAATAGTCTTCAGGATTTGCTCTTTAAGATTGACGAGAGACTCGATGATTTCGCCGCCAAGCAGACCCTCTCACTAGGGGTGCGTGCGTTGAGCAAATCAAATCGCAAAATACTCGGGGTTTTTACAGGACAGGGGGCGCAATGGGCGGGAATGGGCAAGCAGTTCCTGATACACCTGCCCTATGCTCATCAAATCATCTGCGAGTTGGACGCATCCCTTGCAAGCCTTCCGTTGGAGCATCGGCCTTCATGGACACTGCTTGGACAGCTCTTAACCGACCCAGCACCCTCGCGAGTGCATGAAGCGGCAATTTCACAGCCTATTTGTACGGCTGTTCAAGTCTTGCTAGTCTGCCTCTTGCGATCGGCAGGGGTTCATTTTGGGGCCGTCGTAGGTCACTCCTCCGGTGAAATTGGGGCGGCCTATGCGGCAGGGATGCTATCGGCGTCGGATGCCGTTCGAATTGCATACTATCGAGGCTTTGGAGCTAGCCTTTCTGGTGGGCAAAATCAAGAAAAAGGAGCCATGCTCGCGGTCGGTGCCTCCTTGGAAGAGGCCACAGACCTATGCAAACTTCATGGGATCAAAGACCGCGTTACTGTGGCTGCATGTAACTCGCCCTCGAGTGTGACATTGTCTGGCGACATCGACGCCATCAAAACCGCAAAGCTCGTGCTTGACGATGAGAGAAAGTTTTCCCGGATGCTCCGGGTTGACACCGCCTATCATTCTCATCATATGATCCCATGTGCTGGGCCTTACATGGAGTTTCTTCGACAATGTGGGATCAAGCCTACCATCCCTGGTCCGACGGCGCCATCATGGTACTCAAGCGTAAATACAAGCACCGAGCCCATGCATCTCACCGACAGTTTGGCCATAGAGTACTGGAAGGACAACATGGTCCAGCCTGTTCTTTTCAGCCAGGCAGTCGAAACTGCCCTCGCATCGGCTGGCCCCTTCGACATTGCTTTGGAGGTCGGTCCACATCCGGCTCTCCAGGGGCCATTCAATCAGATTATCGAAGAGGTCTCCAAAAGTAACATTCCTTACTCGGGGTCTTTGAAGCGTGGCAGTGATGATATTGAAGCTTTTGCGAATGCCTTGGGTTTCGTCTGGGCACATCTTGGACTTTCCGCTGTGAACTTCAAAGCATATGAGCAGGCCCTGCTCCCCCAAGACGAGGATGAACTCTTCCTAAAGGACCTGCCGACTTATCCCTGGAACCACGAGGGATCGTATTGGTTTGAGTCACGGATCACGAGAGTTCAGCGCGAACGGAAAAGGCCGGTGCATCCACTACTCGGGATTCAAGCAAGCGATAAAACCGACAGTGAGGTCAAATGGCGCAATTTTCTCAAGAAAAACGAGCTGCCTTGGCTCAATGATCACCAGATCCAGGGCCAGGCTGTCTTTCCGGCTGCAGGCTACGTCTGCATGGCATGGGAGGCAGTCATGGAGGTATCAGGTGCTCGTCCGACTCGACTATTTGAAATTCACAACATGAGTATCGGCCGGGCCATTGTTTTCGACCGAAGCCTCGTTGGCGTTGAAGTTGTCTTCGCACTCTCAAACATCGCGAGAGACAACGATGACCCGGGGTTTCTTCGCGCCGACTTCTCGTGCCATTCATGCTCGAGTCGTGACAATAACCTGCTGATACTCAATGCCTGTGGGACGATCACTGTCTTCTATGGTGATCCGGGAGCAGACAGTCTTCCTGCGGAAAGCCCTGAGGTTCCAAATCTGGTCGATGTAGATGCTGATTCTCTCTATGATTCTCTCACGGACCTTGGCTATAGATACACGGGTCTCTTTAAAATCATCGATTCGTTGAAAAGGAAAAGAAACCACGCAAGGGGTCGGCTGCAGAGGGTGTCAACGAACCTTCTCATTCACCCAGCGATTGTCGATGGCGGCTTACAAGCACTGCTGGCAGCGACAAGCTATCCAGGTGACGGTGCCCTCTGGTCGCTTCATATGCCCGTTACGGTGCGCAATATTCGGCTCAATCCGTACTTTTGCCATCTTTCTCAGAATGAAATGCCTGTCTTTGAGTTCGACGCGATCGTGTCAGACTTTGGCTCGTTCGGTAGCAATGGCAGTGTCCAGGTCTATCCTCCGGGGAGTTCTCATGCCCTGCTGCAGATAGAAGGAGCCAAGGCAGTGCCGGTTGCCCCCGCCACCGCCAAAGACGATCGGAACATTTTTTCGGAAGTCATACTTGACCGGCTGAGTCTGGATGGCGAATGGATATCCGAGGGACATGTCGCTTCCCCCGAAGAATACCATCTTGGTTACTTATTGGAGCGAATTGCACACTATTATTTACGACAGCTCCATGAGAGGGTCACAGCACAGGAGAGAGAACAAGCCGAGTTCCATCATCAGCGCTTGTTGGTATTCGCAGAAAATATTGTGACATCTGTTGCCTCCGGTCAGCATGACTGGGCTAAGCAGGAGTGGGCTCAGGACACCAAATCTGATATCTTGGAGGCCAGTGAGCGGTGAGCTTTCTCAGGAGGCTTTTATAGTCCGTCGGGCATAACTAATGCTGCTAGGTACTCCCACTTGATCGATATTCGAATGATGACCTCTATTGGAGAGAACCTGCTCTCGGTAGTGCGAGGAGAATCCACATACCTTGAGCACATGGTTCGTGATAACATGCTGGAGGAATTTTACTGTCATTCATTGGGATTTCCGGTGATGAACAAGTGGCTCGCTCGCATGGCCAAGCAACTCGTCCACCAATACCCATCAATGAAGATCCTAGAGATCGGTAAGACCACGATCACCCTTCATAGGCCGGATTGAGTAACTAAGAGGAATAAGGCGCTGGCACCGGTGGAGCAACCAAATTGATTTTCAAGGCCATCGGGCGCAAATTCTCTTCCTACACGTACACCGACGTGTCCCCCGCATACTTCGATCGCGCTAAGGAGGACTTCCGGGAGTTTACCAGCAAGATGGAATACAAAATCCTGGATCTGGAGAAGGACATGTCAGAGCAGGGATATACTGAGGGAGAGTTCGACCTGGTTGTTGCATCCAACGTGCTTCACGCCACAAAGAATCTAGAACATACTCTGCGCCGGGTGAGGGGACTCCTTCGTCCAGGAGGGCATCTTTTGATGCTGGAAATCACCAGCACCAGCCCCATGCGATTCGGGTTTTTTATGGGCGGTCTTCCCGGATGGTGGGTTGGTCATGATGATGGCCGTCAAATGGCGCCGGTAATCGAGCCGGTTCGATGGCATTCGTTGCTGCGAAAATCTGGATTTTCGGGCATTGAAGCCATCACTCCAGCTTCGGATATTCTCCCATACCCGATGTCCGTCATGGCAGCACAAGCGGACGACTATCGCATCCAGTTTCTCCGCGATCCAGCCTTCGAACCAATCCCTCAGGCAAGCCCGGGCGCGTTACTGATTGTAGGAACGGAAAGCCTGGTGACCACTAAGCTAGCTGAGAAGATTTCGAGGATCCTCGCAAACAAATTCGCACACATCGCGGTCTTTAGCAGCATTGAATATCTTGGACGACCAGGAGTTCGCATCCCACGGAATGTCATCAGCCTATGTGATCTAGATGAACCAACATTCTTGCACATGAGCCAGGAAAGATTGAGCGCGTTGCAGCTGCTCGTAAACAACGCGAAGAATATCTTGTGGGTGACTCAGGGCAGCCAGGGAGAAGAGCCATACAACAACATGAGCATTGGGTTCACGCGGTCTCTGAGATACGAAATTCCCGATATGCGGCTTCAAGTGCTGGATACCGACAGCATAAATACTTTAGATGCACAGTATATCTCGAACTTACTGCTCATCCTCAGCGCCACAGACAGCTGGGCGCGGCTTGGTGAGATGGATGATGTCCTTTGGGGAATCGAGCCCGAGATCCATCTGAAACAAGGGTCTGCGTACATTCCTCGCATCATCCAGGACCGTCCCCGCAACGATCGGTACAATTCAAAGCAACGGCCACTTTCAAAGCAGGTATGTCCGGGTGAACAGCCAGTCTTTCTAGATGTGAGCGGTGACTTTTATGTGTTGCGTGAGTTCGCTCCGAGCTCAATATTCACAACAATGCCAGCCAGTTTGGTGAAAGTCAAAGTGGCCACAGCAACAATAAACGCCGTCCAAGCAGGATCATTTGGTGCTGCATTTATTGCGTACGGCACAGTTGAAGCAACCTCAGAGCCGGTGGTTGTATTCAGCGATAAAAATGCCTCGATACTTGAAGTTCCCGAGAAATACGTCGTGCGTTATGAAGTTGATCCCAGCAAGCAGCATGTATTCCTACAGGCGACCATGCTCGAACTCATAGCTGATAATATTCTCTCCTTATGCCAATCCGACGGAGATCTTCTTCTGTATCGGACGCCTGAACCGCTCTCGCCCGTCGTACAGCGTCGAGCAATCGAAACGGGTCGCCGCGTGTTCGAAGTCACACACGGTCCTGAAAAAGGCACATCGATGGTCTCTATTCATTTGCGTGCGTTGGAAAGCCACATTCGAAGCGCTCTTCCAAAGAATCTTGCAGCCTTTGTGAACTTTTCAGTTGATACGACCGAGGTCGATTTTGCACGGCGCGTTTTGTCCAACTTGCGCGTTGAATGCAGAATAATAGGCCCTGACAGGGTCTATCAACAAGCAGCAAGTTTGGTCTCGGAGTATGCAGTAGACAATTTTCACTCGGCCTTGAAAAGGGCAGCTTCGCACGCCGCTGAGATACTCGACCGCACGCAACTTCCTCCAATCGAAGTAATCACACTCCACGAGAGTCTGGAAATGAGACGGGCAAGCCACAAATACCAGATCATTGACTGGACAGTGGACTCGACCGTCGGTGTTCGAATTGAATCTGCAAGCAACCAAGTTGCGCTGCATCCAGACAAATCCTACCTTCTCGTAGGTCTCACAGCGGACTTGGGCCAAGCCGTGTGTGAGTGGATGATCGATCATGGAGCTCGGAGCGTCGTTCTGCTGAGTCGAAACCCACGCGTGGGCCAGCGATGGCTTGACTTGCAAGCGCGCAAGGGCGCAACGGTAACTGTCTATTCTGCGTAAGGATTCATGTCCCAACCACCTTTATACGATACTAATCACACCATGCAGAGACGTAAGTGACCGGCAAAGCATCGGCGAAGTTCATCGCCAAATTGCTGCATCGCTTCCAGCGGTTGCGGGAGTCGTCAATGCAGCAATGGTCCTTCAAGACTCCATGTTCTCCAACACGAATCTTGACATGCTCCGGGCGGTCATGGCGCCGAAGGTTGATGGCAGCCGTTACCTTGATGAACTCTTCTCCGATCCTACTCTAGACTTCTTCATCCTCTTCTCCTCGCTTGCTTGGGCCGGCGGGAACAGTGGCCAGAGCGTTTATGCAGCTGCCAATGGGTACCTCGTTGGGCTGGCAGCACAGCGACGAAATCGGGGGTTGCCAGCATCGGTGATTGATCTCGGCCCAGTCCTTGGTCTAGGATACATCACACGGTCGGGTCAAATAACTGCGGCCGACATCGATGCCTCTGGGTCCTACCCAATTTCGGAATATGACCTTCTCGAGCACGTTGCCGAGGCTGTCTTGGCCAGTCCCATACAATCAACTGCAAGCTACGAAATCATCTCTGGCATCCGGGAGGTCGACCCAGAATTGAGTGACCGAGTCAATTGGATCAACAATCCAAAGCTTTCGCACTTCGTGGTGGACAAAGGTGACGTCAAGGCAGACACGGCAGACAAAAGAGCGATGCCGATCAAGGACCAGTTGCGAGAAGCGCAAACTGTTGCAGAGCTCCGACAGATCATTACAAGTACGTAGATCTGTTGCTCAAGTGCTCGTGTATTCTGCTAACAACTGATCAAGATGGATTCACGGCCCGCCTCTTGCTCCTGTTGCAGCTCCCAGCCAATAGCATGAGCACAGAAGTACCTCTCGTGGAGCTTGGGGTGGACTCTCTGGTGGCAGTCGAAGTGCGTTCGTGGTTTTTGAAAAATGTCAGTGTCGATCTCCCTGTATTGAAGGTTCTTGGTGGATCCAGCCTTCTGGATGTGGTTGAAATTTCGCTCGAGCAGGCATCACCGAAGCTGCTTGCACAAACCAGCGGTGTTGAAGGCATGCTAGAAGATGGCAATGTTTCCAGCGTGGAACGAAGCAAGCACCCTCATGCGGAAATCCTTACAGACCGTTCAACAGAAGGGTCGTGGTCACCCCCAAGCACCGGTCAGGTGGAGCAGTCCTCGTACAGAGACGACTCCAAAATGACACCGCTGTCAACTCCGCATTCAGAACAGTCGGAGATGCACTTTCACCCGATCATCGAGAGAACAGAGAAGATGTCATTCACGCAGAGAAGATTTTGGTTCATGCACCACCATCTAGCCGACCCGACTACGTTCAATGTCACATTCTCCCATCATCTAGAGGGAGAAATGCACGTTGCGGACATGGCCCAGGCCTTGGTAGCTTTAGGAGCAAAGCACGAAGGACTCCGTACATGTTTCTTTGACACCAGGTCAGAAAACAGTCAGCCAATTCAGGCAGTTCTTGCTCAGTCCCTCTTGCACCTTGAGCATCGTCATATCGAAACAGCTGATGTCGTCGACACAGAGTTCAAGAAACTCGTAAACCACGTCTACAACTTGGAGAATGGAGACGTCATGAAGGTTATCCTGCTTACCCATACCCCGAGGTCACATTTCCTCATTATTGGATACCACCACATTGCTATGGATGGAATTGGGTTTGCCGGCTTCCTGCAAGAATTGATGCAGATTCGCACGGCAGCATCTTCCCCTATGCAGTATCAGTACATCGATTATTCCAACAAACAGCGACAGGCATACGAGCAAGGCGACATGGCAGGTGAGATCGAATTCTGGAGAAAGGAAATTTCCAACCCACCGCCGCCATTACCACTTCTGCCCTTCGCAAGAGCCAAGCATCGTCGCGCCCTCAGGGAGTACTCGCACAGCACGAGTAGCTTCAGGCTATCATCGATCGTCACGGCCAGGATCAAGCGCAAGTGCCGCAGTTATCAAGCTACAAGCTTTCATTTCTACCTGGCTGTCTTGAAAACGATGCTATTCAAGATGCTGGACTCGGACGACCTTTGCATTGGCATTGCGGATTCAAATCGGACCGACGGAGATATGCTGCGCACGATGGGTGCATTCTTGAACCCCCTGCCCTTGCGATTTAGGCGCGACATGAGGCAATCCTTTGGTGACGCGGTGAGAACTGCCCGTCAAAAGGTGTATTCTGCCATGGAGCATGCCAGGCTTCCGTTCGATGTACTTCTCGACGAGCTGAAGATTCCGCGCTCTGCCGACCATTCCCCCCTTTTCCAAGTATTTCTTGAATTCCGGCAGGGCGTGCAAGAGCAGATGGTGGTAGGAGACTGGCAGGTGCAGCGCACCCATTGGGATTACGGAAAGACACCATACGATATCATGCTAGACATTATCGAGAACACTAGCGGCGAGGCTGTGGTTTCTCTGAGCACGCAGAGAAGCTTGTACTCGCAAAAGGATACAGACTTGCTTGGCCGAGTCTTCCAAAATCTCTTAGACACGTTTGCAAGCAACCCGGCACAGCGAGTAGGAGACCCCCAGTTGTTTGCAAGGGCGGACATCAACAAAGCCATAACGGCAGGAATCGGTAAGGACAAGCTCCTCTCTCACGAAATATCGTAATATTACTTACTGAGATGCTCAGGTCCACACGTACCCACCACCTGGCCTGCCAATGTTGCCGATTGCATTGGGATCAGCCTGTCTGCAGGTCCCGATAAGATAGCATTGAAGAACGAAGGTGGTATTGAACTCACCTATCGTGAACTGTCCGATCGTGCCGATCGCATTGCAGCTGCAGTAAAGCACGCAAACATTCAGCAGGGTTCAAGAGTTGCTATCTTTCTGGAGCCCGGTACAGATCAGGTGGCTTCGATGATAGCAATGTTCAGGTTGGGAACTGTATACGTTCCCTTGGACCTCCGACAGCCGGTTACTAGACTGAAATCTCTCCTCAAAGACTGCGAGCCAAGTGCAGTTCTATATCACGCCGCCACTTCGGGGACTGTTGGTTCTTTATTGCCTTCTGACACTTCAAAGCTGCTCGACATTTCGAGGGTGGATGCAGCAAAACCATCGCCATCGTGCTTTGCTCCCGTCGGAGGGCACTCTCCAGCCATGGTTCTCTATACCAGCGGCTCAACAGGAGAGCCCAAAGGAATTGTTATATCTCACAGTAACATCTGTCACCATCTTGAGAGCATGAGCCAAACTTTGGGGTTCGGCGCAGAGGTTATGTTGCATCAAAGCTCCCCTACCTTCGACCTTGCCGTGAGTCAGGTTCTCATGGCACTTTGTCACGGTGGAACGCTAGTTATTGTACCCCAAGCGAAGCGGGGCGACGTTCTGGAAATAACGAAGATCATGGCCGAGCAACGTGTGACGTCCACAGTTGCAACGCCATCAGAATACTCTGCATGGCTCCGATATGGCTGCGTTCATCTTGACTCGTGTCCAACTTGGACCTTAGCTCTGAGCGGAGGTGAACAATTGACTTCCAGACTGATTCATGAGTTTGACGTCATGCGGACCTGTTCTCCTCAGGTTGTCAACATCTACGGGCCTGCAGAGATCACTATTTCAAGCAATTGTCTAACAGTCCCCGGGGTGGAAACCGCTGGCGCCATTCCTGTCGGACCTACCCTGCCTAATTATTCCATTTGCATCGTCGACCAGAACATGGAGCCGCTGCCGATCGGGATGTCTGGCGAAATTTGCATTGGCGGATGCGGTGTGACCCTTGGCTATCTGAACAATGACAGCCTTACCCAGCAGAAATATGTCACCAACCCATTCGCGTCTGAAAGCTATCGGGCTAGAGGGTGGACTCGAATGGTGCGAACCGGTGATCGCGGGCGGCTCTCCAACGACGGCTCTTTAGCCTTCGAGGGCCGCATGGGTGATGACTCGATCGTCAAACTGCACGGCATTCGAGTGGAGCTGGAGGACATCGAGATTATGATTCTCCGGCAAGCGGACGGAGGCATCGACCAGGTCGTCGTTTCGGTGCGTGGTGATCCACAGTTCTTGGTTGCTCACGTCATTCTGTCTCGCACCCTCGCCGATGTCGACCAGAGCGCATTCCTCGAGGACCTGCGCTCCAGCCTCCCGTTGCCGCTGTATATGTGCCCGGCCATACTCGTTTCTGTCACCGAGTTCCCTTTCAACGCGCACTTCAAGGCAGACCGTCTCGCTATAGCCAAGCTACCTCTGCCATCAACAGTTCCCCGAAGCCCCGGCACAGGATTCGATTTGACGGGCCTTCAAAAGCAGCTGAAGGATCTCTGGGACGAAGTTCTTCCCCAGGAGCTCATCGACATTTCCGCTGCGCATCCAGATCTCAATTTCTTCCAGGCCGGAGGAAATTCTTTCCTTTTGCTCAAGATTCAAGACTTGATCAGAAAGCGCTTCCGGGTCACGCTATCCCTTGCCGATCTTTACGAGGCCAGTACTCTGGGGCGTATGGCGGCCAGAATCAAGGATTGAGAGAGGGTCCAGCAGATTGATTGGGACGCAGGGGCCTCAATCCAACACATCACTCCAGCAGCGCCTGTCCAGAGTAGCCCCCGGCGCAACAACAATGGCCTGGTGGTCGTGATGACCGGCTCAACCGGGGCGCTAGGATTCGAGCTCCTACGACAGCTGGTGGGTGAAGCACGAGTATCCCGCATCCATTGCGTCGCCGTCCGTGAACCCAGTGGTGATACCAAATTTGATGCTCGCCGGCCTCAACTTGACATGGCCAACGTGTTTTACCACCAGGGTAATCTGGCCGATCCCGATCTAGGACTCCCCAGGGAAACATTTTGTCAACTTGCCGCCGAGGTAGACCTCATCCTGCACAGCGGCGGGAACCGCTCTTTCTGGGACCGCTACCCAGCGTACCGTGGAGCCAATGTCCAATCCACCAAGACACTTGTGAGCATGGCCCTGCCCCGGAAGGCCTCCATTCGCTTTCTCTCGTCCGACGGGGTTTCAGTCATGATCGAATCGCCCGCTACCGATGGCACAAACGGATATGTCGCGTCAAAATGGGTGAGCGAAAGGGTTCTCGAAACGACGGCGAAGAAATTTGGCGTTCCCATACACATCCACCGCCCGATGCCTGCTGTCTCAGAAAACCCAGCAGCTCATGAAGAGGCCTTGGCTGAGCTTCGACGGGTCACCCATGATCATCACATCCGCATACCGACCGATCACGTCTGGGGTCATATCGACCTATTTCAGGTGGACCAATTAGCGGGAAAAGTACTTGGAGTCATGTTTAGCGAACGCACGACCATCATGGACCTCGGCGTCGAAGGGGTCCGGGTTTCCCAACACCATCATCATCCTCTGTCGTACATTCACTATCAGAGCCCATTCCGACTCACGACCGAGGATCTTCACAGTATTTGGGATGCGAAAGCTCCAGATTCGCCCAATACAAAAAACCCGAGCGGACCGGAGTGGATTGGCGCCGTTACAGCGGCCGGTTTCCCGTATATCGTGTCGTCACAAGATCTCCGCATTATTGGAAAGGACGAGGATTACGTTCGATTTGTGAGTCGGCGGTAAAGATTTCCAGGCTTTTTGTGATCAATCGACTTGTTTGATGGACTGAGAAGAGTAGAGAAGGTGAAAAGTTGAGAAGAGTCGAGAGGCGCGAACCCGACGGAGACCCGTGACGCGCCACGCGTCCGCAACTTTGCCTCAGGCAAGGACAAGCCGCTGGGCACCTTCAACCAATCGGTAGTAGGGATAGAAGGTAATGAAAGCTCGAATCATTAATTCCGTATGCTTTTATCTGTTTTGTGGACAGCCTATTCGTAAGAATTACGGATGGGTGCCACAAGTGCCCAGGGAACTTGTGAAGTACATATATATCTCGGCATCCTGCCACTTTTCCCCACCACCTTCCACCAATAAATACTGGTAGTAGTAGAGGAATAATTTTCCCGCCTTTTTAAATTCATTAAATCTTTCTATCACGTACAAAGATTTACAAAACAATTGTTCCCGGACTGTGACGCCCGGAGCAACAATAAACAATCTTTCCCATGTTTGTTGCGTTGGCCTCGAGTGAGTCGACAGGCTCAACACTCTCCGATCCACAATCGTAAGGTATGCTTGCGGAATTAGGTGCGTGCGTCTGGACCCCTGTCAATGATAGCGGGTCATCTAAAGCGTTGAAAATGACGTCTCCATCCAATCATGTCGTCGCCCAGCCATCGTCTTGGCTTCATATATGGTACGCTAGTGTTGGATGATGCGAGGAGTGGATGTTATTTACGGCAGAAACCGCTCGATGGAATCACCATGGAAATTATACTCCATTAACCCCCCGGGGTGATTCATATTAAGCATGATGACTAATTTCCTCTACCATGAGGGCGGCCGTTGTTGAAGGCGGCATTAACCCAGGCTATGAAATTCGCGATGCTGATGTCCCGACGGACCTGGCAAGTCATGCAATAGGCTTATGCCTCCGCGGTACTACGGTCTACGGCGCAATTCTGGCCTTCGCGGCAAAATCCGGGGAATGGCTGAATATGGTGGGTATCGACGGTCTGGAACACTTGGGCGTTCAGAACGCCAAAGCGCGAGGATGCAAGGTCATCGCTATTGGCAATCAAATGGAAGCCATGGACACAGCCTAAGTGGTCTCCTCGCATCTTGAACCGGGTAACCCGTCGTTGAATAACTCCGGTCCTCGTTCGACAACACCAACTCCGGTGTTGACCGAGTGGTCATCAATGCCGAAGCCCAGGAAGCCTGTTAGATTCCCCCGGAAATTTCTGCGAAAAGGCAGCACTTTGAGGGACGGGTGGATTGCCTTCAGGCACGACCTTAGAGGTTGACCCGTTTGGTTTGAGCTTCAAAGAGCAGACCGTCCGCGGGCGATTGATGAGTACCCCTGAGCAGGGCCAGGACACGATCAGCCTGCACGCAGAGAACAGATGCGAGACCCACATCGAAAAGACGTATGGGTGGAGCAGATCGATGATATGTATGATCATTACCGGCGCAGGGATCTAAAAGGGCGACTCTGCATGGCGTTTTAGAAAGGCCGACGCCCAGGCGTGGTTGTGAGGTCGCATGGTGATGTTCGCGCTCGTGTTGACCGAGGGAGCAGGGAGGGAGAGCAGGGAGGGATACGGAGAACTGGCAATGGCGCTGAGAGTGGGTTGAAGACGAGATATGTCTAGGAATGATGCGTTGTGCCTGTTGATGAATCAGTTTGTTGTATGTTTCGAAGCCAGCCGGGGGATAGGCTTGAAATGAGCTTTTGCGGAAAGAATGCACGCTGTCGTATCCAACGTTGAAGATGGAGAACCTTGGCGCAAAGAGGTCTCAGCAGTATGTTTTAATTTGCACCAATGTCTTCAGAAGCCAACCTAGCCAGATTCACAAGAGACCCGGCCACGAATGCCAGACAGGACGATTGTTGTCAGCGGCGCATTTCACAAGATATTGTGACCTGGCATGCTCGAGGCTTGCATCTCCGTGAAAATTATTCCGTGCAACAAGCGGACCTATCTTGACCTATATTGTGTCGCCATTCAGTCAGCCAACCTTCCACGTTGAATATCCCTTTCTTGTCAGACTGCAGCGACCGGGACTCGGCGTATGTGGATGAATTATATTATGTCGCTCGTTGGGCGTATTCCGAGCAATGGCCTTGGGGGTGACAAGAGATTGAGACCGATAGTACACCGTAATGCCGCAGCGATAGCAGGGGAATGGGATATGAGGAGGAAGAACGAAGGGGATGTTCGAAGGGGATGTTGGTCATGTTTGTCACATTTGTGGGGTTTGTTGGGTTTGTTGGGTTTGTGGGGTTTGCTATGTTTATCTGGTTTATTTACGGAGATGCCAGATTGGGATTAGTGCCATTCTATTTGTGGACGGACTGTGGCTGCCTTACGGATCAGGCCAGCAGGCGAGGTTGCACCGCCCGGAGAGGGAGGAACTCAATACCATCTCACAGGCCTGGCATAGCCTCGACAATTGTTGGCCATACAGGCAACAAGCCATCCATGGAGTAAAGCACCCTAGCGGAGCTACACCCCAATTATCATTTGGCACTTGAAGTCTCGTAAGAATGTCCTGAGGATCGTGTGCGTGATAGGTCTGGCCTACGTTGCACTAGAAACACCGCTGACTGCTAATCCAAGAAGTCGCAAGGTTGACACTATATATGGTTGCACGGATGTCTGTCTGCTATAACCGTACAACCAAAGGGGGGCTGAAGAATACGACGTAGGCGTATCTCGGGGCATTTTCGGATTCTGACAGGGTCTTTGAACCAATCAAACATTTATAGTTGCATTCTCTTCCTCTGGTGGGAAGTGAAGGCTTTCTCAGAGACTATTGAAAACAAAGTCATATGCACAAGTCATGGAACGAGAGGAGTACGCGCATCCGTGTGATCTAGAAGAGCAGATGGCATGGGTTTGATTTCTAATTCCGTGGTTATACCAAGAGGAGACAATAAGGACTTGTCCACCATGAACACCTAAACCGGCTCGAAAGGTTTCCCAGCATGATATACGGTGGCAGCTTGCTCGCATACCTTTATTTGGAGGCCATTTTAGACGGCACACAACCGAAGGAATCTGGTTGCACGACTTCTAGGTGGAGACCCTTAGCTCGGGGCAAGGAAGACATAAATACTGGCATTAAGGGCGGCGGGGAGGGCGGGTGTGAAGTGGAATCTATTGTGGATGACACAAACTCAGTGTGGTGCTTGAGCCCAAAAGTATGGAGCCATATGATACCTTTGCCAAGTACACATCAAATGAATTTGTATAAGCCTATGCTTCTTACTGTTATCCTATTACCTTTGCCAAGGCAATCTCCTCGCTTTGAGCAGAGCTTGAACCAGACAATATTCGAGATTGGTCGGGCTGCTCAAAGACCGGGGACGATCCCAACAGGAAGTCCTCCTTTTTGGGGTACACCAATCCATAACCAGATGGACAACAAAGGTTTGAGTGGATGGAACAAAAGGCGCATTCTAATTCTGGAAGGCCTCAATATGATCATGAGGTTTAAGAAAACCAAAAATGAGGATAGCAGAAGGTTCATACCAGGATTATTTTGTGGTTAGGATCGCCTTGAGGTAGAATGGGGCCACCTGATCATCTGGTTCAACTCACTGTGAGGCCCTACCTGAAGACCATGATCATGAATTGACCTAATGTGTTGCTGACTGATCCGAGACCATGATTCACTAGTTGTGTGTGAATGCGAGAGTATAGATCCTACCGATATCAGCAGATTAGGAAATCACGACGACGACAGACTACATGTCTCTCCTACCTGTCAATAGGAACACGAGAAGGTACCCTGATCGCGTAACTGCTAACCAAAATAACTTGATACGCCAGGCGATGACTGGGTTTTCGCCCCCCCTACCCATGCCTATATCCACCAGATAATATCTGATCTTACAGCCGACAGTTATCCGCGAATCGTTTGTATCCATTCAACTCGAGTCCGTTCCGAATCGGACGGAAAAGAAAGCCTCCCACAGGTCGTTTTGAGGCGGCTGGTAATTGATCGGATCAGCGAAGCGATTGGTATGTGAATACACGGCGATGCTGAGGCAATGCGGGCTAGACTGCCAGCCACGCATCCCAGACCGCAATTTTGTCAGGCATGAAAGCTGTTTCCAAATCCGTCCCAAAGAAGAGCTGTCAACACGGCTTACTGAGACATGTATAGCAGGGCTGATGCAACCCTATACCATAACCGGAGGGATCTACACAGAGGCCCCGTGATAGGAGGAGACGCCGAGGGAGCGTAACGCCGATTGGAGCTGGTAAAGGTATCAGAATGGTGAATGGTGAGGATACTTCTTGAATACGATGTTGGCTTTGGGTTTCCAGGCGTGGAACCAGCCCAACACGAGAATCCGATGCTGAGCTGCGCCCCACGGCGTCCACATGTCAGATTCCATGGTTTTCATACAGCACTCTACTCTCGTCGTATTGAGCAACAGCAGAGCGCAGAAATGAGAGATATTCCGATCTGACTGATGATGGGATGCCCGATTCCTCGGTCAGTATCTGGTCCGCGTCTCCGGGTCGGCGAAGACATCTGCCTCCATCGACTGACGGTGAATACGAAGAGTGACTTTCAGGAAGCTAACAAGCGACAGAACAAGTTCATCGGCGAATATCGATCTCGACAGGTCCTAAACCTATGATGCAATCGATTCGCCGTCCCCGCGATATTGTCAGAGCATGACTGCAGGTGCATTGCCAAGGAACCTTCGAATATTGGGAAGCCTATGCGGACACGAACTGCACACATCGGGATCCCTGGTTCACAGCTGCATGTCTCAGAGGGAAAGGTGAGTCTCTTCATTGTGAACAAGGCTTTCCAATGTTTGACCTGGCAACCCGGGCTAGAAGGCGGGGCTGAGTATAGATGCCTCCGGCACTATGAGATTGAGAGCTCCAAGAATAGCCACAGCAGGGAAACCGCAGGAGGCCTAAACAGGGAGATGTTCACCCCGAGGAGGACAGAAAAAGATATAAATACCGTCCATGCGCTCCTCGTTGGGATATCCTATCCATCAGCTTCATCACAGCAATCCCCAGCATACAAGCCATCCAGACTTTTGAATCTCAATCAGGTTCCTCCACAGCATTTTCCTGAGCATCCTCTAGAAACTCAAGCTTTCGTTTTTAATACTCAAGATGAAGTCTTTCACTGCCATCGTCTTCTCCCTCCTTGCGGCGTCCGTTTTTGCTGCTCCCGTCGAAGAGCGCGCCCTCCAGGTGACCGTCTCTCTGGCCAACGATCAGTCTGGAGCCAACGCCGGCGTCCAATTTCCTGCCGACGGCAACAACAGAAGCATTCGCACGCTCTACGGCAACACCCCTGTGGGCGCCGGGGGCACCGTCCTCGCCTCGTCGGCGCAACTCACGGCCTTCCCTCAGACCATCAACTGCGTCATCAGGAACAATGGGGCCGTCATTGCCACCCTGACCGCGCAGAGAACCTTTGCCGACCTCGACGGCAATCCGAATGCGGCGATTCCCGTGAATCTGAACGGTGGTGTCATCAACTGCAGGGCGTGATGGGACTTGACCCGCTCTGCCACACGATCAGGATAGGACGTGGAATGTTTGGATGTTGTCGAATGGGGACAGTGATCAAGGATGAATTGCTAGTACATGCGAGCTGTTGATAATTGCAAGTCATAGTTAGATTACGTGGTGTGCTTAGTTTTTGGGTTTCACCAATCGAGTCCTCATTTTCTTGGAGCGTTGCCCTTGAGATGTAGACGGTAGAGTAAAGTATCTTTGCCTTGGGTATGCACGAAGACATTCATGATCCGAGCAGCGAATCTACGCAGTAGGAGGCTTATTTCCTTTCTCCGGTTCAGGCTCCCGAGACATGGGCGGACGGTATCGGGAAGCTTCTCCGGATCCTCAACATGACGTGAACTGGATGCTAAAGATATCGCGCACAGCACAGACAGGCCGGAGAGTAAGAACAAAGAAATGGCATTTGCCGCAACTGGATCGCGGCCGGGGAGTTTAGTCGCCATGTGGATCACTTCCACGAGACTATCATGCAAGTGGCTACCCGGAGACTTGTGTCGTGACGTCAATGGGTTGGAGTGCCCACGGGTGAATAATGAATCATGACTCTTGCGGCTCCTGTGGGAAAGATGATCGATTGCAGCGCTATCCGGACCAAGTATTGAACCGTGGGTTGGGGGCCTATGAAGCTATACGAGACACGGGGCTGCACCGCCACCGATGCGTAGGTGGCAAATTACCTTGAATGATGGAACGGTGGAACGGAGTAAGTAGCCGTTGAATTATAGACAAAGGAAAGACAGAGAGAGTGTGTAATTACCATTCTGACGATGATCCTCACTATGGTCTATTCCCGTTAAACTAATATCTGTCACGACGTGCGCTAACCCTCCTTTCACCCTGAAGAAGTATTATTAGATAAACCCTGAGGAGAGATAATGAAACCACAGCATGCCGACTGTCGCTCGATCCCCTGCAACCGATCATTAGACATGTCCGGGCTCCTGCCTGGTTTCTTCACCGGTCGTCATCTCCGGTTGGTCTTTCGTGGGCTCCGGGGTGGGCTGAGCCATCTTGCCGAACAGGGCCTCCATGAAAGCATCGGACTCGGCGGCGTAGTGGCAGCGCGTGCGGATGGCGGCACCGTAGCGATAGAAAAGGAAGGGCATAGGTACGCAAACGACGGCCAGGAAGGCGGGAATAGACGAGGCCCAGTGGATGCCGAGATCGCGATACATGTAGGTGGTGAACAGAGGAAAGACGGCGCCGAAGATGGAGCGCAGGGCCGCGTTGGCAGCCAGCACGGAGGCGGCGTAGATGGTGTAGGCGTCGATGAGGTAGTTCAGCACGGGCAAAAAGACCATGACCATGCCGTAGCCGAAGGGGACGCCGGCGGCAATGGAGGCCATATAGTGCACCGATGGCGAGTTCGTCCACGCAAACCAGAACAGACCGGCGGGCAGAGCGAGAGCGGCGATGAAGGAGTCGGGAAGTCGCGCCTCCGGGGGCACGCGGCCTTGAATCGCCAGGACCTTCTTCTTATACCGGAAGTACATGGGGAAGGTGGCCACGACGGCGAACAGAATGCCCACCAGGATACCCACGAAGGGAAGACTGCCGATCCCTTCGCTCCAGCCACGACCCTGCTGATAGACGATGGGATAGGCGGCAAATAGCAGGTACAGACTGCAGGCCATTGAGTTCGTTAGCAATTGCACGGCAGATGGAAGGGGAACCCTGGTCAGCAAGGAGGTTCGGTGACTGACATTCCGTAGATAATGGACAGGTAGATGGACAGGAGCAGCACGATGGGCTCGCGAATCAGCAACACCCAGGGTCGCGACAGGGCAGTCTTCAGCACGGCGCCGGCCGATTTCTTGCCCTGGTCGACGTCGACCTTGCTGCGATAGACCTTGCCCGTGATGGACGACAGGCGCGCGGCGCGCTTGCGCAGCAGGACAGGGGCGTAGGTTTCGGGCAGCGTAAGGATGATGATGATCCAGAGCAACCCCGAGAAGGCGGCCAGCAGGCCCTCGACCCAGCGCCATCCGGCCGACTCGGACAGAAAGCCGCCGATAATGGGCCCCAGGGTTGGCCCGAGAAAAGGCGCGGCGCAGTACAAACCGCTGGCCAGTCCGCGACTGATGGCCGGAAAACAGTCGGCAATCACGCCGCCAGCGACGGCGAATGGCGCCGAACCCAGACAGCCGGCGAAGAAGCGCAGGATAATGAGTGTCCAGATATTCTGCGAGCCCGCCGACGCGGCCGTGAACGTGGTCAGGCCAAAGGAGCTGGCGATGAAGATGAATCGACGACCGTAGATCTCACTGAGAGGCGCCCAGACCAAGGGACCAACCGCAAACCCGACGACAAACAGCGAGATGCCCAGGATGGCCACCTCCTCGCTGATGCGAAAGTCGGTCACCACCTCGACGATGCCGCCAGTGTAGGCGGACGAGACGAGGGCGACGGCCATGGTAGCGATGCCCACCAGGAAGGTGATCAGCCACCTGGCCACGGCCGAGTACTTCATGGGATCGCGCGGATCATTCTCCAGCCAATTGACCACGAAGGGATCCTTGTCGGTGCCGGCGCCCTCGTAGGCATGATCGATCACCGGCTGCGTGACGGCACCCTGATCGAAGATCAGTCGCCAAAGAGGCGTCTTGGTCGACTGCGGTGCTTCGCCCGTCATCTTGTCCGGTCGATGGTCTGCAGAGGAGACAACAGACTATCGAGCTCGTGGATGGCGACAATCGACCGGCATAAGAATGTTCGATGCAGCCCGACGATCCATGGCTGCGTTGGGAGAAAATTTTCAGCGCGGTTCGGTCGATCCCCGAGAACGATTAGTCGATTGCTGCGTCTAATACTCTGTATGCTGACCATGAATCACGCTGAGGTTGATGCTCAGTGCGCACTACCGGGCCACGGACTGCGGCCGAGATCGAACGAACAAAACACCATGTCGCCGGGCCAGCATTACGCTCACAATCATTGGTAGAGGTACGGCGGACCCAGGGCACGCACGGCAGCAACCCTATGCAAGCCGTGGATGTGATCTGTCGGTGGAGCAGCCGATCTGGCCCTAAGAGGGTCGAAAAAACCTGAGATAAGACACGACCCACTCGAACCAAGCCTGCCAGTTCCACCCGACCGCATCCTGCCAGATGCTGGCTCCTCAGGGTCGCCAATGAGCTCCGGCGGCCAGAGGACGACCGACTCAGACCGTCTCAACCCAATCTGAGAGACGGAAAAGGCCTCCGTCGCGAGTGACATCACGGCCAGCCCGGCCCTTCAGATGCACCGCCAATGTCGATCAGGGATCCATGGTCGCCGGGAAGCTGTATGCAGTAAGATCGCCAATGACGCCAGATATTTCCACTTCCCAAATGAGAAGGTGGGAAATGACCTGGTTCTCTCGCTGCGCAGTCCCGGTGACGTGGCGTGGGTGACTCCTATTCCCTGCAGACACACTATTGAAAGGACGACAGTACGAGAGTATACGTCGCAGGACACAACGCTGAAAAGCAACAAGACCAAGCACGGCAAGGCCAATTTACCTCACCAGAGAAGGAATTCCTTTGCCTTCGAGCAACCCTGCCCCAAAGGGTCATGAGCTTCACGCTGGCTGCCGCCGTGACGGCGTCTCTGCTTCTATATGTGTGTTCTTAGGCTCGGTATCCGTTCGATATCACATCACTTGTGCTGGGATACTAACCGGGATTGGCTGCAGGTCGGTGCCTTGATTGTTTATCGACTGTTCCTCCACCCCTTCGCGAAATACCCCGGACCCCGGCTGGCGGCCATCTCGAACTGGTATACCACGTTTTACGCCTGGCGCGGGGACCTGCATCTCCAGGTCCGCCACTGGCATGAGCAGTACGGTAAGAGCTGATCGACGACGATCACGATGCGCCTGCCCGGCCTCAGTTCAAGGCTCACGACGCGCAGGCGATGTCATGCGATTCGGACCCAGCTCGCTGAGCTTCAATACTCACACCGGGATGGGCGTCATCTACGGCGCGCGCGCCAACGTGCACAAGGCCGAGGGCTACGCCTCGATGAGTGCCAGCCGACGTACGCCCAACACCATCACCGCGGTCGACAAGACCGTGCACGGGTTCAAACGGCGGATCATGGGCCAGGTCTTCTCCGATCCGGGCTTGCGATCCGTCCAGGAGCGCTTCCTGATGAATATCCGCGACTTTACGGCCCTGCTGTGCCACGACGACCGGCCGTGGAGCACCGGGAGCGGTGAGTCTGAAGATGGTTGGGGGCCGACGAAGGATATGGGTCGAATCTGCGGCTGGTTGGCATTCGACATCATCAGTGGTCTCTGCTACGACGAGGACTTCCACATGTTGCACTCGCCCGAGTTGCGATGGTTCCCGTCCGTCATCCAGAAGATCGGACAGCGGACGATGATGGCATGACCTCCTTGCCTCCTATTCGACAGACGAACTGACCATATGGACAGTGTATCGTGCAACCCAAGGTGTTTGACTGGAAGATCGACCGCGTGCTGCTGGCGACGCAGTACCGGGAGATGCTCGAGGCCGGCAGTTGGATCCGCCAGCGCGCAGAGACCCGGGCACGCCTGGGCAACGACATCAAGCAGAAAGACCTGTTCTACACGATGATGAACGCGACGGATCCCAAGACCGGCCAGACCTTTACACAGAAGGATTTGTGGCTGGAGTCGATGCTGCTGCTGACTGCTGGTATGCCCTGCCATGCATCGACTTGCCATTCCTGCATCCAACGCTGACACAAAAGCTCACAGGATCGGACACCACGTCCACGGCCATGAGTGCTGTATTCTTCTACCTGGCCCATCATCCGGATGTGCGTGCTCGACTGACGCAGGAAATCCGGACGGCATTCTCCAACGAGGAGGAGATCTGCATGGGGCCGCAACTGAACGGCTGCGAGTTCCTACGTGCCTGCGTCAACGAGACCATGCGACTGATCCCCTCGGTCTCGGGGGTGCCGCCTCGCAAGGTCCAGACGGGCGGCATCACCGTCGATGGCGAGTATATCCCGGCCGGAATGACCGTGGGTACCTCCATCTACACCATTCAGCGCAATCCGCGTTATTTCTGGGCGGCCGACGAGTTTCACCCACAGCGCTGGATTGCAGACGTGAGGGCCGGTACCGACGAGGAAAGCGTCAAGACGGTCTGGCAAGCCTTCTGTCCGTTCGGCATCGGTCCGCGCTCCTGCGTTGGCTGGCGTCTAGCCTGGATCGAACTCAATGTCTCCGTGGCACGCGCCATCTTTCTCTACGACATGCGCCTGGCTCCGGAAGCTCCATGCTGTGGCGGGCAATCCACACGATGTGATTACGGCTTCAAAGGCTGGATGACCTCCGCCGTCGAGGGACCGTTGGTCCAGTTCCGGCCGCGGCAGTCTTGACTGGATCATGGGTTTGAGCCAAGTCTAGAAACTTTCAGCGGCCTGTGGAAGTCCTTTCCTCTCTTTGTACTCCCCGGCTTTCCAATGAGAAGGGGAATCTAACATGCATTGGTCCGAGGTGGCCGCCATACTTTGGGCCCCTTAGTAGTAGATAGCGAGTGACATTTAGCGAAATCATCAAAGATTTCTTTGAAGCGCTGTGTACAGGTAACCTAATTGTAGGTCTATTCTATCTGACGGGCACCCATGGCTCACATGGAAGCTCCTGCAGATGCTGCGCCAAAACGGATCGCTTGCAGTTCAAGGCCTCCACGGCCTTGCCCTTCTCCCCCGGCAAGTTATCGATGTGGACCCAGATGTCGTCGAACGCGTTCATTTCCAGCTTCAGGTTCCCGACCACAAGTTGCAAGGCTAGGTCTATCTGTAGGGTCTGGCTGGCGATGCCGTGGAACACGCCCAGGTGGATGCCACATACTTCGACCTCCACCATCGTTTCAAACGTGAGAATGTCGACCCAGCCACTCACCTGGTCATGGTTAGCTTGATATGCTTGCATACGAGCAGCTGTCAATGGTCAGAGAGAGGGTTACAGTAAATGCATCGATCGTGACTTGGATAGGGCGGCGTGTTTTGTCGCCTGCTAGGGATATTTTCGAGACGATTCCGTTTCCCTGAAGCTCTTGTACACTATACCTGCCGGGCTGCTCATTGTGCGTGGCGAGAAGAAGGCCTGTTGGCGGTATTTAGCTCCTGATCGGGGTCTAATCACTCTGCCATCGCCCCCATGCCGCTATGATGCATGTTGGTGAATAATGCCAGGGTATTTGGCTGCAACGAAGGGAGACGGGTCGAACTCCGCTGGGACAGGTTTTCCTTTTTATATTCGACAAAGACTCAGGACTCAAGACGTGTCATTGCATGAGAAGTCGGTGAAACAGGCGAGGGTGGTGCCAGCGCCGTCCTCAGCTCCCCTTGATTTCCAGTGACGCGGTGCGATGCAAGGGGGTTAAGATCTAGGAGGTGCCATTCTCAACCAATGAGACAGCTCGGGGAAATGCTACCATACCAGTAAGGACCATCTAAACACTCACTGGCCGTTTATCGAGTTTCTGCTGGCTTTCTGCACGCGATCGTGGAGATCGAACGAAGGGCCTGAGACTTCGGGCAACTTGGGTCCGTTCAATCGCAGAGAAAGTGAGCATCCGCATTCTGCACTACAGGGTTCTATAGCTAAAGATCCCGGTTTTCGCACACATGGCCTCGTTAGAGTCGAGATAGTCGCTCTGCCTTGTGCTGCTGCGAGGCGAGCGTGCCTGGTTCCATCCGTCGTGAGAGAAGACTTCTGGCCTGCGTTGCGATATGGCCATGTATATCGTATCTGCAGGGAGAATTAGCGCTGGGATTATGCTTGACCAGGCCGAGAGCGCAATAGATCACATACTCATTGACTTCCTCGATAGTCAACTTCTGTCCTTTATGGGCTACTTTGTACAGGCTGCTATCTTTCTGGCTGGAGAAGCCGATGCGCTCCGAGAGGTTCTCACGAGCTCGGGCACTGGCTTCCTGTACACGGCTGGCGCGCGGTTTGCGAACCTGCTCGTACAGGCGCAGACCGGCGGCCACGTCTGCGGTGAATGTGTAACGCGGGCCAAAGATGATGCCCAGCGCGGCGGCATCTTCGATGGCCTGACAGGCCCCCTGGCTCTGATCGGGGAGCATCGGATGAGCCGCATCACCCAGAAGACCGGTGCGACCACGATGCCAGCGGGGGTATGGGCTGTGGACGTAAAGGCGCCAGGGCTTTATGTCGCCGGCATGGCTCAACACAGCGCGCAGGGCGGGATCCAACTTGGGGAAGGGCGCCAGAAGCTGCTCTCGCGACCCGGAAAAATCCCAGCCCTCCTCGGCCGTCTCTCCCCTGGGGTTCGCAAAGAACGTGTAGAAGGAGTGTATCTCACCCCCGCGACAAGCCGAAAAGATGATCTTGCTCGGGCCGTGGCCGCCCCAATACTCCAGGGCGTTATGAACCGACATGTCCGGGAGGCCGAGGCGACGCACTTTGGCCGTCGGAATGATGCAATGATACGAAGTCGATGTGGCTGCTTTCCGTTCGGGATGGATCCCCAGGGACTGACGCACGGCGGACTGCATGATGAAAGATAGACCTTTTCGTCAGGGCTGCTCACGCATATTCAGAGAAAGAAAATCTCACGCCGACACCATCAGCGCAAATCACCAAGTCATGGCGCGCCCTGGTTACACTTCGGAACGTCACGACCCCCGTACGATGGTCGACGGTTTCACAGGCATGATTTAGCTTCAGGACCGCTGGTTTTCCTTGTCCGGGACCGGTGGCGGATTGCATCAGCATGGCGTGCATGTCCACTCGGTAGAAGTTGTAGTAGGGCTGGCTCGTCAGCCTGGTCCTCGTTGGCCAGAATGGAGACTCGCGTATTTCCATCGTACGGCATAGTCTGCCAAGTCATAGACATCCTGGACCTCCCCAGTTTCGAGGTCGTGTCGAATCAATTTCTCAATCACAATCGGCCGACCCACGCTGATATCGACATTCCAGTCTTCCAGCCACCGGGTGCCATTGGCGCCACAGCTAATAGAGGCGCCCACCTCACCCGCATAGTCTGCTCGTTCGTATATCGTGACGGCGTGGCCTGCCCGTCGTAGCGACGTCGCAGCAGCCAACCCTCCTAGAACAGGCGATTAATGCCCTTGCACAGCGCTTGTGGTGGAAGGCCTTACCGATTCCACCTCCAATGACGGCAACGTCGAGCGGCCGCCATCCAAAATGCTGGGACTCCATTGTTCAGAAGATGAAAGAGGATAAAGTTTTTAGAGCGTCTGTGGAAAGATTATGTTGGACGAGTCCAAATTGACTTTATAGAAGGCCGGATTGATACTGCCAGCTAGGATATGCTTGCAAAGGGGCTGTTGGCACGGAAAAATGACCGCAACATTGGATCCAGTCGGTGACGAATAACCCACACCCAAGCCTTCGGATCTTCCTGCATTTCACACGGTGTTGCTCTTGCAGATCCTTGCATTTATAGTTTCCGGTAAGGGATAGGGAACACAAGGGCGAGTATATCACCACTATCTTGACTGGCTTCTCTGCTAAGAAGGACGCAAGGGATACGGCCACAGAGGCCTGAATGAAAAGCCGAGACACGGTGCTTAATTTCCTAGGAGAAGCGGTATAGACTAGGCGATGCGAACCGTCACCTGCCACCTGTACGGGACGGAGAGAAAGAAAAAAGAAAGGGCAGCTTCGAGATGCTGGATGGTGCATGACGGAAGATGGATCCAATTCTATGCTGCAGAGCTGTAGCTGAAATTAGACAGGCACGCTAGGAAATCAGCTGTTGGCGACGTCAGCCATGGAGAGTGTCTGGCCGAGGTCCAAGAAAAACATCGATTTCGAGACCGCCACCAAGAAGGCATGGCACAAGGATCCTTGCAATCGTCCAATTGGTTGACTGCAGGTAGACGATGGGGACGAAGATGACGTCCTGGCCACTGATAGCCGTCAACATTTCACCGCATTCACCGAAACCAACCCGCGCCTTAAGATATCGTTGTTTGCCAGCCATTTCAGAGAGTAATCAATTTACTGAATCTACGTGCCTGAAATTGCCTGAAGTACCAGGCGGATCGGAATATACATAAAAGACCGAGATGAGTGAAAGCAAACACGAATTGAACGAAGGCATATTCCCGTTTTTGAACGACCGAGACGAGGGGGACGGGACTATTCTGGTCCATGAGATCGAATCCTCGTCGGCGTTGCTAAACAAGACGCTCGGTTTCTGCGAGTTACGAGACATTTCTGTGACGCGATTAGTCCAGGCTGGCTGGGCCATCGTCGTAGGGCAATATGCCGAAACGGACTGTGTTGTAATGGGCGCCGCGGAGGTGACGGAGCAGCGGCTGTCCCAAGGCCAGCTTGATCTTCAGCGATGGTCATTGACCCCAAAGATCCGGGTCGAAGACTTTCTGACATCGTAGGAAGGCCAGACCGGTGTCGACAAGAGCCATGGGACTGCGCATAACACGGTGGTGCTCACGGCTTGGGACCAAGACACGGAGGAGACGCAGTGGCTCAATCCTGTGATAAACACAGGAGAGGTATGTCATGGAGACTATGTTTGTAGCCAGCTGGGGAACTGACAAAGAGATAGGGTCACGGTGCCCACGACGTACTCGTTCTCATGAATCTGAACAGCTCGGCACAGTCGATGCGGCTACGACTGGTTTGTACGCGCCAGACAATGTCAGACCGACAGGCGAGCAACGTCGCCACCACATTGTGCCAAGCGGTACAAGAGCTGGCGAAGAGCCCAGAGCGACAGATCGGTGACCTGAGCCTGTTCAGCTCGCAGAACCTGACCGATGCGCAGAAGTGGAATAAAAAACCATGGAACGGGACTGGGACTGACAGGCTGATCCTGGATGTGGTCCGAGAGCACGCCAGGCAACGACCAGAAGCCACGGCAATTGACGCCTGGGATGGACAGCTCACCTATGCAGGGTTGAATTGGATGATCGCAGGGCTTGGCCACCGTCTGCGTGCCGCCGGTGTTGGGCCGGGTGTAATGGTCCCCGTGTGCTTCCCACGTTCCCTGTGGGCCATAGTGGCCGAAGGGGCCGTGATGCAGGCCGGAGGCGCTTTTGTCCCCGTTGACCCTTCGCATCCGGCTGAGCGAATGCGCCAAGTTGTGAACCAAACACAGGCTCGCTTGGGGGTGACTGCGCCGCCCTTTGCAGAGACGATGGCCGCGCTGGTGGAGGAAGTAGTCGTGGTCTCCCCAAGCCTGATAGACCATGCGGTGGGCGACCACAACGTGCGGAACCTGCCACTCTTGTGCGATATTGACCGCGACAGTCCGGCGTACGTGCTGTTTACCTCAGGAAGCACGGGGCAGCCCAAGGGATGCGTCGTATCCCACCGGGCGTTGGCCAATGTGGAGGCGCAAGCCGATGCCTTGCACCTCGGACCGGGCAGCCGGGCGTTGCAATTTGCGTCATACAGCTTTGGCGTATCCCTAATTGAGATATACTGTGTTCTGGTGGCGGGCGCCACCATCTGCATTCCATCAGACGCGGACTGCCTGAATCGACTGACGGAAATCATGCAGGCGATGCGCATCAGCTGGGCATATTTGACGACAGCCACGGCCGGATCGCTGAACCCCGGGAGAGGGCTAGCGGACTTGCAAACACTGATCCTGACAGGAGAGCCGCTGGGGACGCGACAGATCCGGCAGTGGGCCCCGTGCGTGCAGCTATGTCAGGGATTTGGATGCACTGAATGGGCCGGCGTCTGCTGCGTGTCCCGGCCGATTCAAGAGCCGGTCGACAGAAGAACGATTGGAACGTCACCTACGGCCAATCTGTGGCTGGTCGATCCCGCCAACCCCAACCGTCTGGCCCCAGTGGGCAGCGTGGGCGAGCTGGTGATTGAAGGGCCGGCCTTGGCCCTAGGCTATCTCAACAATCCTCCTAGAACCGCCGCAGCATTTCTGCAACAGCCGGACTGGTGGGAGGCGTTGCGTCCAGGTGTACCGTGTCGAGTATACCGAACCGGCGATCTCGTGCAATATGAGTCCGACGGCAGCCTTCGCTACATCACGCGTCGAGATACACAAGTCAAAGTGCGAGGCATGCGCGTGGAGCTGGGCGAGATTGAATACCAGATTCGGCGCACGGCATCTTTGGACCGCGTGATTGTAGAGGCCGCCACTCCGGCGGATGGGCATGACGGGCCAGCGCTGGTTGCATTTCTGCAATCCGGGGCCATCTCAGACCTGGGTCATGGTGGCCTCAAGACGACAGACGTACCGCTCCTGGGGAATCAGGACCCCAAGCGATTCGCCGCCACAGGAAATCGTGCATCCCCGAAGCATGACGGAGAAGGCCCTCCACCGGCTGTTCGCGACCGTCCTGCAAGTGGACGGAGCAGCATTTGGCATTGTGGACAGCTTTTTGCGCCTCGGGGGTGACTCGCTCCTGGCCATGAAGATGGTAAATCGTGCAGAGGAGCAACATCTGCACCAGCTGACCCTTTCCGATATCCTCGCGCACCAGACGATTGAGAAGATCGCCGAGGCCATAGGACGGGTTCAAGAGACACCAGTGAAGCAGGCTAACCCTGCCTGGGAGACCCGGCAAGCGTCGTCGGATGTGACCGTCGGCGATGGCGATTTGGCAGCACTGGTGCGCGACACCGCCGACGTCAAGCACGCGTTCTCCTGCTCACCGGTTCAAGAAGGGATACTGGTCAGCCAGATTCGGCGCCCGGAACTTTATCAGATGAAATTAGTGTGGGAGATTGTCGCTACCACCGGTGGGCCGCTGGATCCCAGTTGTCTAGAAGACTCCTGGCGACGAGTATGTGCTAGGCATTCTATCCTCCGCAGTCGATTCTACACGAATGCTACTTCCCAGCACTTCGCCGTTCAGGTGGTGTTCGAAGAGGCCTTCCCTGATGTCACCCGGACGCATGGCGTGATTCAGGACCCAACGCATCTGATGGAGCAAGCCCAGGATTCTTGTAGGCCACGACTTACTCTGCACATCCGGTCGTCGACCTGTGTTTGGGCGATGCTGCAAACTTCACATGCGATGGTAGATGCCGTGTCCACTTCGATTATTATGCATGACTTAGCAGGATTCTACGAGGACGACATGAGCCCGGACCTAGGGGTCCTATGTGAATACCGAGAGTACGTGTCCTACCTCGCGCACCTCAATAATGACGAGCATCTGCAGTTTTGGGCCTCTCATTTGGCTGGCCTTGAGCCATGCCTTTTCCCCAAACTGGAAGGACTGGACCAACCGAGCCGATTGCACTCGGTCTCTCTAAAACTGGACGCGATGTGCCGCTATCAGGGATTGACCAGGCCGTCGGGCCCTTCATTAATATGGTGTGCCGGATAGATTTCGCACGCAGTTCGTCGCTTCAGGACACCGTGCAAAGGGTGCAGGCCAATCTGATTGAGACCTGGAGGCATCAGCGGGTGCCTTTGTCGCAGATCCAACACAGACTCGGCCTCAAAGGTGAACGCCTATTCAACACCAGCATGACATTTCCTCCCGGCCAATCAACGGAGAGCTCCAACCAAACGTCCATCACGGTGAAGGAGCTGGATCGCAGGGATCCCACGGAGGTAAGTGTCGTATCACCGCTGCCACAAGCCATGGTGGATCGTCGTAGCTAATGGAAGGGGTTCTGTCTAGTATGACATCATGGTGGAGATGGAATGGGACAGCAACGACAGGCATGGGGCTATCAAGTACTGGTCGTCTCTGCTGTCATCCGAACAGGCGACTGCATTGGCCGACGCCATTTGCCTGGCCTTCTCCCACATCGTGAGCCAGCCGGGGTCTTCGCCGCCCCAAGTGGACCTTTTCGGCCCCTCCGACACCCGGCTTGTGAGGCAATGGAACCAACACGAGCCCGAGGACTGTGAGACGTGCGTGTACGAGCGCATTCTGACTGTCTGCCGAAGTAATCCAAATGCGATTGCAGTGGACTCCTGGGACGGTCGATGGACATACAGCGAGTTAGATGCAGCTGCCTCGGTGCTAGCCCGGCACCTACAGACCCGCGGGATTGGACCGGAAATCTTTGTCGCTATTTGCATGGTCAAGAGTCGGTGGACACCGGTTGCAATCCTGGCCACAATAAAGGCTGGGGGCGCCTTCGCGCTGATGGACCCCGGGCATCCAGTGGATCGATTGCGCGGTATGTGCGACCAGTTACACGCGGCCTTGATACTCACAAGACCCGAACAGGCGGTTGTTGGGGAGCAATTGGGCCGTGAAGTTGTGGTGATAGGAGGCGACATCCCCCATAATCAAGATAGGGAGACCAGAGTTGAAAGCACCGTGACCAGCCAGAATGCCTTATACGCCGTCTTCACCTCCGGGTCGACGGGGCGCCCTAAAGGAGTGGTTGTTGAACACCACTCTTTCTATGCGTCAATGATAGCTACCATCAAAAGCTCTAATTTGACGTCGTCGGACCGCATGTTCCAATTTGCCTCCTACTCTTTCGACAACAGCGTGTTTGACCACCTGGTGTCATTGTTGGCGGGCGCTTGTCTGTGCATTCCAAGGACCGAGGATTGCCACAACACGCTTGCAGCCACTATGGCCGCCTTTCGTGCGACGTGGGTGATTATCACTCCGTCTGTAGCTCGTCTCATTCATCCTGCGGAGGTGCCCAGTCTGCAAACGGTATGCTTGACCGGAGAGTCTGTGTCGGCATCCGACCTTCAAACCTGGGCACCCAACGTACAACTATTCAACCTATACGGCCCGGCTGAGTGCTCGATCATCGCCACTGCCCATCATTACCCGGACGAGGCAGCAGATCCGCGCATCATTGGCAAGGCGCTCCAGTCAGTGGCCACCTGGGTTGTCGAGCCGCAGAACCCGGGTCGCCTCGTTCCGGTCGGTGCAGTTGGCGAGCTGGTCGTGGAGGGCCCTGGGGTTAGTCGAGGATACCTCCATCATCGTGTCGGCGAATCCATGTTACCCTTCCTGTCGGATCCGCAATGGTTGTCCGGATTCCGGGTTGGAACTGGCCGTCGAGCGTACCTCACGGGAGATCTGGTAGAGTACACAGTCACCGGGCAACTGCGGTACCTGGGACGCAAGGATACGCAAGTCAAGATCTCCGGCCAGCGTGTGGAGCTGGGCGAGATCGAATCCATCATTCGTGCCTTCGGGGATGGCGCCTGTGAGGCCGTGGTGGACTTTGTGCCTCGACCCGGCCGCAAACCCATCCTGCTGGCTTGTTTGCGCTCTGACGATGCCGCCGAAGGATTGGACCTGGGTGACGGCAGTCTGATTGGTGTCCCAGATGACGCGTTCAGGGAGCATGTGGCACGGCTGGATCATCATTTGCACTCGGTGCTCCCTGCTTTCATGGTGCCGGCTATCTTCTTACCCCTGCGCCATGTTCCCCGATCACCGACGGGCAAGATGGATCGAAAGTCTATACGGCAGGCTCTAGCTGCGCTGACTCTAGACAAATGGGAAACCTCGCATGTAGAGCGCCCGCCCGCAGCTACTCCATGCGAGCAAGGACTGCGAGCTCTGTTTTCGCAGCTCCTGCACATTCCCCAAGGTCAGATCTGGGCTGACAGTCACTTCTTCCGACTGGGCGGTGATTCTCTGCTGGCTATGGCGCTGGTAAAGTCGGCACGTAGCGCCGGATGGCAGGTCACTATGGAGCAAATCTTCCAATCGCCAGTTCTGTCAGAACTCGCCTCGGTAGTACGCCCAGTGGGAGACTCGATCAATATTGATCCTGTGCCGGCCTTCTCACTTATACCCGATGACGCGGTGAAGACCATTCGAGTGGAGGCTGCGCGAGTGTGCCGGCTTGATGCGACACATATCGAAGACATTTACCCATGCACACCTATGCAGGAAGGCTTGATGGCGTTGTCGGCCCGGGAAACGGGGAAGTATACGGCACAATGGGTTTACACGGTCGCCAGCAACACTGACCCGGCACGACTCCGACAGGCCTGGCAGATTGTGGTAGACGTGAACCCCATTCTCCGCACCCGCACGGTCGCTACGCAGATGCACGGCATCACGCAGGTGGTAATCCTGCCGCGAAGCCATCGCCTGCAATGGGAAGAAGCGACGAATGTGGCCGACTATCTCGAGCTGGATAGCACTCGTCCAATGAAGCTCGGCCATCCACTGCTACGATTTGGATGGGTCGAGCCCCAGGAAAGCCTGAAAATATCGCATCTGGTCGTGACAATGCACCATGCAATCTACGACGCCGTGTCAATGAACCTGTTCCTGGACCAGGTAGAAGCCGCGTACCGTGGGGCAACTCCGACAAGTCGCGCATTCAACCAGTTCATCAAGGATCTTACGACTGCGGACACAGATAGGCAACAGGCGTTCTGGACAGCCGAATTCCAACATCTGGAGGCATCTGTTTTTCCTGCTCTGCCGGTGGGGATGAAGACGCCGAGGCCAAGTGCAACGGTATCCCGGATTATGGACATTCCCCGTGCACACAAGGGACTCGGGGCCACGATGACAACGATATTCCGAACCGTTTGGGCGATTGTCCTCGCCACATACACTGATTCGTCCGACGTGGTGTTCGGGGTCACCGTCAGCGGCCGCAGCGCCGCCACCGCGGGCATCGATCAGATCACCGGTCCGACACTAGCCACTTTTCCCCTGCGTACTCACGTAGACATCGGTCAGTCTATCGAGAACACGCTCCACGCGGTCCAGGAGCACGGGGCGCGCATTATTCCCATGGAGCAGACGGGACTGCAACACATTCAACGTATCACTGCTGAGGCGCAGGCTGCTTGTGGATTCCAGAGCCACCTGCTCGTGCAGCACCAGCGACGAGGCGAGCGGGAGCAAAACCTTCTTCTCCTGCAACAGGAGTTCCTGGACTATGCCAGTGTCTCGAGCTACGCCTTTGAGCTGGTATGCGATTTGAACGAGAAGAGCGGAGCAGCCAGCGTTACTGCCGCGTTCGATCCCCAAGTCTTGTCTGAAGACGACGCAACTCGTCTTCTGTCACAATTTGAGCATATGGTGCAGCAAATCTGCCTGGATGCTAGCCACCAGATTAAAGAGATTGAGCTGGTCAGCACCGAGGATTTGACCACTCTTCATCAGTGGAATGACAAGGTTCCCGTGCCATATGAGAGCGTCGTGCACCAAATGTTCCTAGATCGAGTTGACGAGTGGCCGGAGAAGCTTGCAGTGTCTTCCTGGGACGGAGAGCTGACATACAGCCAGCTTGAGGCATCGACTGCCCGCCTGGCGCATCAGCTCCAACGGCTCGGGGTCCGTCAAGGTGCAGTCGTCCCATTATGCTTTCGCAAAAGCATCTGGCCAGTCGTCGCTATGTTGGCTGTTCTCCGAGCTGGAGGTGCCTGTGCAAATATTGACCCGAAGCTTCCCCTGGGCCGAGTGGCACAGATGCTCACGACGATCAAGCCCGAGCTCATTCTCTGCGATTCGGAACAGTGACAATTGATGGAAGGCGCGTTGGCCTACAAGGTCCCGATTCACTGTATTCCGGATATCATGGAAGACGGTCCAGCAGTCGGCAAATCCTTATCGCTACCCTCCACTGTTCCATCAGACGCGGCATTTGTTGTCTTCACCTCTGGGAGTACAGGAGCTCCCAAAGGCATCGTCGTCGAACATGGTAACCTGGCGACTTGTATCCACCATACCCACCGTGCATTGGGCTTGACACCCAAGAGCCGTGTGCTGCAATTCACTGCGTACGCATTCGACGTGAGTTTATACGACACCTTTGCCCCTTTGGTACTGGGCGCAACGACATTCATTCCGTCGGAAGAGACACGTCTGTCCTATCTGAGTCTCTATATCCAACGGCATGGCATCAATGTCGCGATGTTGATCCCGTCGGCTGTGAGTGTGATTCATCCAACGCAGGTACCGACTTTGCAGACCCTCGTACTGCTAGGGGAATCAATTTCACGAGACGTGGTCAACGTCTGGGCTGCACGCCTACACCTTGTTAACGGATACGGTCCGGCCGAGGCCTCCGTCGTCTGCGCAGCGGGGGTTGTAAAGGCGGACACCTCCCTCCTGGGATCCGTGGGCCCGATGCAGGGCACCGTAGGATGGATTGTGGACCGACATGATCCCTCTCGCCTGATGCCTATTGGAGCCACGGGCGAACTTCTATTGGAAGGCCCGATGGTAACGCGTGGATACCTTGACAAGCCGGACAAGACGCGCGAGGCTTACATTGAGGCGCCGAGGTGGCTTAAGCAATTCCGACAACGTAATCAGCCGGGCCGACTGTATCTTACTGGTGACCTAGCCCAGTGGACATCTCGTGGGACGTTGCGCATTGCTGGCAGAAAGGATAACCAGATAAAGTTGCGTGGTCAGCGTATCGAGCTGGAGGAATTAGTCTTTCACGTTCGACAGCACTTTGATCCCGCCAGCGACGTGGCCGCCGAAGTCATCCAGCGTCCTCAGGGAGCCCAAGACTCATCCTTGCTGCTGGCCTTTGTCAATGAGCCAAACGGGGGCTCGATTCGAGACGCGGGCATCATTGCGCCACCAAGCCAGGAATTCTTGAACAAGTCTTCTGCAATCCACCGCAAACTGCAGGAGACTTTGCCTCTTTACATGGTTCCAACCGCCCTGTTGCCACTGACCTCCATGCCACGCACGCAGTCCGGCAAGATAGATAGACGTCAGCTAAGACACGCTGGAGCAGCACTAACCCCAGACCAGCTCAAAGGATACTGGCATCACGGGTACAATATTCATATGAAGCAGGGTCCGGTGAGTCCAGCCGAGGAGACTCTGCAATTGCTCTGGTCAGCGGTCCTTGGTATAGGTGCTGAAGATATTTCACGGTACGATCACTTCTTCCACCTAGGGGGGGGGAGTCGATTGCCGCTATGAAACTGGCCAGCATGGCGCAGCGCCAAGGGAACGACCTACTGGTTACCCAGATCTTTGATAAGCCATGTTTGTTTGACATGGCTTTGATACTCGGCACAGATCCTGCCATGGTTCTGAGCCCCCCCCCCCCCCCCCCCTGCTTCAGCCTGCTGGAAGCTACCAGGGACCGGGCACTGACAGCTGCTTGCGACCAGTGCCATCTGTCTCCAGAGGATATAGAAGACATCTACCCCTGCCCGGCCTTGCAAGAAGGCCTGATGGCCGTCACTTCCAGAGACCCAGGTCAATATGTCGCAACGCATAAGTATACAGTGCCTCCCGGTCTGGACTGGGATCGATTCGTCAGCGCGTGGGAGCGAACCTCCCAGGCACACCCAATCTTGCGGACGCGAATCATCCATGACAATGAAAATGGGAAGACCTTTCAAGTGGCGACGAGGACGCCTGTACGCTGGGAGCAATATGTCGTTGACAGCGAGGATGATGTCTCCAGTTTTGCTGTCAGGTCCGGGTTAGGTGTCGCACTATGCCGATGCTCTTTGCTCCTATCCAAACAGTCTCGGCCGATCTGTTGCGTCATCTCAATGCATCATGCACTATACGATGAGTGGTCGAACAACGTACTGTTTGACGAGCTTGAACGAGCATACCAGGGACAATCCTTGCCGCATCAATCGTTCAGCGCCATCGTAGCATACCAAATAGGTGTCCAGTCCGCAGCGGCAGACTTCTGGGCACAAAAGCTGGCAGACTACGACGCGGCACATTTCCCAGCGCTGCCCTCAGCCATCTATGTGCCAGCTCCAAATTCCACCTGCAGCATTTCAATAAAGCTTCCTCCATCCGCGCACCAGATCACACTGGCAACACAAATTCAATGCGCATGGGGAATGCTGATATCCTTGCATACGGGAAAGAAGGATGTCGTGTTTGGCCTGACGACATCCGGCCGGGGTACGCCCGTACATGGAATCGACCAAATTCTGGGGCCAATGATTGCCACTAGTCCGCGTCGGATGCACGTCAGACCGTCATGTCATGTAGCGGATTTCTTGCAGCAGATTCAAAATCGATATTTCGCCCTCATGGCGTACGAGCACTGGGGGCTACAAAATATCAGCCGCCTCGGAGACTCGCATGCGGCAGCCTGTGAGTTTCAATCGCTTCTGGTAATCAATCATGTTCAGAGAGCGGCAAAGGAGCGATTGTTAAAGGACCCACGACTGCTATCCACAGTAGCTCAGTTCACAAACTACGCAGTTCAGGTTACCTGCACCGTGTTTGGCAATACAATCGAGGCACACGCCACGTTCGACGATCAGGCAATCTCTACGCCCCAGATGGAACGGGCTCTGCGGCAATTCGAGCACCTTCTCCTACAGCTGCGCGGAGCCTCATCGTCCATGACGATGGCTGACTTGGACACAATCAGCGAAATGGACCGGTTGGATTTAGATCGATCAAACACGCTTCAGTTATATCCAGGCTCGGATGCCTGCATGCATGACTGTGTCCGCCGTTGGTACTAACTACAGCCGGACGCACTCGCCGTCTGTGCCTGGGATAATAATTTAACTTACACTAAGCTAGACCGATATTTTTTTTATCTTATAGTGTATCTCCAATCCCGGGGCATAAAAGCAGAGCACTTCATGCCACTTTTTTTTAATAAAACTTGTTTAATAGTGATATACTAGCTTACCGTCCTAAAGGCCGGCGCTATATTTATGTTTTTAGACCCAGGTAACCCCATTTACCAGGCGCGACAGCTTTGTGAATAACTAAAGGTAACTCTAGTTCTAATATTAGATTACTAATTAAGCACCGCTGGGTTACTAGGAGTAAAAATAATTATTATTAATTTAAGTTTATATTATAGTAATGAAAGGGTCAACAGAGCTATTATAAAAGATAATATTTATTTTAATAGCCCGGCCTATACTAGTTACACGTCAGGGTCCACAAGGTAGCCAAAAGTCTTTATATTTAAGTATTACTTAGTATACTAAGTATTTCTGGCCCTTAGCTTATATTTTCCTGTTAGTCTTTAATCTTGTGTTTTCTAGTTTATGGGTTATACCTTTAATATTAGTATTATAGACCACTTGCTTACTTTTTTTACCAGTGTGTGCCTCTGCGTGCCCTTAAAGAGTAACTATGATAATCACTTAATAGATATTATAGTCTAATTTTAAGTAAACTATGCCTGTCTTACGACATTTATTTTACGAACCTTGTTCCCTATGGACGTGCCTTATATAAAGATTATAGTTTAAATTAAAGAAGCTATAACACAGGATCTTATCAGCTGGTAGGCTGGAGCCTGTTACCTGATTAATATATATAGGCCGGCTAAATATACTCTTATATATAATATTATTAGCCTTTTATAGGTTAGCTCGGAGGCAGTAAATATTAAGACTTATATTACAGGTATCCTCTAGATAATAAACCCCGAAGACTGTTAGCGTCTGCTACCCGTTGGCGCTATAAGTAAATTAGTTATAAAAGGCCCCCAGGTTAATCAAGGATACTATAAAGATATTAAAAAAATAACAGCCAGCTTTATATTAAATCCTCCTTAGCTTAAGTAATTTTTGGGTTAACTGTATTCAGGAATCCAGATATATTATATTAGAGATTTAGTAAGTCAGGCACCTAATAAAACTTTATAATATCTAGATTATAAAGATTTATAGATAAAGCTAAGAGGACAAAGGGTAGATTTTATAGCTATAGAATATTATATCCTTTAAGTCTTTCTTAGTACTACTGATATAATAGCTAATATAATCCCTAATAGTAATAGCTAGCTGCTTTAGCTAATAGTATTTATTATCTAAGAGACTTCAGAGCCTAAAGAAAAGTATAAAGGCCTAGGCTAAAATTATTTTTTTTTACTATTCTTTTTACAGTTTTCTGACGCTGCCCGCGAAACCAAGGGCTAATTATAATTTTAGCTACTCTTATATATAGTACTTATACTTTTTATCCCTATCCTGCGGATCTCTCTTAACTTAAATAATAAGATTAATTAATATTAAATAGCCCTCCAGGCAGTAAGATTATTTTTAAAGCATAAATAAGCCTATTAAGGGGCCTTGTAAGTTATTATCAGTCCTATAACTAAGGTGTAAGACTATATTTATAATATTTAGGTGGTAGTGTTATATCTGGAACCAGATATTATTAATATATATAATAACTTCTTTCGCATTAGTGGTAACTCTATTACTTATATATAGATTATCTTGTAATACTAGTTAACCGGCCTTTAACTAACTACTACTAATCTCTAAAAATATAAAAGTATTAAGAGATTAACCAGTAATTACCTCCTGGATTTATTTAATCCTGTGGATAAAAGATAATAAGTAAATTTATCCCCTATTTAATAGCTGTTCTTTTAATGAAATTATTATAAAGATCATATATTTAATCAGGGCTTTACTTTACAGGTTAAATATCTCCTTAATTCCTCTAGTATTCGGGAGGCAATTTATACAATTATTAAAACTTATAGGATACTGCGGGTATAATTTTAAGAGTTCTTACCAGATTAATAATATTAATAAGTTATTAATAATATAAAAGGGAGTTTTACTTTCCGCAAATAGATTATTAAGAATAAAGTAAGTATCTTCCTTATTATAACAACTACTCATGCGCATTTAAATGTCCAGGAGGGGCTAATATTTATAATAAATATATTATATAATTAAAAGAGTTATTAACAGTATCTCTTAATAATAGCCTATTATTTTATAGTAGATACTATATCTTAGGGAATTATTTTTATTAATTTAGAAGATTCCTTACGCGGCTGTAAAATCCTAATTCTAATAATTTCTTTTATAAACTAATGCTTAAAATAGGCTAGTTATATAATATAATATCTTCCCCTGGACCAAGCTTTTCTAAAATATATAGCTAGTAAAACAGATATTTGGATAAACTCAGTAATAATAAAATATTAAGGAATAGATAGATTATTAAACATGTTAGCAGATATAATCAAGTATATATTTACCCTTAATTATGAAATAACAGCAACTTTAATTAATATTATTTAAATAAAGGCTTGTACTTAGTTACCTGTAATTATCCATGCATGCCTATTATATACTTTCTTAAATATTTTTAGTAACCGTGCTATTCTTATTATGTTCGTGGAGGGCCATAGTCATGAGCTATAAAATTAAGATATTAACTTAACCCGCACTATTAGCTGGTTTATTATACTTTTTTTGATGCTAGACGATACTGCCAAAATAGGTATTGTAAGACTAAGAGATAATATACTACATAATCTTCTTGAATTTGGGAGGTGTCCTGAGTGTACGGCCAATATTCTATGATATATATATATCAAATGGGGTCACCTAATATCACATGATTCACCGGAATCACCTGATTTACTCCCACAATCGAAATTTACTATGACTTTACTTTCACTTTATTGAACTCTCACTTCCACCACCAAATTGCATGGAAAAGTGAGGTCAAACTGAGCTCAAAGTGAGCGAAAATTGAAAAGATCAGATTTCTGAAGAATTTTTTATTTTAGACCAGCTTACCTTCCTATTTAGGAAACACCTGACTATTTCCTAATTTGGAAATTAAAAGTTTATTCTTTTATGTTTGTAATGTTTGATTTATTTCAAATGTCTTTAAATATGTAGATAATCCCCTGCATATTTTTATTCTTTCTGACAAGTTGATTTTACTGTTTCAATTTGACAAGTTGATCACATCTATTTAATTTACTTATTGATTCATTTATTCATTAATCAATTTCACCCTTTCTTATCAATTCAATTAAAGTCGAATAATAGAAACCTTTGAACTATCATTTTATAAGGTACTGCTCTAGGATCAGGTGACTACTACCTTCCTATTCGATCCTAGCCTACCTTCGACGTCTGACAATATATATATTAATATTATTATTACACGCCGGCTATCTTCTAGTTCTGGCGCAAACTATTATATTAATTAGTTATAACTATAATTAACCCTCTTCAGATTAACGCTCTGAGGCTAATAATATATATTAACTAATAATAATAGATGGCTGTCCTGCCGCGACTGGCCTGTTTTATACTAACTATTATTTATAAGGCAGTATAAGCTATCACTCTGGCGCGCATAATAAGATTAAGTAACCTGTTATTTAAGTAGGTTGTTACGGGTCGTAACACGCGCCAGTCTAGTATTAAGGAGATATTAGACCCCGGCACTAACGCGGTACTAATACGCGTAATATTACCAGCGGGTGGCAGTATCAAAAAAATACTTTACTAAGTTTAAGCCTGGTACCTGCAGGTAATAAAGTATAAGATAATTAAGTTCAAGAAAATTATATAATATACCATCTCCTGGCCCCGTAATACCTACTTTAGTAATATTATTTAATATTAAAATATTTTATTATAAATAAGGATGCTATTAGAAGACCAGGACACAGTGTATAAGATACTACAGTTTAATATTCTTTATTTATATCCTTATTTAATATTTACTTTAGTTAATAATAACATGCTGAGTTTATTTCTCTCCGGATTTAGTAATTAACTTAATACTAATTATGCTAATCGCCTTCTGTTAATATTTAAGTAAGTATTTAGATATATTATGAGGGATCCTAGTCAGGAGATAGATGGGTTGTTATACCCAGCTTAATAAAATTAGAAGTAAGTCTGTTGGCTACTATTGCGCGTGGTTTAGGGGAGAGACAGAGAGAGAGAGACAGAGAGAGAGAGAGAGAGAGAGAAGGGGGACATAGCTCAGCGTCGGTAGGATCTCGGGTAGAAATTCTGTACCCATGCTGAGCTATGCATAACACGGGTGCTGACAAAGACTTTGTGCATATCTATGGACACTACTCTAATATGTAGAAATATATAATGGGTATGTATGCTCCTTGATGAATATTCTGCACTCTGGAGGATTACAGTGCATCTCATCCGGCGTTTGGCGTTTGGCGTTTGGCAGGTGGCATTTCAGGTCTGTTTCTTGGCTTTTGTTCCTGCTTTTCTGTTTCTTTTCCTTTTGTTTTATCTTGGAGTTGCCTTGTTACTTTTAGTACCCCGGGCTCTGTTCTGTGTTATTACTGTATTTAAGACATATATTCATTCTCCGAGCATCGTGCAGCTTGAGGTTCCCTGACGAGACCAAATACCCCCCAATTCCATGGTCAGATCTCGCACGTAGACAGGTTTCTTCAGCATCAGCGCCTGTAACCCCGTCAGTTATCCCATTCGTCGACCATGTGCTGCTATGTCTTCCGTACTAGGTACATGCAAAGCCCCCCCCGTGGGTTCTGGCCCCGACAGCAAACCCGATCCTTGCAGGGGGAACCACCGTCAGCTCAAAAGCCATTGTCAAATGCAAGGGTTGCTACTCAGGCCCTTGCCGGAACTAAATCATAGACAAACGGTGTTCACGTCACCAAGCCCACTCACCGCAACTTCCCGTCGTTCATATTTTTTTTTTTTGACCCAAGGGGCCACAATGCATGGATAGACCGAGCCAGACCTATAAGTTGGTCGATGCAGCCGAGCCCTCAGAAATCCCTAGAAGCTCCCCGGCCCTGAGGGATACATAAACGATGTGGCTGGTTTCTGAATCGCTGGCTCTGGTCGTGCTTGTCGCCGTGACGGCGCCACTGCTGAGGCCGCATGGCATAGCCGGCTCATCAATTCCCCTGGTCAATTCGCGGCAGCCATTCGAGCTGGGATACACCAAGGCCCGACAGCGATGTCTGGCTGACATGTCGGGTTTCATCACGAAGGGTCTCGGCAAGGCAAGTGCAACCAATGGCCCTCGTTTCCTGTCGCGGGGCCTGCCGTGGAACTGACAGACGCCGGCACAGTCGAAGGTGTTTCGCATGATGACGGACGACGGCTGCCTGATCGTGCTGGCTCCCGAGTTCGCCAAAGAAATCCGAAACAGCTCGGCCCTCAGCGTCGGCCGCTTCATGGCGGAGCGTCTCCATGCCCATCTCGCGGGATTTGAACCCTGGCGTCAGGTCTCCGCGCCGGATCGACTCTTTCCGGAGACCATTCGCACCAGGCTGATGCAGCCTCTCGGTGAGTCGCCAACCTCCCGGCCCGTGGCGAACATATCGGGGACGATGGACCGGAGCGTTGGGTTGACTTGCTGCCAGGGAACTTGATCCATCCGGCCTCCAAGGAGGCAGCGAGCATTTAACGGCGCGAATGGACGGACGCTGCCGGTATGTCAACCCCCCTCTTCAATACTCGGAAAGACACGAGATCCGGCAAGCGTGACGGGATGATAGAATGGCACCGGGTGGTGCTGAAGCCCAGCGCCTTGGCCATCGTGGTCCGCCTGCTCTCAGTCGCTTTCTGACCCGAGTCCCTCCACGGCGATGCCCGCTGGCTGCGCGTCGTCGAGTAGTACTCGATTGACTCGTTCGTTGCCGCCGACGAGCTGCACCGCTGGCCGAAAGTGTTCCGCCCCGTGATCGCTTGGATATCGCCGAGCTGTCGCAAGATCCGGGGTCAGCTGCGCGAGGCCCGGGCCCTCATGGAGCCGATCCTTCGACAGCGAAGCGTGCGCCGAGAGACTGGCGTCCCGGCGCCTCACGATGATGCCCTAGAATGGATGGAGGAATGCGCTCGGGGCCGCCCCTACGACCCTGCTGTCATGGCACAGATCGGCATGGCGACGGTCAGTCTGCACTCCACCGCAGATATGCTGACCCAGGTGCTGTATGATCTCTGCGGACGCGACGATCTGATTCTTGCCTTGCGAGACGAGGTCCGCTCGGTCGTCGAACAGAAAGGGCTGACGGTCTCGGCCTTGCATGATCTTCAGCTCATGGACAGCACCCTGAAGGAGTCTCAGCGTCTGAAACCGTCGCTGGCGGGTGAGCTCCCCCAATTCTCTCATCCATCCTCTCAACCCCTTGCTTTTCCGACGCCATGTCTGACAAGACCCTTTAGCGGTAATGCAACGGATCTCCACCGAACCGACGCGATCGTTCTGTCCGATGGAACACGCATCCCGAGGGATTCATACATCATCGTGTCGGCGGACCGCAGATTCAACCCCGACGTGTATCCCAACCCCGCCACGTTTGATGCCTACCGATCGATGAAGTTACGTCAAACGGCGGGAAAGGAGACGCATGCGCAGGTCAACACGCCGTCGCCCGAACACCTCGCCTGGGGACTCGGGAAGCATGCGTGCCCCGGGAGGAACCTCGTGGTGACGGAGATCAAGATCGCCCTGTGCCACATCCTGTTAAAGTATGACATCAAATTGATGGATAATGTGCGTCCACCGCCGGTGAAAAACGGCATTGCCATGAGCGCGAACTCGACTGCGGCCATCCTAGTCCGACGGCGCTAGGACAACCTTGCTTCATTGTTGTAGTGATGGAAATTTCAAGCCGGCCTTGGGGTTGATCAACAAGAGGGGATACGGCGTTCATCGAATATGAAGGCATCTTTACTAAAGGCCTTATACTTTGGCGAACGTAAATGGTTGTTACAAGGACGAGCCTTTAACCAGCCAGCGCTTTTGGTCGGGTTAGCAAGATGTGGCTTCTAACTCCCTGATTGATGTTAGTACTCAGGAGATGAATTTGATTTGCATGCGGACCTCCTTTGCTCCCTGCTTCCATCTTCATGTTCCCCTCTTCATTTTTCTTTCTATGTCTCCTCGAAGGTTGGTGACCTTGAGTCACCGGACAGACGTGCGATGAGAAGAGTTCCGACTGACCTTTACGGGTCGCGATAGATTGATGCGGGTCACAACTTGGGAAGAAAAAAGAGAGGAGAAGAAAAGAAAAAGAGATGCACTGTACGGTCAAGGTTTTCCCCTGACTCAGAAGGCTTCTCCGTACTACATAATAACGACCACCAATTCGTACCCTTCGACGGGCAGCTGCTACGGACCGTCCACAGCCTATGTCACAAACTCTGCTGCACGAAAATACCGAAAACTTGATTCGACTAGACAATTTTACTCATAAACTCATGAAAGATACACAAGATAGGAAGCAGAATATTCGCCGTGGAAAACTGAACCGCAATGCGAGCTAGCACCGACTACAGGCGCGGACGCGTCGGAATGGCCGAGTAGACCAAGTCAAAGCGGTCCAGCTGCATGACCTTGTCCCAGGCGGCGACGAAGTCCTTGACGAACTTGGCCTGGCCGTCGGCGCTGCCGTACAGCTCGGCCAACGCGCGCAGCTCGGCATGCGAGCCGAAGACCAGGTCCACACGGCTGCCCGTCCACTTCTTGGCGCCCGTCTTGCGGTCGACGCCCTCGAAGCGCTCGTGGTCGGCGCCGGTCGGCTGCCAGACGGTGTTCATGTCCAGCAGGTTGACGAAGAAGTCGTTGGTCAGCTGGCCGGGGCGCTGCGTCAAAACACCGGTGTCGGAGCCGTCGTAGTTGGCGTCCAGCACGCGCAGGCCGCCCACGAGCACCGTCATCTCGGGCGGCGTCAGCTGCAGCAACTGGGCGCGGTCGACGAGATACTGCTCGGCACGCACGCGCGGCGTCGAGCCGCCGTAGTTGCGGAAGCCGTCCGCCAGCGGCCGCAGGTACTCGAACTGCTCGACGTCGGTCTGCTCCTGGCTGGCGTCGGTGCGCCCGGGCGTGAAGGGCACGGGGTGGCCCGCCGCGCGCTCGACGGCGGCGCAGCCGGCCAGCACGATCAGATCGGCCAGCGAGACGCGCTTGGCGCCCGTCTGGGCGCCGTTGAAATCGCGCTGGATGCGCTCCAGCACGCGCAGCACCTCCTGCAGGCGCGGCGGGTTGTTCACCTCCCAGTCCTTCTGGGGCGCCAGGCGAATGCGCGCGCCGTTGGCACCGCCGCGCTTGTCACTGCCGCGGAAGGTCGAGGCGGACGCCCAGGCGGTGGTGATGAACTTGGTCGGCTCGACGCCGGAGGCCAGAATCTCCTTCTTCAGCGCCAGGGCGTCCTCGTTGTCGATCAAGGGATGGTCGACCGCCGGCACGGGGTCCTCCCAGAGGAGCGTCTCCTTGGGCACCTCGGGCCCCAGCCAGCGCGCGCGGGGACCCATGTCGCGATGCAGCAGCTTGAACCAGGCGCGGGAGAAGGCGTCGGCGAACTCGTCGGGCTTCTGCAGGAAGCGACGGGCGATCTTCTCGTAGGCGGGATCGAAGCGCAGCGCCAGATCGGTGGTCAGCATGCGCGGCTGCTGCTTCTTGTTGGCGTCGTAGGCGTCGGGGATGATCTCGGGGGCGTTCTTGGCGGTCCACTGGTTGGCGCCGGCGGGACTCTTGGTCAGCTCCCACTCGAACTTGAACAGGTACTCGAGGAAGCCGAGACTCCAGCGCGTGGGCGTCTTGGTCCAAGTGACCTCCAGGCCGCTGGTGATGCTGTCGGTGCCGCGACCGGACAGGTATCCGTTGCTCCAGCCCAGCCCCTGCTGGTGCAGGTCGGCGGCCTCGGGCTCGGGGCCGATCTTGTCGGCGGGCCCGGCGCCGTGCGTCTTGCCAAAGGTGTGTCCACCGGCGATCAGGGCCACGGTCTCCTCGTCGTTCATGGCCATGCGACCGAAGGTCACGCGGATGTCCCGGGCAGCCGCGACGGGATCGGGGTTGCCGTCGGGGCCCTCGGGGTTCACGTAGATCAGGCCCATGTGCACGGCGGCCAGGGGGTCCTCGAGGTTGCGGGTGCGGATGTCGCCCTGCTGCTTCTTCTCGGCGTCGGTCTGGGCGGCGTAGCGCACGTCGTTGCCCTGGGGGAACCAGGACTGCTCGCCACCCCAGTAGGCGGCCTCGTCGGCCTCCCAGGTGTCGGGCCGGCCGCCAGCGAAGCCGAAGGGCTGGAAGCCCATGGACTCGAGGGCGACGTTGCCGGTCAGCAGCAGCAGGTCGGCCCAGGAGATCTTGTTGCCGTACTTCTGCTTGATGGGCCACAGCAGGCGACGGGCCTTGTCGAGACTGGCGTTGTCGGGCCAGCTGTTCAGGGGCGCGAAGCGCTGCTGGCCCTGCCCGCCGCCGCCGCGACCGTCGAAGACGCGGTAGGTGCCGGCGCTGTGCCAGGCCATGCGGATGAACAGGCCGCCGTAGTGACCGAAATCGGCGGGCCACCAGTCCTGCGAGTCGGTCATGAGGTGGTGCAGGTCCTTCTTCAGGGCGTCGTAGTCCAGGCTCTTGAAGGCGGCGGCATATTCAAAGTCCTTGCCCTGGGGGTTGCTGGCGTCGGCGTGCTGGCGCAGAATGCTCAGACGCAGCTGGCCGGGCCACCAGTCGACGTTTCTGGTGCCACCGCCGGCGACATTGGAGGATTTCTGGCCGTTGTGAAACGGACACTCGCTCATGATGAAGTGTCGGAGGATATCTGCGAGGGAAGGGGAAGGGAAGAGAAACGGGGGACAGGTTCCCTGGGAAGAGAGAGAGACGGGAGACGGAGAGAAGGGAAAGCAAGAAGCAGAGGCACTCGGCAGTTTTATAGGCAGCGAATGACGGGAAAGGGATTGCGAAACCCGCGGGAATCAGAGGTTCTCCAGCGCAGCGAAGCGTCAGGAGCTGTCCAGCTTGGGCCACGGGCAGTGGGCGGCCTGGCGAATCAGGCACGCCGGCGCGATGCGGGGTGCAGGCGGGGTAATGGGGGGCCTGCCGAATGAGGCAGTCAGGCAGTCAGGCACTCCGGCACTCCGGCAGTCACAGAGTCAAACAGTCAAACAGTCAAACAGTCAAACAGTCGGTCGACCCAAGGAACAGTGAGGCAATGCACAGATTGCACAAACCCACTGACCAGACCGACCCAAGGGCGAGGATTTATACCGGACCTGCAGGGACAGTGGCAACGCAAAGTTCCTCCGCGTTACTCAGACAAGGTTAGCCAGACCAAGTTCCAGTCCAGACCGATGACCAATGGCCGTCCTCAGGCATCGCATTTCAAAGCGTCCGCGGTCCAGGCGCCTGACTCAGCGGCCGCCGGACTCGCCTGCCTCTTTGGGCCGTTCAGGCATCCCCGGCAGGTGACGTCAGGCGCTGAATCATCCGCCGCCCGATTTGTCAGGCCGCCCATCGAGACTGCTCTCGCCATCCCAGGAGCCCCTAATGTCGACGATGTACATCTTCCAGTTCTATACGAGCACTCCATCCATTCTGTGATAGAATTGTATTCCTCAGGACGCCCATGTGTCAAAATACTCTAAACACCATCCTTCCAAGCAGCAGTGGCTATTGCGTGACTTCCAATTCCTTTAACAAGTCCGCCTGCACGTCGAGAAGAAACTCCCTCATCTGCTGCGGAGTATGAAAGGCCTCGTTATACACCAGCCGCAGCGTGAGCTGATCACGGAACGTCCACACAAAGACCACGCCCTGGCGCGAAAGCATCTCCACGCCCACGCCGGCATGCGCGATGCCAAACCCCCGCTCCGGGGTCCCGTACTCACGCTGCAAATATTTTTCTAGGACGCCCATGCTGCTGATATCGACGTCGCTGGGCGGTTCCGCCGGCGTCGGCAGCTTTCGAATCACGTCGACCAGAGTGGACGCATATTCGCGGTGCGCCTGCAGGTACTCGGGGCTGATGCCCTTCTGATACTCCGCGTGATACATGCGGGCGTTCTCCTGCCAGGTGCCGGAGGGGTCGACTCGCGCCAACCAGCCGGAGGTAAACAACCCGGCCGCCGCCGCGGGGGTCGAGTAGGGCTCCGGGAGATACGGCCGCAGCGACTGCTTGATGGTGCTGGTGTAGTGGCGGCCGCGGTGCTCGGTGATGGCGCGCCGGAAGTTGGCCGCGGCCAGACTGGCGTGTAGGGCCGCCGTGATGCCCACGCCGCGGGCCTTGGCGGCGGACACGGCGGCGGACGTGGTGGCGGGCGAGAACGTGAGCTCGACAGCCAGCGTGCCGGCGGGAACGGTCGAGGCATCCCCGGTATAGGGCACCCCGAGGGCTCCCGCCGCTCGGGCGAAGGTGCCCACGGCCCCGTGGGCGACGGCCTTCTGCTCGTCGCTGGCGGCGAGAGGCATGTTCCCGGCCTCTTCGACCGGCGGCGACAGTCTTGCGACCTCCGACCCCCAAGGGAAGGAATCGAACGGATCTGGGAGGTTCCGGGACAGGAGGGAGTCGGCATGGGAGACCATCAGATCCACCAGCTGACCCAGGAGGAGCAGACCGCCGACTCCGTCCATGCGCCAATGTGCGCTGTGCAGCAGGAGTTCCCCCGACCGGGGAATGTAGTAAAGCCGGGCGTCCGGAGCGGGTGCAATGGTGGGGATCACCTCGTCGGCGCACTTGGCCTCGGCCACCACGAGAAAGGTCTCGGATGCCCATTCGCTCAGGGCCTCTGCCGAGCCGGGCACGGTGTAGACCAGCTGGGAGTTGGAGGCATCCGGGTGGGCGGCCAGACTGGGGTGCTGGAAGCGCAGATGCAGCCAACTGTGGCGGATCAGCCGGGGGAGCAGGTCGCGCGGGCCCGTCAAGGCCGCGAATGCGCCGCGAGGATGGACGGTGGCCGTGTAGTTGACAGCCCAGTGTTCGCGACCCAGCGGATGGCCGGGATCACTGACCAGCTTGATGAACACCTCGTTGGGGCCCAGGGGCCGGCTGACGGTGTTCGGCGAGGGCTCGGCTGCTGTCCATGGCATGTTGAGGGAAAAGATCTTGTTGACCGATCGGTGCAAGACAGATCTCTAGCCGGGCATGGCGGTCAAGTAGCTGAAGATCGGACGCCGGCGGCTTCCACCGGGACGGCGTAATGGGCGTCGTCTTTTGGGGGCCAAACGGTGGCCCAACGATGTCGCAGCAGATCGCCTCGGTGGGTCGTCGTCCGGCCAACCCCGAATCCTTCCTACAAATCATGCAATACGCTCCCTGGAAAACGCCTACATGGGCATCCGCATTAATTCGGTGGCTCCCTCGTACATTTAGGGACCATTGATGCACAGAATTCCTGGATGAGGCGTGCCGTCAAGAATGCCATGCTGGGGTCTAAGCCCAAAAACAGGTAGAATACTGTCTCTCTGGTTCACATCTCAAGTGTTCCTCAATCCACGGGGGCTCCGCTATAGTTTTGTCTTAACGTATGTACATTCAAACGTTTCATAAACTCCTGCATCAGAGATTGGATGAAGCATTCTTGATTGAATTGGTGAGGCCATGGCTCACCTTCATACCCCCAATGTGCAAGGGTTCTATTGCTCATCTGGAGAACAAATACATTGGCCTTCCCAGACACATGGTACTCTTTGTTTTCCCAGTCTGCCAACAACAAAGCCAAAGTCAGAAGACAGCCCCATTAATTGTTCTCTCGTAACGGAGGGTTTTCTTTCCCAGGTAACACACCCGTGCCATCATAAAGAATGTCATGGAAACTGCCTTTCACAAACAATGAAAGGCCTCATCATGTCAATCTATATAAGTACCATTCGACGGCATGACCTAATTCGGCTGCACGTACTCATTCCTCAACCTGTAACTAAGAGGCCTCGCTGAATGAAAATGCCCTTTCACTACGTTTTCATCGGCCCTTTCGAGAAGGACGCCGTGAAGTCCCGCCGCGACTGGATCGCCGCCTCCCGTGCCACCCTGGGCCTTCAAGAGAAATACAAAATCTTCACGGCCTTCAATGAGCACCTGATGCGCGATCACTTCCTCTTGCTGCTCTTCTCCAACCATTCGACTCGTACGGATGACGAAGAATCGAGCCTGCTGCGAGATGCCCTCGGTGCTCTGCAGGACCACTGGGAAGGGAAAGAGACACCGGCCGGCCGTTCCATGTATGTCCTGCCTTCTTTCGACGAGCAGGCGGTGCGCGGGCCGACCTGGGGGTACATAAAGCATCTCAAAGAACGGGCCAAAGTTCTAATCTTGGATCTTCCGTCTACGTAATGGTCGACCTGCATTAGACTCTCACTCGCGTTGGGCTGCGTGACAGCCCTGGTATGTGGTTATTAGTATATACCTGATATGCAATTTCTATATTTGTTGCCAATCCACAGCGGGCAACGCATTCTATTCTTCCGCCAATCAGTATCTTGTAGCACCAGTCTACATTTGCAATTTGTACGATATACCTATTGCGAGGTATTATGCGGGTGCTTTTCTGAGAAAGACAGAATGGCAGTAAATGATTACTGTTATCTTTTATAGGATGGCATCAGCAATAGCTGCTGATAACGCACGAATGAGTTCTGCATACATAGGTTGAGCCAGAAGAGTCCCGGGTGGCTGGGGTCTCGTATCCTGACAACAGGCTCAACACAAAGCGTCTCATGAATGCCCCAATTGGACTAAATGTCCATAACGACATATACAACTGGAAAGGCTCTTTTTATGAAGCCTACGGCCTGACGTACTCAATTTATTCCACATTGTTTGTTCACACCTGCCCACCCTTTTCATCGTGTGACTTCCTCCCCATGTCTTCCTCCCACTACTAGTAACAACAGTTTGATTCTGTATAATTAGGTAGATCATGTTTAAGCTGTCTGGTTGTCCTCGACAATTGCATTGTAGCCGACGAATACACCCCAAATAGCACTATGCTGACATTGTCAGACTATAGAATGCGTTCATATCGCATCATCAGACGTTGTTTGAGTTTACCAAGTGAGAGTTTTGGGAATGCATGATAAGGACGATAACTCACCTAAGGTTTGGGACAGTCTAACATATAACTTACTCAAATTAGTGGCCAGGTAAAAAACGGTCGAGATTCTTGCTTGCCTTTCTAGACTTCATACTTCATTTGAACGAGTGGAGATCTTTTTCTACTAGTTTCTACACGACTTAGATCAGCATGATGACTATGTATTTGATATTCAAACACAATAGAAACAAAAAGAATAAAACAACAATAAAAAAAATATTCAATGAATGAAACCACTTTCTTCTCTCTCGCTTCTTTTTTTTTCTTTCCTCCATCCTTTTTCACTCTCCCTTCCCCTCCCCCCGTTCTTTTTTGGGGGGTTTAAACGTGTATACACAGGTTAGCAATGAGAACTAGACACCGTAACGCCTACCCAAAAGACACAAGCAATGGAAATTGCTACAGGCAGAACACCAGCGCAGTTACTACCTATGCCTCTCACATCATCTCAATCGAGGCCCACTGGGAGAGGGCTTCTTTATACTGCTCCCCACTGTGGACAAGCGTCATCACCTTCTTGGTAGGGAATTCGCCCGACATAACACCGTAGTCCTCCTTCATCATCTCCAGGAAATTTGCATGACGAGTACGCAGCTCCGCCTCAATCCCAGGAACATCCTCGGAGTGACGCCATGCCAACGAGTCGAGGAACTCATCCGCAATATGAAGCCACTGCAGCACATAATGAAACCGGTCGTCAGAAATCTTCTGATCCTTCCAATCGATCGCATTCTGAGTCAAAGCGTAGTATGCATATGCGAGGGCCTCCTGACCGATCTCGAAGTTCTCCTTCTGAGCAGGACCGCCTGATTCGGCCAATTTCGAGGCGTGGCGCATGAATGCATCGCTCATTTGCTGACGGCTTTTGATAGCACCCGATTCGATCAACGGGATGAGAAAAGCGCCATCCACGAAGACAAGTTTATTCTCATCATGGAATACCAGAGTTCGCAATACATATCGCTTGGGATGACCAACACATTCCAAAAAGGCATAGTCCAGGTCCATCAGGTCTTCCAAGTAGTCCTTCACCCCACCAATGCCACCAGGGGTGCGGACGATGACCTCCTCCTCACTCTTCGAGACAGCAATTCCATAAGACATCGTGGTAGGAATGTAGAATAGTCTGTGTCCAATCTTTTGTGAAAGTCTAGCCTTTCAAGAGCCCAACCTTTTTGGAGTCTAGCTGCTAATTCAGAATAACTAAGCCTATGGTAGGTTTTGCAAGTGAATTGTGTAGATGATGGTGATGATGGTGATGATATCGAATGGATGTTTTCAGGACGGACTCGATGCCTTTATATAGTCTTTTTGGAGATACCCGAGCGATGAATACTACTGGCAGATCCCGTAATGATTTGATATACCTTGGTAATGCTCGGCCTTTCACAGAAGGTATACAAAGAAAAAGCAGTACTTGAAGAAATGCAATTATTGAAGTATAAATAGACAAGGAGTCTGGAGATGGAGCAGCCCTTTTTATTGGCGAATTTTATTATCACGTTTACGGATAATGAAACAAGGAGCTAGATTTTCCATAATAAATTTATAGTGCTTTTATGTGCATGGGTCTTGGTCTTGGTGATTATGAATTTAGAATCATTCCGTGTTGTGGGTTCAGCGAGTTGGACTCCACTCAAATTAGCCGGACCATCAAATCTCTAGTCCCAACATTTTTAGGTTATTGATTCGGTAACGATTGTGTATTTCTAAATAGTGCTGCTGCTAACACAAGATTTGCAAGGCGGGTAAGACTATGTGGCTAGCTTCATGGAATTGAAGGAAGTTGTATGGCAAAGTATATTCCATTATTATTCCTTCATTGAATGGGAGGGACATTCCGATAGTGACAAACGATTGCCGATATGAAGTTAAGGAAATGCCCGATCATGACAATTTGAAACCTAATACACTACAGACCACCTTTTTCTTCGACTCAAATTCTAACCACACAATGTAATTATCTCTCGGAGTGTTCGTGCTCAACAAGCATATTGGTCCTTCTTCTCACCTGGCGGGAGGTAAAAATCAAGAAGCAGGATCCAAGCCGGCCTTCATTCCACTATGAGTGGCCAAACAGGAGGGTAAAATCATCCAGAACAGCCTGCTGAAGCTCAATCCCAACCTCTGGTTTCCAACCAAGTTCTCGACCCAGTTGAGCGGATGTCAGAGAGCTAAGGAAAAACGCATCAGCCCGTGTGACAAATAACTTGATGGGGGGTTCATACTTCGATGCCAGCCCAACCTCGGCTAAACTCTCATCTCCGCCAGTATATTTGTCGGCTGCTTCCTGTAGACTAATTGACTTTGACACAGGCGAGGTCAGGCGCCCAAGGCTGTAACCAGCCTTCGCTATGGCGTCTGCCAAATCCTTCCAGGAATGCCTCTGGGTTTCAGCAAAGTAAATACCTGTCCGTCCAGTGGAAAGACCTCCCCCCCTCAAGATGTGGACTACAAGAAGTTCAAAAAGCCCAGCGAGATCAACAACGTGAACATAATCCCACACCCCAGTTCCTTCGCCAATATGTTCGGCATTTCCAGCTGCGACAGCACCTTGAATAAGAGCAGGAATGTGAAAGGACTTGCGATTGAACAACCCCGTGCCCCTACCATAAATAAGGGGGGCTTTCACAACCAGGGTGTTGATACCAGCACGCTCTCCGACCTCAACGGTCTTAATATCGGTGGCGCGCTGAGGATAAGGATCAATAGCTTCTCTTTCCTTGAGGTAGCTATATATGTCCTCTTTGTCCGAGAATACTGTCGGCTCCTGGATCTGTTTTGTGATCGGCCTGTCGCCTAGGCTAGATGTTCCGCTGACATGAAGAAGATATTTGGGTTTGCTAACTTCCTGGCTAGATGCAAGCCCCAGAATCAAAGCCTCGACTGCTGCAGGGCTCGTTGAGTCCGCGGCGTGAATGATGATGTCATGGCCACTAGCTATATCCCGGAGATCTTCTGTCGCTTCCAACCCATTGAAAATGAGAGGAGTCACGCCTTTGGAAGCATAGATGGCGGCCTGATCCTTCTTCCGAATCAGGACTGAGATGGCCAATTTTTTGATCTCGGGAGAAGCCGAATCCAGTAGCTGCGTAAGGACAGTACCTCCGCTAAACTAGGTTAGACGAGAACCCATATTTAATTCATGAGCAGTAATTCTACTTACATGTAGCCTGTTGCCCCGGTCAGGAGGAGCTTGGTGGGTGCCATGGTAATGCCTTCTGTCGATTGGAATAAGTGAGATGAAGGGTTTGCGAGGGAATGGATTTCGGTCTGTGGTCAGGGGGACGCACAGGGGGTTTAAATTTACCAGTCTAGAGTCGCGAGCAATACTAATGATCCCCACCTCACTAAGCCTATTCACATAGCCTTATCATATTAACGTATCATTTGGGACACACATCCAAGTTTTCGATTGATCAGAGGACTCTCCGCCGAATTGACATATGTTATACGAATTCGGCCCCCACGCCGGAATCCGGTATGGGTACTCGGTGCTTCGGAATAACCATCAAGTGCTGACAAGTGCTGACATTTACTTTGTAGTGCAGCCACTAAGATGATGCAATGGATATGAGTCATAAGCTAAGAAATTTCTAGTACCTACTAAATTGTTCTCATCCATCTCTCTTGTAGTTGAGTAGTGGATTTCCAAGAATAGGCACGGGGACCCGGTGCCGAGTGGCCTTCATACCGATAGGGGAGACTCTAAGTTCCGCGAGCAAAAAAAGCCCTATTCTATGAGTTTGACTCGAAGAGTGACCAGGTGTTGACCATATTCATGTAGAAATCAAGTGGCATTTGTTACACAGGCTTACCCTGCCAGAAATAACAAAGCATACAGCGTACGCAGCCTGCTGATGGTAACACCACTACCCCAAGTTTAGAAGGCGGCTCGGCATTCTCTCACAAAGCCCAAGAACCACTAATGAACTCTGCAGCAGTTTCAGCATTCAACCGAAACATATGTTGTGCCATAAATTGGAACGCAGCTCACCCTCCCGGAACCACTGTGAGTCGCAGCCAGCTGACCGGTGATATCGAGCCCTATCCTAGATCCCTGGGGGGGAAAGTTGACATTCGGGACCGCAAAGCCCGCGCTCGTACCACACCAAACCATGTGATGCATTCCGAAGAGACAGGGCCTTTAATAACGAAAGGCAATCTCACTGAGATCAAAACAGTCATCCATTAAACAGAACCAGCCCGCCTTATCAACATCCTCAGCCTGACGATAAAACTCCACTCCACCCTCCACCCCGTTCGCCCCGACCGTCCACATCCCTTCCTCGACTAGTACGCGCCACTGGTTTAACATCGTGCCTAACCGAGTCGAGTGGTCCACATAGAATGGACATTCCCCTTGCTGCCACAACTGAGTTGCAGATGGCCGGGTGACCTGCTCTCCTGTATGGTCTGGATAGGACGATAATACATATGGTAGGACCAGTCTGGCCGTATCAGCCCATCCTTCATCAGGACAAATCCAGAGCCCGGCCCCCTCCTTGATATACCCCACGGCCGGGAAGAGGATTAACGGGTCGTGGAATGCTTCTGTATAATGCATGGAGGGCGCGTCATAATCGTTCGTTGTGGAATCGGCTCTCGGGAGCGGCGGTGGTTGATTCACATCATATATCGTCAACCCCGGCGCAATGAATTGGAAGGAGGGCTTAGAGGCGGAGAGGAGAAAGGCGCGCGGAAATCCTTTGACTTCTGCGCTGAGGAATTCGTCTGTCGCTAGAGGTGGTCGCTGGTCCTCAGTCGGAAATGGAAGACGTGCGGTTATTGCTTCGACAAGAGCGTTATAAGCATCCAGGGTTTGTTTCAGAAAAGGATCTGTCCAGGGCACGACTTCCCAACATAGAATATCAGGACTTAAAGGTTTATAGCCGTCTTGCGCACTGCCATAGGGGACAGGGCGGTACTTTCCCACCTCGATAATGGCATTCAGTCGTTCAAGAAGCACTCGAAGCGGATACCAAGACGACGCTTCCGGATTGTCAGGGTTAAAATCATAGATTGAGGGGAGATAGCAGACCATTAGGTCCGACAGGTCCATCAGTACCCCTGGACAGTCGGTCAAACAGTAAAGATTATTTCGAAAGAGAAGAATGCAGTCATCGATTTCCATCCAGCTCGAGCCCGGTCCCAGAGCCAGCGTCCGTGTCGGGGAGGAGACCACTTGAAGGTGCTGCACGAAGGCATGGTGTTTTGGATGACCATCTTGATCAATGATTACCTCGATTTGCTCCAGGAAGGAGGTGAGGATCTCTGGGAAAGTCTCACGACATTTGTGCACGTGTGGATCATTCCGCCAGGCGTGAAACCAGTTCTTGGCGAGACGGTCACCTCGTTGGCCACATTGGCTCCCCTCGAAGCCGATGTGAATGATACGGTTGTAGAGCGCAGCACATACGGCCGGGTCAAAAAACGACTCTACATCGTCTACTTGGTCTTGCACGGCCGTGGATGTCATTGTGTCCTATTCGTGAGAAGCGAGGGTTGAAAGGGAAAGGCCAAGAAGCAGAGCCGGACGAGAAGCAAGAGCGAAGCCCCGCCTTTTAAGCCAAGAACCGGCTACATATACACCCGCAGATCTCGTCCATTGTCAAGGTGCAGGATGGCTGTGTCGAAATCAATGAACCAAATGAGCTCTAGTGAAGTGTATGAGTGAGGATGTAGTAGAGATATATATCAGTGTATTGTCAAGGTGCGGGCTGGCGGGTTAGTAGAGTTGGTGCAGCAGGGGCAGGCAGGGCAGGCGGTCTGGCTAGATCAGGCGGGCTAGGTTTACAAGGTCTTTGATTACTATTATAGTTAGGCTATATATAGAATAATAAATAAAATATAGCTTAAGGAGTTATAATAGGATCTTTAATATTTAAGCTTTTAAGTAATTAAAGAATTAAGATTAAAAATAGGTTTTTCTAACTTAATAGTTGTAAGGATCCATATGGGATCCTCCCAAGGATGCTTAGTCAGAACGGGTGCTTAGTCATAGCCTAGTGAACACACAATAAAAACATGTTCTCACGGGGGTTCCCCTGAATCCCAGCAATAATACTTTAAGCAGAATATACTATATATTTAAGATCCTTAGCTAATTACTTTTATACTATCTTATCCTTAAGGTATTAAGATATTTAATCTTATAACTTTATTATTTATACTTAATTAAGGCGGCCTATTAGTAAAATAGCTAGTAAAAAGGAAGAAACTCGCGGATAAAGCATTTAACCACTTATTAAGCTAACTTATAAAAAAAAGTCTTTATAGATTTAGAAAACCCTAGAACTAATAAAACCTTATAAGATTATTAAAAAAAAACTACTTAATAATAAACTAAAACTCTCACAGGTAAAAAAACTATTAATCTTAAATATAAAAATTATCTGTAAATAAGTTATATTATTAAAAAAACTTTAAGAACTCTAGTATATTTTAATATTATCTTTTAAAAAATATACTCAGATAAAAAGTTTAGAGGAAATTACTCCTTTTATAAAAAAAAAGTCTGATTTAAAGATTAAGCCTTTTAGCGAAAAGGAGTAATATTTAACATATGATTATATTATTTACTATGTATTTATTATTAAACAAGAATTAACCGCAGAGGTAAATAGCTAAAATAATAAAAATAAAATAAAAATAATAATTATATATTTAAATTATATATTAAGCAATCTTTAAAAGAATAATTTTTTAGATAATTATTATTTGTAAGAATAAAGGGGCTTTTATGAATTCTTAAAGAATTAATTAAATAATTTAAAAAATTATAGATAAAATATTTAATCTAAGATATTATATTTTAAATCTCGTGAAAATAAGAGTAATTATACTTACTTTTAAAAATAAAAGGAGGCCAAATCTAAGCTTAAAAATAAAGTAAAAAAAATAGACTATTTATAATTTTATTTACTTTATAAAATATTTAATTAAAATTTTAAATAAAAAATTTATAAATAATTTAAATTTCTAAAATTAGAACAAGAGCTAATCTTACTAATCTTATATTTATATTTTTTTGCGAAAAACTATTAATTAAGACTTAAGAGAAACTAATAATTAAACTTATAAGACCTAAACCTAGACTAAAATTATTTAGGATAAAGATCTTTAAAGTTTATAAAAAATAATTAAGTATAGAAAAACTTGCTTAAAATCTTGTGGGAAAAGTTACTTAATAAAAAGATAAATTCTATAAAAAAATAAGGTAATTTATTATAAGTTAAATACTTTAATTATAATAAGCTGGGCTATAAAATATCTAATTACTAATTAAAAAAATCAATATAACTCTAAAGCTTATTAATAAGAGATATTAGCTTATTACAGATAAGTAAGAGAGAGAAATTAGAAAAACTACTTCTTACAAAATTTTTATTAATAAAACTATAGAGATAGCTAATACCCTAGGGCCTTATAAAATAAAGTAAGATAATATTTAAGCAGAAAAAAAAGGACTTATTAAAAGTATTAATTAATACTAAAATAAAGGTGAATCTAATACCCCTTAACCTCGCGAAAGAGATAGGATAAAAAAAATTATTTACTTAATTTAAAGTAGCTAAAATAAATAGCTATAAAATCTCTTTATAGGGGATTATATAATTTTATTTAAAGTTAAAAAACTTATAAGGTTATTATAAGATTTAAGTAAGACTTGTGATAGTATTTTCTAATATATTAAAGATAATTTTAGGAATACTATAAATAATTTAGAGAGAATTTACTACTTATTTTTATAAATATTATTTAAAGCTTTTTCGCGAAAATTAAGTCTATATTACTTTAGTATCTGCGGAGGAGTAAATAAAAGAATTTAAAAAAAATAAATTTAATTAGCTAATTATAATCTATATCTAGTAGATTAATATAACAAAATTAAAGAGATAAAATATCTTAAAATAATTAAAGAATTTTGTAGAAATCTTCTTAGAAGATCTTATAAAAGGCTTATTTTTATACTATAAAAATATTAACTTAAAGATTTACCTTATAAAAGATTTTAAATTATAAACTAGTTTAATCTATAAGATATCTCTTGTAAAAAATAAGATATTATAAAAATATTTTTAAAAAAATTTAAAATAGGAATAGATTTAGACTTTAAAGTTACTTATTAAGGTGCTAATATTATTTATAATAAAAAAAAATAAAAGTTTATAGGTATATATAGGTTTTTATGATATAAATAAAATATCTGTAAAAAACACTTATCTATTACTAAAGATTAATAAGTATATTAATATATTAGTTACAGTATTATAGTTTATATAGCTTAATCTTTATAATACTTATTATAAGATTTGTATAGCTATAGGTTATAAATAAAAAATAGTTTTCTAAATAAAATTTAGACTATTTAAATACTTAATAATATTATTTAGTTTAATAATGTCAAGGTGCGGGCTGGCAGGTTGGTAGAGTTGGTGCAGCAGGGGCAGGTAAGGCAGGTAGTCTGGCTGGATCAGGCAGGCTAGGTTCACAAGGTCTTTAATGGCTATTACAGTTAGGCTATATATAAGATAATAAATAAGATATAACTCAGAGAGCTATAACAAGATCTTTAATATTTAAGCTTTTAAACAGTTAAAAGATCAGGATTAAAGATAGATTCTTTTAGTTTAATAGTTCTGTCTAGTTCTGGTAGGCTTAATAGCACTCTTAAATCTATACTATAATAATATATCCCCCTTTTATGGCCAAGCTCTATTAAGGCTGAAAAAGGCCAGGCTTATTAAAGTATTAGTAATAGTAATTTTAAATAATTTATTTAATATACTTTAGGTAACTAGCAGGCTTAGTAATAAGATCTATATATTTAATTTATTTTATAATATATATTAGGTGAGGGCGGCTACGGCCGCAGTAATCCCAGAATAAATTAAAAATATTTTTAATCTTCTATTTTTTAAATCTATTAACCTTAATATAAAGTAAAAGAGGATTTTACTAGTTAGGTAAAATATTTAAGCTAATAAAAATAAGTAGGCTTATATTAAATATAAAGTAAATTCTTATATTAGGCAGGAATTCCAGGCGGTAAACATATAAGCTAATAATCTTTTTAATATAATATAGGCTTAAAATATTCTAATTTAGCTTTTTATTAAATTATAAGGTCTTAATATATTAGGTATCTAACTAAACTAGTTAGTCTTCTTTAAATAAGTAAGCGGGATAACGCTAGCAGTCTGTTTATTTAGTATAATAGATTTAAATAAATAACATTTTAGCTCGGGCAAACTTAATAATAGCTTATATTTTTATAGTAAACTATTCTACATCTCGCATAATAGAATAATTATAAGTATAGTAGTTTTTTATTAGGACAGGTTTAAATCCTATATATAGGTAAAAACTATAGTTAGCGAAAAACAGGCTAGTCTTAATTAAATTAGAATATATAGTATTTAAGGAAAACTTAGTTAAAAAGAGCTAAATACTTTAATTATTTTATAAGTAACTTATATAAACTTAAAAGTATTACTTTAATATAATATTTATATATTTAGTCTAGCCGTTAGTTTTAAAATAATATATAATTAATAATTTACTAGTAATATCCAGGCGTTAAATTAAATATTTTTAAAATTTAGTAATAAACTAAAATCCTTAATCTAATATAATAGTTTAGAGCAGGCTATACAGCTTTTATATATACTATATATATATTATAGCCACAGCAGATATATTTATAGTTAAATTATAGGGGATTAAATACTTTATTTTAATTAAATAATCTATAATAATTAAAATAGTATTATAATTCTGGCTCTCTAGCAGATGCGTAATAAAATCTATAAAAATATTTTATTAAATATATTTAAGTACAGGTAGGGGTTTTAAGATACCTTACTTAACCTCTTAGGATAAAGTAATTTAGCGGCAGATATAGTAGTTTTAGATCTATTAGACTATATAATAGTATATATTAGGCTAAAAATATTTATAAATAAAAAGTTTATATATATAGTTTCTCTTAAGATATCCAGACGCAAGTTTATTATATACTAAATAAATTAATTTAGCTCAGAGTTTATTATTCTTAAAGATCCATAAGTAATTTTTATAAAATAAAAGATTACCTTATTTTTTACAAGTAGCTAAAATAATCTTTAAATAACAGTTTTTTCTACCCCACCGGGCCAAATGGGACGCACCCCCATCCTATCGGTGCGGGTCTACAGGCGGGCACGCTGATTGGCCGGCCTAAACCCTACCCGGGGGTATATCTTATATACTTTCGCGGGTATATCTTATTTAGATCCCCTGGCCCGGTCGGGCTTAAATTTAGTAAGTAAATAAATAAGTTATGGATTTCCTATCTGATTAAATCTCAGCTATCGCGATCACAGGGGGGTTAGGCTATTATATAGTAAAATTAGTTAATTTAATTTATTTAGATTTTAATAAAGTATAAGATTCTGACCAGGAAAGGTTAAATTAGCTTTTCTAGTTAGTTTATATAAGTGAGAAAGGGATCAAAATATATATATATATTTTTATTAATCTTTCTTTCTACCCCTACCGATCTGTTTATATTTTATTTACTTATTTATCTATTTTATTTAGATTCTCTTCTTTACACTTTTACCTATTAATTAACCCTTTTCTTCTCTTTAATTATTAATTAATATTATATTAAAACTATAAATAACTCTCTTAATCTTAGCTGTATCTATATTAGGGCTGTTACTATAGTACAGTAATATATATATTTACTATTAATTA